TGCCCATGCCTTCCAGTGGGCCCAATGCACTTCCTGGGGGCTCCCTGGCTGTTCCCCAGCACTTAACACATATCCAGCCATGCCTGGGGGTTCGTAGTATGGCTCAGTTCCCTCTTTTCCTCCTCAGGGTAGAGTCTATGTCACTGTCTAGAGAGGGAATCCTGGAAATATTACTTCTCGCCTGCTAGAGAATAAGAAGGCCAGACACTGCCTGATGCCCATGGGTGAGTGCCCACATGTAGCTCTGTGTGCCTGTGCCCACTCAGCTCTTTCCCTGTTCTGGAACATGGGCTGAGAAATCTTTTCATCTCTGTGGCTGACAGTGTCAACCTGGTTCACCGCCTTTGGGTGTCATCAGCTCTGTAGGGATCCTAGGCATGGGTCTTGATTGTTGCTTTGACTTCTCTTTCCTGAGGCTTTCCAATCCTCTATCAGTCTCTGGGTTTCTAAACATAGCCTGTCCTCTCACACCCCCTCTGAGGTGCCCAGACACAGGGAGGATGATGGCAGCTGTCTCCAAAGCGTGGGAGGCCTACAGACCATGCAGGTGAGGGACCTTGGGCCCTGTCACATGCAACATGGGAAGTAGCTTACATTTATCCAGCACCTAGTCTGCAGTTGGTGTCAGTGAGCTCTGGCCACCCCCAGTGCCTGTGGGCAGAGAGTCCCGGCTCCATGGATGTATGAGGAGGTAGAGGATTATGGAGGATAGTGCCTGGCTTTGTCTATATTCTGTATCTCCTGTATCCAGTTTCCAAGCTGCAGGCCTCATGCGATTCTGAATCCCAGGATAAGGACAGGCCTCAGCTCCACTGAGCAGTAGCTAGGTTTGATATTTCTAGAGGTGACATGGGCATAGGGAACCATGGCCAAGCATGGCCAGTTGGTGCCCCACTTAGCCCTCCTATCCCTTTCCTTTATTACTGGGAATTGAACTCAGGGCCTTGCACTTGCTAGGCAAGCACTGCTGCTTGAGCCATATACTGTTCCCTAGTCTCTTGCTGAGGCTGCTTACCCAGAGACATCTGTTTGCAGGTGACCTCCCACTTGGAGAGGGTGGTATTATAAGCTTCTAAGTACCTGGTCTAGCATGGTGACTCCCTATCTGTGCCCCACAACCATCTTAGGGACATGTATGCCACCTCTACAGTTCCTCTGGTAATGGACTGGCCCTGGGGGCCCATGGGTCCAAGCATAGCGCTACAGCCTGGCCAGATCCTACAGGGCTGGCAGCCTACAGAGCTGCCAGAGCTCTGCCTACAGAGCTGGGAGGCTGCCAGACCCACCCCATTTGCTGTTTGTGTTCTAGGATAACCTCAGAGAACGTGGCTGAGCGGTTTGGCATTTCACGAGAGAAGCAGGACACTTTTGCATTGGCCTCCCAGCAAAAGTAAGTGCAGTTTGGTAGGGCCTGGAAAGGGCTGGAGATGAGGTTGTAATGGTCTGAGGATAGAGCTAGGCAGTGAGGATTTACAATGTCATGCTTCCAGATGGAAGTGGTAAGGGCCACCGCCAGTGGTTTGGTTCTTCTAGGTCCTCTTGTTTTTGTGGTGCTGGGCTTTGAACTCAGGACCTCACACGTGCTAGGCAGGTGCTCTACCACTTGAGCCACTCTGCCCACCAGGTCCTCTTAATTGTCCACATTGAGGTTTGTCTTCTCCCTCGCTGGGCCTCAGGTCCCTCTCTGTCATTGGGTATAACGAGGGCGAGGCCTCTTCCCTGTTGGCTATTGCATGATATCTGGACATGGCAGCCATTGGCTTCTCTAAAGGCCCAAAGTATAGGGACAGTCATGCTAAAGACCTGTCACCCTAGCATCTGTGCAGGCCTGGGGCTGGGAAGCATCCTGAGGCAGGGGCTGGGGTTGACATCTGAGAAACACAGAGCCTTAGGCCTTGACAGCAGCTGTCTCAGTTGGCCATCCCAGCCACACAGAGAGGACGCAAAGGAAGGATGGTGTCCTGGCCAGGACATAATCTCAGGTGGTATCTCTCAGGCAGGGATTGCTAGCCTGCATGGATTCTTGAGGACAGGTTAGCATGTGCACTTTTGTTGGAAAATTTAGTTCCTTATCATAAGAATGTCCTTGGGTACCTGTATTTTGCACATGATTATAAGGATCTCCTGAAAAGCCTTATACCTTAACACTGACTTTGAAAAGACATCAAGTTGTTGAGGCATGTCACTCTAGATAAATGGAAATGCAGAACAGGTGAAATTTAAGTGGAATGATGAAAAGGAAAGTTTGTAGAACCCAACATAAATATTCCTAGGGCTTCACCCTTAGTGTAGCAGAGACAACTGAGCCACCTTAGTCCCTGTTGGATGATGGACTGCAAAGAGGGGGCATAACTCCCAGACTTGCTCTTTTTCTTTGAGGCTGGCATTGTGGATCAATGGCAAAGGTGTCCCAGAAGGCCTTGGCATGTCTTCCCATCCTAGGGACAGCTGGGGTCCTGAGCAACCTCCAGCAGTCAACTAGGGTTCCCCAAGAACAGGCTTGTCCCCAATTTCAAAGCTTAAGGCTGCATGTTTTCCTTACTGGCAAAGGTGTGGGGAGAGGGAATCTGCCTATCCCAAGGGAGCCTGAGCCTGGCTTGTGCATGATGCTGACAGGGCAGCAAGAGCCCAGAGCAGGGCTGTTTCCATGCTGAGATTGTGCCTGTGACCACCACCATCCTCGATGACAAGGGGCACCAAGAGGAGCCATCACCGTGTCCCAGGATGAGGGTATCCGCCCTAGCACCACCATGGAGGGCCTGGCCAAGCTGAAGCCTGCCTTCAAGGATGGCGGCTCTACCACAGCTGGTGAGCCTGGGCAGGGAGTGACTGAGCCAGGCTGGCTGTTCTATTCTGGGAGCATGGAACTGACCAGGGCACTTCACAAGGTGAAGTGGAAGGACTTCCACAAGGTGGCTGTGGAAGGACTGGTCCTTAGCCCCACCCTGATGCCTCCTCGCCCCAATCATTTATCCCCTAGGGAATTCTAGCCAGGTGAGTGATGGGGCAGCAGCTATCTTGCTGGCCAGGAGGTCCCAAGGCCGAAGAGTTGGCCTCCCTATCTTGGCGTCCTGAGTGTCCTAATGCCGTGGTTGGGGTCCCACTGATGTGATGGGCATCGGACCTGCCTATGCCATCCCTGTGTAGCTTTTGCACTATAAGACAACAAACCGCAACGCCGAAAATCGCGTCTATGGAGTGTGCCCTTCTTATATCGCTACTAAGACTCGTGCCCTCCGTGATAGAGTTCTCGTCTGCGGTATCATTACTGGACTTCTCTCTAGCATAGTGCGATACTTTCCCTTCTTAGCATGTGTGCAAGCAGAGGGCGCTTCGGCAGCCACGTGTCTGGTCCTTCGTGACTCGGCAATCATGGGAAGGGTGGGCAGAGTCTTGGCACCATCACAATGGCCTTTTTGCACCCACCTCACTAGCTCTCATAGAACGAGGCATACAGAACCAGCTAGGCGGACTCGTGGGACCAGGGGGAGATTGCTGATCCTGCCTCAGGGCCACTTGTCAGCTCAGCGTCCTCAATTACCTTGCTGCAGCATGATGTTGACAGGTCTGCGCAAACATGTGATAGTTGGACATCTTTCGGTTAGCGTCTAAGCTCATACAACGTAAACCGGAGCCCTTTTGCAAAGCCAGTCAAGGTGGAGTACTCTGTGTCTCAGCGATGCCTGGGTTCCTGGAGGTCATTCATCTCTTGATATACTGAGGATGCTGGGATGGGCACAAGAACCTGCAACGATGAGCCGCTTTGCTAGTAGATGGGCGTCTCAGCTGGCGTCGCTGGACTTCTTTGTCGAGGCAGGTCTACGCTTGTGTGAGAGAAACTTAGGAATGCCCCTCTGGCAGAGAAAGGCTCGCAACCCCCTACGCGGGCTGGCAGTGGCTCTGGGCCACCCCTTGGGCTGCACTGCGGGCGTCGACAGTCCATCCAACACTGCTCTCTCAACGCAGCTACAGCGCCTCGGAATTAGGTGAGGCTGCTTCCCTGCAAATGCAGTCATGGAGGTGCCCGAGCGGGGTGTCTGAGGGGTGGGACCTGGGGAGGTGAGCACACAGACACTCCGAACTAGGGACTTAGGGGCGTGAGCCCTATCTTCCTGAAGGGCCAGCCTTGAATGTAACCCTGGCCGATAGAGGGCATCTTGCTGCCTGGACTGTGTGCCAGGTGGGCAGTCAGGGAACCAATTTTGGACAGGTCTTGGACTGCGGGTTTTGCATCCTCTATCCAGGAGACCCTGGCCATGCAGTTCAGCCTGGGGGTGTGGGTGGTGGCCTTGGTGGTTTGGCCTCTGGGCCAGCCCAACGCAAGTCTATTCCCTAGAGCATATGGAGTGGTATCCATGTGCATCGGAAACTGGAACCTGGAGACCGCGCGCCGCTGCTGTCTTCGCGAATACCCTGGGAACTGAGGCCCTGCTGGAGGCGCTGCCCAGACAGCCCTGCTCTGTAGCAGACAGGGACATTACAGAATCATCCACATGGGACATCCAGCACCTATGGTGGTACAGGTGGGACAAATCAAGGGACTTTAATTTGGAAAATGTGAACACAGATGACACAGTCCAGGAGCCAGGGATGTATTGGACTGCTCCTGTCAGGCCTCCTATAGCCTGTCCAAAGTCAGCATGGGTCATCCCAGTCCCAGGCCCATTGTGTAAGTCTTAGGGTACAGTGGCTTCTGGATGAGGGGTACATTGGATGTAATAAATGTACTAGGTCATCTCAACAGCTGTGGTTTATCCAAGAGCCAGCTTTGGCCCTGCTGGTCTTCTCTGCCATCTGAGAAATGATTCTTCTGTTCCATGGTCTCCATGGTGGTGTGGCCTATGCTTTGTGTTAGCTCTGGGGACATAGGATGCAGGGCCTCAGCTGTGACCCCTGCCATGAAAGGGGCTCCTCCATCCCAGGAGCTGATGGAGCCCCTGGTCATGTCCCTGCAAGCAGCCCTGGGCCTCAGCTGAGGAGGGCTGTGGGGTACGGATGCCTCAGAGCTGGTGATGTGTCATGTATCTCTCGTCATAAGAGCCTTGGCCCGGAGCCGCAGGGTGCAGGCCTTCTCACCCAGCACGCCCTCCACCACAGCGTGGACTCATACAGCTCTCTGCTCCTGGGGGACAGTGTGGGAACTGAGGTCAGGAGGGCCCCAGGCAGGACCCCTTGCCCTGTGGGCAGTGCCCATGAGGTCAGTAGCGTCTGTTACCTGGCAGTGAAGAACACCTGCATAGTGATGGAGGTTGGGGGCGCATTGGTGGGTCGGGCTGCCAGCAGCCCACTGCTTGGGGAGACCCTGAAACCTCAGCCTCCTTGGCTGCCTTCTGCTGTCCTGCACCGAGGGGACAGGAGGACATCCATGGGCACAGGCAGTTCCATGTGTTGTTCCACAAGACTTCATTTGTCCCAGGCCAGCCTGCCTCTAAGGTGTCACCTCTATCTTGCCAGCAACACAAGGTAGGGCACCCAGGATCACTTGGGATCAGAGACTGGCCATCTCCATGAAAGCCCATTGCACCACACCCCTCAGGAGCTAGCCTACTGGGCCAAGGCCCAGGACCCTTCCTGGGGATTTACCCAGCCTCACTAGGGAGCAGAGGGCAGGCAGGAAGGCAACAACTTACCCATCACCACAGTCCAGTAGCTCCGGCAGCCACTGAGGTTCATTAGGTAGACCTCGCCGGGCCTGCTGCTGGTTCACAAAGCAGGTCCCAAAGTCCACCCAGCTGGTGGAGAGCAGCTCAGGCACAGCCACAATGGCCGCAGCGGCACCACCTAGTGACACAGCCTTAGAACTTGGGAAATGATGAGAGTGACTTTGCCCACTGCAGTAGGGTTCTGAGCTGGGGTCACTGGGGCACAAGGAACACTGTTCCCCCGATTACTGATGCCTCTGAGCAGATCAGGGACAGCAACATAGTAGGTGGCAGCAACCAGCACTGCCATAGCCAGCAAGTGCTAGCAGGATCTGCATGGCAACAGGCCCGAAGGTGCGCTCTGCTCCCCATCAGCCCTGCTCCCATGGAGCCTGTGCTCGACCTTTCCTCCTTCCCCCTCCTCTTTCCATGGGGCCTAAGGCTCAGGCATCCACTCCTAGGCCATTGGGCTCTGGACCTCAGCTCCCATAGCCCCTGCATCATCCCTAGGCACTACCACCATACACCGCTTGCTCCCTGTGGTCCCTGTACCTTGGGATCCAGCAGCTGTACAGTGCCAGGGGCAGAGCAGGGACTTGGCTTCCCACTTGGCCCCTGACTTCTGGCCTCTCTTCAGCCCCCTACCCCACTTCTCACCTGCAGCCCAGATGAGCTCTCTGCCACCTTGGCTCCACACCAGGGCCTGTGACCTGGGCTGTGAAGCTCACCCTGGAGCTTCAAGTCCTCCACAGCTGCCTCATGCTCACTGTCCCCACCCAGCAGCCCCTCCCCCAGTCTGTCAGTGTGGTTTCCCTTCTTGATTAAACACCACATTAGGCTTCCCCACCACCTCCTCTGGTTTCCCACCCTCCAGCCCCTGACCTGGCTCTGAGCTCCTGAGTCATGTGAGGAAAGATGGCCCTCCTCTCCCTGGGCACAAGGCCTCTTCCAGGGCAGTCTGCAACCACAGTCAGGGACTGGGGCTCCTCATTGCTGAGGGCCTTTTCTGGCGGTGTCTTTCCTCTCACCCCATGGAACAGAGCCCAGCAGGTGCCACCCTTCTCCCTGCAACTTACCTGAGTGGTCTGGTTGGTGAACTCCAGGAACAGAGGCTGAGTAAACACCATCTCTTTCTCTCCATTCTCGCTCTGCTCAATATCCACTCCAGGCAGCATCTGGTCAGCCGGGAGCTTCTGGTAGGAGAGCAGCTCCAGAGAGAGCAAGAAAGACACGTTCACCTGAGCAAATGTGGACACAGTCATCTCAGGCTGGTGAGGGCAGACAGCACTTACCCAACTGAAGTCATGTCCTGCTGCCCTCCGGAGGCCCCTGCAGGTCCAGCAAGGTCCCTCAAGCCCTGGCCCAGGCAGCCTGCAGGCCCAGACTGGCCCAACTGCACAGCAAACAGCCCAGCAGTGCCCCCGTCTGGTGCATTCGTTCTATGAGCACTGCAGGCACCTGCTCTGCAGAAAAGCCAAGCAAGCCCTTGCCTGCCCTCAGGAGTCAGAGACCAAAGGGAAAGAGAATCAGCAAGTGCTCATTCCACTTTGCATAACCCGGGCCAAGGTGGAGCCCCTGGGCTGAGGATGGGCTTTGTCTTTGTCTTGAGGACATGAGAAGCCTGTGAGGGTTTGAAGCAGGGGTCTCCCTGAGTCAGCTCTTCCTTTCTCAAGGCTACACTGGCCACTGTGGGGAGGTGGGCTGTGGGAGCATGAGTGGATCGAGGAGGCTGAGACCTGAACTTAGGCTAAGCAGGGTGAGGTTTGGATGCTGGCTCCCAAAGACAAGTCTGTGACCTAGAGTGACAGATTTACCCAAGGTACCTGTTGGTGGTACAGATTCCTGGGCCTCAGGGTCAGCAGCAGGTCAGTGAGACCCTTTATTAAAACCTTAGGAAGGTTTGACTGTGTCTCCAAGACCCTTCCAGTAAACCTGATAGTTACCTAGAGCTTCTGTGATGTTCTGCATTGGTTGCTCTGTCCAATTCCAGCATTCTACTAGCTATCGTGAAAAAACATTGTGACAGAAGGAATTGAATTTTAAATTCTTACTTGAATGTAAATTTAAAATTGCTATTGTTACTAGTTGCCATTTTAGTGCAGATTTCCACCCTGACATACTGCATATCAGAAACTCTGGGAGTGGGCCCAGAAGACCTGTGTGTAGCGCCAAAAACATATCACTTATGCTTGGAATTGAGAGTCCAGTTCTTTATGGTTGGTCAAGACAGCTTCATCAGAATCCAACTTCTGCAAGCAACATCTTGCTGGGGACTCAGCCAACCTTCACGATCTCAGAAGTGGAGGCCTGTGGGGCTTTTAACACACTTTCTAATAGCCAGTGATTGCAAATTGGACAGGGAATACGTAATTGTCCTAGACCCAAAGATTTGCATGTGGAATGAAGAGAATAGTAAGAAATTACTGAGGCAGTAAGTTAGGGCCACATTCACCAGGAGTTCTGATGGACGCCTCAAAGAGAGACAGAAGTCCAGTGATGGGCGAAGCTTGGGCGATGGACTGGGGATATTGTGCTGAGAAGGGTATTGGTGGGGTGCAGAAGGGTCTCAAGGAAGATGGGGGAAATTCAGTTTTTCCAGGTTTACTTGTATGTGTCTAGAACTGAAGAGAGAATTCAGGTCAGGAAGCCAGATGCCTGGATATTATCTGTGCACACAGGGTGAGATTCAGTGCCATTATGTGCTGTCTGTCTGAGAGTCTCTGGATCTCCCTAGAGCTGCCCAAGGACTGTGCCCAAGAAGCCTCCTGGGGGAAACTGTGGTGAAATGAGACCCCTGGTTGTGCTCTGGCCCAACGTTCCATTTAGGTCTGTTAAGGAAGCCAAGGCAAAATGGTTAAGGGGCTTCTCCTCCTGTCTTTTGTAGGTCCTCATCTGTTGCCCTGACCCCCACAAGGAGGTCCTGGAGGAGTCCTATCAGCTAGCACATTGCAGGCACTCACTGCACAGATAGTAAAGGACACATTTGAAAGAACTATCACTGCTCACTTAAGCTCTGGAAGTGGATGATATGACCCAGGAAAGTGCAGAGTGAGGCAAGAGCCAAGCTAGAGCTCCAAGGAATATCAGCAAGAAAGGAGCCCTCTAAGCAGAGGGAAAGAGAATCTATGAGAAAGGAGAAGAGGGAGAAGAGAACATGGGGCCCATAGCTGGCTGCCAGTGCCAACCAAGGAGCCACAGTATAGACACCACACCCCACAAGGCCTGTGTCCCAACCACATTCCAGGTGTCTGAGAGACCAAAGGAGGCAGAAGTTAATGGTTCCCACAGAGGCCCTGGCATTGCCTCCCCACTGACACCTTTGACAATAGGGCTCCTGTTGTCACTGATGCCCTATCAGAGGATGGAGAACATCCAGAGACCTGGAGTGCCTCATATTTATGGAAATCCAACCATGAATGCTCTGAGCCAGTGTATAAACCCTTGAACAAATGCACCTAAGGAGGCAGGGAATCTAGGTGTGGAGGTGCTCACAGGAATGCACTAACGTGCTGGACTCTACTAGGCCATCAGCAGTGGGGACAGAGAGAGATTCTGGAACACGTGGGCATGTGCACTATTTGTCGTCTGTCCATGAGTGTATGAATTGTGTGTGTGGTAAAAGTGGCATGTCTGGTGGAGTGTCCACATTGTTCCTGGGTACAAACAAGTAAGGGTGGAGCGTGGGTGTGGTTGTTTGTATGCATGAGCATGCATACTGAGGTGAGGGCTGCGGACCCGTGCACTCACCAGCATGTTCTTCTGTGGGCAGAGCATCAGCAACTTGGCTGCTGAGGCTGACTCTTCCTCTGACTTCTGCTCTAGGCCACAGTCAGCTCTGTGGCTGTGGCTGGCCCCATCATGAGAAACAGAGAAGGGCCTGGAGACCAGGATATGGAAGTAGTGTGGGATTTCCGAGGTGTTGATCAGCTTCAAGTGGCGGGTTGTCAGTAGTTCACTCAGCACCTGGGCAGTCACAGAGGTCGGGAGGGTGGGATGTGCCACTCCTCTCTCTTTGGGCCCACTGTAAGGCCTGTGCCCAGAAGGGCCCATAGGTACATCTGAGAGCCAGGTAGGTTGACAGGGCTGGAGGTGGCAGCACACTCACCCCAGAGCAGGGCTGCTCAGGGATGAGATCGCTTGCCTGGCACCGGAATTCCACGCTGCCGCTGGAGTCCAGCTCCACACTTAGCCTGCCCAGAGACAGGCACTGCTGGGGCAGCCAGGAGTCTGAGACTCTAGGCTGCTCCTCTCTGCCCACCTGGCCTCTAGCAGCCTTTCTCTGGGACCCCTGCTGGCTCCTCCTCTCTCCTATTCTGGCCTTTGGCTCCGAGAACCCTGTTCAGTTCCATCAGTGATGGTGAGGGTGCTTCCACAGGAGGACAAAGGGGGACGTACCCACAGAAGGACAGAGAGGGATGTGGTGGCCCAGTCAACTCACTGCGCACGCCTCACGTAGCCATGCAGGTCCAGTCTCAGGGGGCCCACAGCAAAGTCCTGCAGGCGACGCCTCCGCCCTGGAATCTCCCTTTCCACCTACCAAGCCCAATCCACCACATATCACTGATAGTCCTGGGCTGAGCAGGAAGCATGACACCCAGAAGAGGCCTTGGTCATGGTCCCCACCCCGGGTTGGGAGAGCTCACCTCATTGTCCAAGCTCATATAGCCTAGGGCATAGCCAGTGCACCCAACCTTGTGTAGGACATCGGGGCTGAGCACCATGGGTGTGAAGGAGATGTAAATGGTGCGACTGCCGCCAGCAGGGACCACCTGGCACAGACACAGTAGTCTCAGTACTAACTTGTGCCCACTGGAAGGCCAGGGCAGCTCCACAAGACAGCACCCCCTGCCTGACTCACCACTTGCTTGGGCTGATACAGTACAGATGGTCAGAGGGCACCCCATCGTGCCCCTGCAGGACAACTGAGATGATCTGCTCTGTGTCTCTGATGGCAGCACGGGAGCTGCCCTCCACCTATTGCCAAGGAGTCACTGTCTTACATGGGCTCAGCTGGCCCCGGACCACACCTCAATGGAGATGACGGCCAGCCACATCCTTTCACCCCTTCCACTCACTGACAGCGCAGCTACATGGCTGGACTCTGACACATTAGAGGGGCTTGAGGACCAAAGTAAGCTGACCTCAGAGGTCTCAGGGCATGGGAGCTCATTCCCAGCTTGGTCTCGCAGTGGGAAAGGTGGCCCATAAAACACCAGCAGCTCCAGCAGCCGGTCCTCCTTGTTTTCTGGAACATAGGTTTCCCAATCCAGGCGGATGTCTGGGCAGACATGGGGGAGAGGAAAAAGAACAGGGGAAATAGACGATCTCCCTTGGGCTCCCATCTCCCCATTCTTCCATATTCAAGGTGTCTTTCTAATGCCATTTCTAGGCAATTTTGTTTTGAAAAAAAGTCTTCCCAGGCTTATACTGTCTTCATGTTCACATGCATGGACCCAGGCACTCTACTCTCTCCCCACAGCTTCCTGTCCTCTGTCTGTTTCGTGACAGGTTGGACCCTCCCATACCTTTCTTGCCCTCCATCCATCAGTCCCTATACTCTTTTACTTCCTTCTGCAGCCAGGCAAGTCTTAAGGAGCTGTGCTAGCAATTTTCTATATCTCTCCTCCCCTCCCTCCATCCTTACACATCTGGCAAAGTGTAACCATGAATGGAGTTGAACTGTACTGTCCTTCTGGGCACTACTGGACAAAGTCCCCAAACCAAACAGAATGCCACCTTATACCTCTCTTCCCAGCTTAACTAACCCCAACCCTCCTAACATGTACCATGACAAAATCAAGCTGTCCCTACTCTCCTCTGACACCTCTATCTGCCTCCTCTGTGCCCAGCAGTGGCCCTACCTCATCTCCCAGAAGTCCTGTACCAGACTAACACATCTGTGTACAACTATCCCATCTCCCCACAAAGTCTCGTGGACAACTGCACTTTCAACTAAAGATAGAAAAATTCATGAGTCTCGTGGACAACTGCACTTTCAACTAAAGATAGAAAAATTCACTACCACGAGTAGTGGTACACAACTGTAATCCCAGCCACTTGGAGGTGGAGGCAGGCAGACTGCAAATTAGAAGACAGCCTGGGCAAAGGAAGTGGGGATACCCTGTCTTCAAAACATAAAAATAGATAAAATAAAAAAGGCTAGGGTTGTGGCTTAGGTGACAGAGCACTTGTCTAGCAAGCCCAAGGCCCTGGGTTCAATCCCCAGTATTAATAAAGAAAAATGTGCATGTTATCATGAGCCCCAAGGAAGAGAAGAGGAGCCAAAGAGAAAGCCCAAAGTAGAGAGAGGGAAAATAGAATAAAAGCTGAAAAAGAAGGAAGTAGAAAAGTAAACAACAAAGTTAACAAATTGTAAAATAAGATGGAAGAAACATGGATTGACTGCCTATTTCCATTACAACAGAATGTCAGCTTGGGTTTTTCAAAAAGTTCAGCTGTCAAATCATAAAGGGTGAAAACAGGAATGGGTGAGGAGCTACCAGGTGAATACCACTAGGAAGACATGGAGGAGAGCAATGTTAATATGGGCAAGGTGGAATTTAAGGTCAGCAGCACTGAAGAAAAAGGGACACAGAGGACCACTACAGGATAAGAAAGGAGTAGATTTGTGAAGATCCAATGTCCAACTACATCTAACAATGGAATAGTTACAAGCATAAAGCAAAACTACTGGAAACACAAGGAGACCTTGATTTTAAAATATGGCTAAAGGATATACTACAGTACACTTTAAAAACTGCGGGGCTCTAGTAGCCAAAAACAAGTGTGATCAGAGAGTTGGGTTGTGCCTTCCTTGGAAATCACTTGAGGAGCCTAAAATGACAGTGCCAAGCCCTGTCCCTGTCACTGACCCAAGTGGGTCCCAGCTTCATGATGTCTCAAGTACTACTCCCAAAGGACTCTACTGCGGTCAGGCTGACTCTGCCATTTCCCTCAAGTCTCTGAGCTTTCCATAGCTCTTTCTGTAAACAACCTGTTACCATGCACATCCCCAGCCCTCACAGGTTCACCTTTCCTCCCAGATTCAACCTAAGTGCCTCTTCGCAGAGAAGCGTGGGCCTCCTCCATGGCTTCCTCCTGCACAGTCTTTCCATTCAGCCAAACTCAATGCACTCAACAACATACTGCAGATCTCTCCCCTAGGCAGAGATCCCTCTGTCTGGTTCCTTCTACAACCCCTGCCCCCTGCACAGTACCTGGTATGCAGCTCATGTACCATTGACTGACAGAAAGAGAAAGGGGTCCCTGAGGAGTAACCCTGATTATAGCAGGGCTCTGGGGCTCCACCAACATTGAGAAACCCAAGGTTGGGCAAGGGCGAGTCCTGTCCTCAAGAATGGAAGTGGCTCTACAACCCTGGACTGGTATGGCCACACACTTTGGCCCTCAGGGCCTCTCTCAGTAGCCATAGACCACCAGGACTCCTGGGTTTTGTTCACAGCTGTCAGCTTCCCCCAGCACCTCTTCTCTCCCAGCCAAGCTTATTGTCCCAATTTATCTCACAAGCATCTCACCACAGGGACTGGAGTTATTCAGGCGAAGGATCCGGGTGACTGTGTCTCCTCCAGACATCTGGGTCCCAAACCTAGAGGGGAGAGACCAGATATAACAGCCACAGCTAGCACATAACTCATAGGTAGGAAAACTTCAGGGAGGACTCCTGGGTGAGGGCTCAGACTGGAGGAGGCACTAGTAGTCTGTCTTCTCCCTGGCAGCACCAAGACCCAGGGCTGGGAGTCTTCCCCAGCAGTGCCTGATGAACTGTGTCATGAGACTGTTCCCTGCCCTGGCAATCTGCCCCATCCCCCAAACTGTGCTGATCAGACTGATCCTAGCTCATGTGTGAGCTCCCAGGTCTGGAGTTGACCTTGGGCCACACTGGCTGTTCTCTACCTCTGTTCCCCAAAAGCCCTCAGAGTTACACAGGCAGTGGCCATATCCTCTGAGGCCTCTTTCCTCTAGCGCTGCCCTGCCCTGGGGCCTTCTTGTAGGTGTCACTGAGTGGCCCTGGACCAGATGGAAAGTAATGACCTGGCATGGGTTTCAGGGGCCACCAAGGAGTAGAGGATGAGCTGAGGCTGGGGTACCTGATGATAGGCTCCTTCTGGAACCGGTCAGCGGTATAGTAGATAGTCCTCAGGGAGCTGATGGGGCAGCCCACCACTTCCATGTGCACTGGGATGACTGCTGGTGGCAGGTCCCCCACCTGAAAACATACCAACTGTTACCCTGTCACTGCTACCACAGCATTCCCTCCAGGCAAGGCCTCCCCTTGTCCAACCAGCCCAGAGTCCCCACAGCTTGGTCCCAGCTGGGCCCAGTCCCACTTCCTACTGTCCGACTTCTACCCCAGATAGCCCTGGTCCTGGGTTGCCTCATCCCCAGCCTTGGTTTCCCTTCCCTTCCCTGCTATGTCTACTCTCCTCCCAGCTTGCCACCGGTACTGATCTCCCAGCCTGAAGGTCTCTGGCCTCTCATAGCCCCTTTGATCAAATTTCTGTATTTTTTAATTGGAAAGAACTTTATCATTTTTCTATGCTAATTAAAAGTAATAAATAATTATGTTTAGGAAAAAATTGAGTGTAATAATCACCTATAATTCTATAACTAAGGAGGACTCACTGTTGCCATTTTAGTGTGCAGCAGACTACCCTTCATTGTGTCTATAAGACACAGACACAACTGGGCAACACACTAGATATGTTTCTCTTTAATAACCTCTATTTTCTTTTGACAATATAAGAAAATTTTGCTAATAGGTTTATGACAACACAGAATGGGCTTTACAGAATTCTACTGTTAAGAGACAAAGCCTAGTGGTTTTATCCTATCTTCTACTGGTGGACAAGAATCCTTAGATTGTTTCCTGTTTTCCCCTCTGTTATAAGCAATGCTGAGAAGAAATGATGCAACCTAGCATGAAGTCATTTATTCACTAATCTTTCTTTGGGAACACTGTAAGTGAGTATTCAGCACATTCTCCAAGTGTTTCCAAGCTAGTTACTACCTCTTTGCTCACTGGACCCAAAAGCACCCTTCACCATTAACTTTAAATGTAATATTGACAAGTCAATATTTCATGGTAACTTTACTTTGTATTTCTTTAATTACTGGTGATGGTGACATATTTTTATGTTTAATGGCCATCTGGATTTGTCTTTCTTTGAATTGCCTACTCAAACCCTTTATCCACTGAGAATGCTTTATTCCTCCTTACTATTATTTAATTGCTCTTGTATTAACACAATCAATCATTTATCATACACCATACAAACACCTGAAAGCAAATATCTGCCAAATTAACTTGTTCAATTTACTAAGGACTTCATGAAAATCTTCTAGAAAACAATTGAACATTAGGATTGGGTATGCATGTTTCATCCTTCCATAGTGAGCTAGGAGCTCCTTGCTGGCATCATCTATCATTTTATTCAGAACTGGGAATCTGTACATAGTGGGGGCTAAGTGCACTAAGTGAAGGAGTAAATGAGTGGACCACTGGGCGAATGATAAGTGCACTGAGAGCTAGGCAAGACCATGACTCTGGGAGGCTGCTACTGTCCCGCCACTCCTACTCTTCTCTCCAGGTATTGAGTCCTGGCCTACCTAGACAGCCTGCTGTTTCCTCTGACTCTCTCTGTGGTCCCAGTGGGAAAAAGTCCAGAAGGTTCTACCGCTCATGAGGACTCCTCTGCCTGACATCTCAGCCTCAAACCCGAAGTTGCAGCTGTCGTGAATGCTCATATCACGATCAGTGGGCATCACCTTGCAACTTGGTGAGCTTTGAGAGGCTGAGGATCAGGCATCAGAGGAGAGGAAGTCAGACGGCACATGCCTGCCTGTGCACCCTTACCGTACAAATGAGGTTGTCCCAGTATTCGCCCCACATGTTGGCACAGCCTGTGATGTCAATGCTTAGCTGCTGATAGGGCTCCAGTGTGCCTTGGGAAATGTGGGAGAAAAAAGCAGCTCCTTTCCTGTGAGATAACATTCTTTCCATAAAATCTGGGGGAGAATCAAGAATGGGAATTTAGGGCCCTGGAGTTAAAAATGAAATTAAAACCCTCAAGTTTGCAAAACACTGCACCAAGTCAAGCCACCCTGCAGCCTCAACTTGGGCAGGAGGCCAGCTCAGGGGCCAGTTGCTCAGGGCTCAGCTTGGTCAGCCTCCCTTACCTCCTGCAAGGTTAAGACCCAGTGGGAGTCCTCCCTAATGAGCCACGACCCACCCCAAATCAAACACCGTGTGTGAGCCTGTGCCTGAGCAGGGAAGTGGCCTCATTTCAAGAGAGGGAGATCATCAAATAGAGAGCTATCTTGGGGACCTCACTGGGAAAGACACTGAGAGGAAGTCTCTGGTCCCTGACAGCTGTTGGCCCTCATCCTCAGAGCAAAACCCAAAATCCCCACTCTGATGGCTCTTACCCAGCTGCTCTCGCTTAGCCAACTGCTCTCGGATCCGTGCAGTCTTTATGAGGGCAGGAGGCATGTCAGGGCTTTATAAATGGGGATAAAAATAGCATCAAATGAATCAAGCCTTTCCCAAGACCCCAGCCATGTTTCATAGTAACCAGTGTCCTAATAGGTGCTCAGGAGAAAGGTGACACTGCCTGCTTCTCCCCAGGGGAGAGCTGGTCAGGTCTCTTCACCTCCTTCTCTGGTCTGTGTCCCCACTGTACCCCTACATCCAAAGTATCCCCAGCTTCAGGTTGTTCTCTAAGTCACCTGCCAAGAAACCCAGGAGGACTCTGGGCAGGGATCCTCTGCCCAGGCTCTGGGCTCTGATTATACCAGATGCAAACCTAGCCCAGCATCTCCTGTCCAGACTTTGCAACAGGCTCATTTAGAATACCCTGCTACACCTCTCCAGTACACCAACTGGGTGCCTCAATAGTGACTGGGAGCTGGGCCCTGGTGGCTTACACCTGTAATCCTAGCTATTCAGGAGGCAGAAATCAAGAGGATCATGGTTCAAAGCCAGCCCGGGCAAATAGTTTGCAAGACCCTATCTAGAAAAAACTCACACACACACACACACACACACACACACACACACACACACACAAAAGGGCTAGTGAAGTGGCTCAAGGTATAGGCTCTGAGTTCAAACCCCAGTCACTAAAATAATAATAATAAAGAGTAACCATGACTATAGGCATGCAGGCCAAACTGAAGAGAAGAGGTTACAATCCCAGCATCTCCAACAGGCCTACTCAGAGTCTGAGAGCCATATCCTCTCTGATTCCCCATGTCTACCTATGAAATCACAGACTTCCCTTCTCATGCCAAGTTTCTGGCCACCCAAGCTACAAAGAAGCCCAATGGGGTAAACCCCACCTGGCTACATGCACACTGGGAACTCACTCTGAAAGCAAAGAGACTTACAGGCTGGTCTTTTTGCTCAGGCTGTTCTGAGGGCTCCTGAAGTACTCAAAGTTGAGGGTGAAAGCGGTCTGTATTGGGGAGTGATTAGTCAGGATGAGCTGGCGATGCACACAGGTCCTCAGCAGCACCTTTGAGCCAAAGTCCAGTTGGAGCTCCTCCGGATGGGCTGGATACTGCTTTGTGCTGAAAACACTGCCCCATGCCCATAGGTATTATGTTATCCACCACACTGACCCTGCTCAGAGAGCTACCCTGAGTGGGGGAACAGGAGCTGTCCAGAAACCCAGCCTCACTCTTGACTCTCTCTACAGGGAGCTGCCAGTCCACAGACCAACCCTTCTTATTCAACCATGACAGAAAGAGAGGTCTTCAACTCTGCACAAACTGTTCCTGGCTGGGGGCAGGCTGGTCCCTACCAGTTGCTGGACCTCATATGGGAAAGTCCAAGGAGTCCATAGGCTTGTTCTTTGCCATTTCCTACCTGCCTGGACACCATGCTTACAAGCACAGGGGGAAGGACCACACAGAGACAGGAGAGGGATTTGCCCTCACAGACACAGTTGTGGCCTGCGACAACTCTGTGACCTTCTTTCTGCTGCAGAAATTGACTGAGAGGGGATTGGTACCACACTGCGATGCATAGTCCTTTGTGTGGCTGTTCCTATCCTAGGCTCACCTGCTATCAGAGCCCTCTACAGAGATGGAGATGGTCACTTCCAATCCCCGAGGCTTCCCAGAAATTCCCAGGGCCAGTGGTTTCTTCATGCCTGACACATGACAAGGGAGGGCCAGACCGGTCAGCTCTTCCTACAAGAAAGCAGTCCAAGAGTCAGACCAGGCCAGGATCTCAAAAGATGGGCCTAAGGCCTTAACGTCTGTCCAGGCTCATCCCTAAGGAAGGGCTCTCCAGTGCCTCAAGTGAATCATCCTGTTAGCCTATACCCAGCCACCAGAGACCTGGCCCTTCCTCTAGGTTCATGGTTGTCTGAATCTGCCACAAGTATCTGTGCATGCCCACAGGAAGGAAACCCCTCCTTCAAGTCACGCTCTGGAGAGATGCACATGTTCTCTGGTGAAGCTGCTATCAGGGACAGCAAAGCCTTCCTGAGGGGGATCTGTTTTATGACAGGCCTGGCCCCTGTACCTGTCATCCTAGAGCTCAGGCTTATCTGGGTAATAAGACTCACTGTTCCCAAGTTTGCCAGTGAGGAACTGGGAGCTGAGTCTGCAGGTCTCTGCAAGGAAGAAGTTTCTCTCACAAGAGAACCACAAAGTGATATCCAGCAACACCTACGTGCTGAATATGTTCCGTTTTGTGGTCTCCCTTTGGGCCACTCTAGGGAGAAGCTCAGCTGGCCACCAGTGAGTCTCCCCCTGTAACATCCAGTACAGTGCCTGCCTTAAGCAGGAACTGTGCCCTGGATCACTGGGAAAACCGGAAATCTGCCCCAGGAGTGCCTGGAGAAGGCTAAAGTTGGTCCCAAAGAGGTCACTAGGTCTCAGTGCACATTCACGCCTACTCCAGGCTGTCTAGCCACGTGTCTGTAGAGAGTAGGCCCAACTTGAATAGGTACCCTAGTCCAAATGCAAGGAATCCTTTCTCCACCCAAAAGGAACAGAAGTCAGGTCTGAGGTAGAACCTTTCTGAAGATGTAGGTACCAGCTATAGGCAGAATATCTTTCCAGTCACTTGCCTGCACATCACTTTACTCACCTGGATATAGGTAGTCAACTCCAAGTTGAGCTGGCATTCCTCACTGGGACCCAGCAGGCCATGTTTAGGGGAAATTCTCACTGTGCAGAAGGCTGCTTGGTCTCCCAGGAGCTGGCAGACACATGGATAGATCTGTTATCTTTTCTGGAGTTATTAGAATTGACCAGGGCCCAGAGTATTTACCAGGGGCTGGCAAATTGGGACCCACAGCAAGATAGACAGGGTCGGGTGCTTCTAGGGGAATTCCCTAAAGGCAAGGCCATGAAAAGCTGGATCAGATGTGCTGTTCCTTTGGGGAGCGAAGCTTTTCTGGGCACTGTGGAAGGAGGAAGAGGCTATTGGAGGGAAGCTGAGCATCTGTTCTTGGGGGGATCTAGGGGCCACAGTATCCTCTATTGCTGACGGTTATAGATTACTGCCCAGGGATACAGGTTAACTCACCTTGCCCCAGTGAAACCGGGTGGGCAGAAGTGTACCATTGATGAGTGTTATGGTTGACTTTGTAGGCACACGCAGGTAGAGGTTGCTGACCTCCACCTGGCTGCTCTTCAGGTACACATGGGGCTCCTGTATCTCGGCATACACAGGAAGGTAGCTAGAACATAAGGGGGGGGGGAAGCAAACTGATCAGAATAGGAGAAATAAAACTCTTGATTTACAAATGACATAATGGTCTATGTAGAAAATCCTGAAGAATCTATATTTTTAAAAACTCAAGCTATGCTTTTATCAGATAAAGTAGACTTCAAACTTAAATTAGTAAGAAGAGACAAAGAATGCCACTTCATACTAATAAAAAGAACAATACATTGAAAGGAAATAATAAGTGTTAACTTACAAGCACTCAATGTTGGTACACCGAATTTCATTAAACATACACTACTGGACTTAAAAAGCATAGATAGACCCCAATACAATGATAGTGGGAGACTTTAATACTCCTCTGTCACCAACAGATAGGTCATCCAGGCAAAAAAAACAACAAAGAAACTTCAGAATTAAATGACATCACAGACCAAATGAACCTGACAGACATCTACAGAGTATTGATCCAGCAGCAGCACAATATACATTGTTCTCAGCACCCCATGGAATGTTGTCCAAAATAGATCATGGGCTGGTGGAGTGGCTCAAGCTGTAAGAGCACCTACCTAGAAAGTGTGAAGCCCTGAGTTCAAACCCCAGTGTTGCAAAATAAATAAATATCTTAGGGCACAAGCAAGTGTTAACAAATATAAGAAAATGGAAATAACCCCCCTGCATACTGTCAGACCACAACAGAATAAAACTAGAACTCAACAACATAAGAAATAGCAGAAAATACTCAAACATCTGGAGACTGAGCCACACATTGATCCATGGCCAGTAAGTCATCAAAGAAATAAGGAAGAAAATAAAAAAGTTCCTAGGATCTAATGAAAATGAAAATTCAATCTACCAGAACCTATGGGATACAGCAAAGGCAGTGCTAAGGGGAAAGCTTTGAATGCCTACATTAAAAACACAGAGAGACCACAAATAAATGACCTAATGCTACATCACAAACTCCTAGAAAAACAAGAACAAACTAAACCCAAAACCAGCACAACAGAAAAAAAATTTTAAAAGGCAGAAGTCAATAAAATAGAGACCAAAAAAAAAAAATCATACAAAGAATCAACAAAAAGTTTAAAAAACTAAATAAGATTGATAAAACCTTAGTGAACCAGACTAAAATGAGGAGGGAACAGACCCAAATTAATAAAATTGGAAATGAAAAAGGAGTACCACAGCAAACACCAATGAAATCTAGAGGATCATTAGAGAATACTTTGAAAATCTGTATTCAAATAAATTGGAAAATCAAAAAGAAATAGATAAATTTCTAGACACATATGGCCATCCAAAATTGAAAAGAGGATATAAATCACCTAAATAGATCTATAATGAGTAACAAAATTAAAGCAGCAATAGTATCCTAAAAAAAGAAAAGTCCAGCACCTGATGGATTTTCTGCTGAATTCTACCATAACTTTAAAGAAGTAATGCCAACACTCCTCAAACTTTCCCATGAAATAGAAAGGAAAGGAACTCTGCCATACTCATTTTATGACGCCAATATTACACTCATCCCCAAACTGGACAAGGACACAACAAAAAAAGATAATTATAGGCCAATCTCTTTAATGAACTTAGATGCAAAAATTCTCTCCAAAAATACTGGCAAACTCAATTCAACAACATACCAAGAAGATTACTCACCATGATCAAGTCAGTTTCATTTCAAGGATGCAGGGATGGTTCAACATGTGCAAATCAATAAATGCAATACAGCATATAAACAGAAGCAAGACCAAAAATCACATCATCATCTCAATAGATGCAAGAAATGCCTTTGACAAAATTCAACATCCTTTTTTGATAAAAGCTCTGACGAAAGTAGGAATAGAAGAATGTCCCTCAACATAATAAAGGCTACATATGACAAGCATATAGACAACATCATACTAAATGAGAAAAAACTGAAACCATTTCTTCTAAAATCAGGAATAAGACAAGGGTGCCCACTCGCCCTACTCTTACTCAACATAGTTTTGGAATTCCTAGACAGAGCAATAAGACAGGAAGAAGAAATAAAAGGAATTAGAACGGGAAAGAAAGAAGTCAAACTATTCCTATTTGCAAATGACATGATCTTATACCTAAAAGACCCAAAAAACTCCCAGACATCACAAACACCTTCATCAAAGTAGCAGGATACAAAATCAATATACAAAAATCTGTAGCCTTTCTATACATCAACAATGAACAGACTGAGAAAAAATTAAGGAAAACAATTCCATTTATAATAACCTAAAAAACATACCTAGGAATAAACATCACAAAGCAAGTGAAATAGCTCTACAATGAAAACTATAAACCACTGAAGAAAGAAATCAAAGTAGACATCAGAAGATGGAAAGATCTCTTATGCTCCTGGATTAGCAGAATTAATAATGTGAAAGTGGCTATATTACCAAAAGCAATTGACTTATTCAATATAACCCCATCAAAATTCCAAAGACATTCACCAGAGAGCTTGAAAAATCAATCCCAAAGTTCATTTGGAAGCACAAAAGGCAGTGAATAGCCAAGGCAATACTGAACAAAAAGAGCAATGCTGGAGGTATCACAGTAACTAACTTCAAATACTACTACAGAGCCTTAGCAATAAAAACAGCATGGCACTGGCACAAAAACAGACACAAAGACCAATGGAACAGAATAGAAGACCCAAATACAAATCCAGACAGCTACTCCCACCTAATTTTCAACAAAGGTGCACAAAACATACGATGGAGAAAAGATAGCCTCTTCAACAAATGTTGCTAGGAAAACTGGATATCTGCATGCAGAAAACTGAAACTAGACCAATGTCTTTCACCCTATACAAATATCAACTCAAAGTGGATGAAGGACCTTAATATAAGACCTGGAACTTTGAAACTAGTGCAAGAAAGAGTAGGAGCATACTAGGCATAGGCAATAACTTTCTAAATAGTACTCCAATGGTTCAGCAACTGAGAGAAATGATTGACAAATGGGACTACGTGAAACTAAAAAGCTTCTGCACAGCAAAGGAAATGATCACCAGATTGAAGAGGCAGCCCACAGAATGAAGAAAATCTTTGCCAGTTATACGTCTGACAAGGGATTAATAACCAGATTATACAGGGGGCTTAAGCTCTCAAAGAATCAATGACCCAATTTTTAAAATGAGCAAATGAACCAAACAGAGCTCTTTAAAAGAAGAAGTACAAATGGTCAAAAAACACATGAAGAAATGCTCAACATCCCTGGCCACAAAGGAAATCCAAATCAAAACCACATTAAGATTCTCCCTCACCCCCTGTTAGAATGGCTATTATCAAGAACACCAACAACAAATGTTGGCGAGGATGTGGGGAAAAAGGAACCCTCATACACTGCTGGTGGAAATGTAAATTAGTACAACCACTCTGGAAAACAGTATGGAGGCTCCTCAAAAACTAAAAATAGAACTAACATGTGATCCAGAAATACCACTCCTAGGCATAAACTCAAAGGAATGTAAGTCAAGTTATAATAAAGACACCTACACACCCATCTGTGTAGCATTATTCACAATAGCTAAGCTATGGAAACAGCCATGATGTCTCACAACAAATGAATGGATTAAGAAAATATGGTATTGGGGCTGGCGGAGTGGCTTAAGAGGTAAGAGCACCTGTCTTGCAAGAGTGAGGCCCTGTGAAGCAAACCACAGTGCTGCCAAGAAAGAAAATATGGTATTTATATACGATGGAATTTTATTCAGCCATAAAGAAGAATGAAATTGTGCTGTTCACATGTAAATGAGTAGAATTGGAGAACATCATCATAAGTGAAGTTAACCAGGTTTAGAAAGTCAAAGATCACATATATGGTGGACACAATACAAACACAAACATATATATATGTATTTAATGTTTCCAAAAGTGGGACTGTTAGAGGAGACTAAGGGAGGAAGAAAAGAAGGAAAAAACAGTAGTGAATAATAATGACATACATCACATCTGTGTAGGAACAAGACATAACGCAACATACTGAAAACTGTTGAACAATACAGTGTAGGAGGAAAAGGGGGAGGAAGAGAAATGGAAGGGGGCTAGACTGACTTAAGCACAATATATTTACAGGTAAAGTTCCAAGGCAAAATTCCCACTGAACAATGAACAGACACCTAAATAATGACGGACAGGAATATAAAACAGGTCATGTTAAGGGGAGGGCACTGGTGGGAGAGGAGGGGTAAATGAAGAAATAAAGAGGGTGAATATGGTTGATATACTTTCTATACAAGTATAATTATAGAACAGTGAAACTTGTTGAAGTCACTATAAGAAGGGGAAAGGGATGTGAGAGAAAATAATGGAGGGAATGAACCAATTCGGGGTATAATGCATGTATATATGGAAATGTCACAATGAAACTCCTTTATAACTACCATAAGGTAACAATTTTTTTAAATGAAACACAGGAAAGTAAACCAGGTCCTGTCCAAGGGTGAGTACCAGTGGGAGAGGGAGGGATAAGGAAAAGATGTAAGAGGACCAATATGGTGGAAGTATCTTGAATTCATGTATGAAAACAGAACAATGAAACCTAAACAATACATACATAAATAATGAAGCAAAGACGTCCAAAGAGAAATTAGAAAACATTTTTTCCATCAATGAAAATAAAAATATAGCAAATCAGGATGCAGCTAAAGCATGCTCAGAGTTTTCTACTTTCTAGTTAAGAAACTAGAAAAAAAAAAGAGCAACTGAAACTCAAAGAGAGCAGGATAGAAATAACAAAGGTTAGAGAGAAATAAAAAGAAATAGAAAAACAATTCAGAATGTCAACAAAATAAAAAGTTGTTTCTTTGAAAACGTCAACAACATTGACAAACCTTTAGCTGACCAAGAAAAAAAGAGAGAAGACTCAAATTACAGAAATCAGGAATGAAGAAGGGCCCAGCCTCTCAGCTTAGGGCAACACACAGAAGACTAGGGGGCAGCAGAATTCGTCCTACTGAAGAACATGGGTGTTGGACTGGAGAGCAGCCAGGGCAGAGCCTGCAGTTACCCTGGACCTCTCAACTGTCATGGAGGAAAAACAACCCAGGCAATCCTGTCCTACTTATGAATGGACTGATTTGTGCAACTGGCCAGCGTGGGCTTCCTCTGCTGTTTGTCTTGGCTGCTGTTCCTTAACCCTCTTCCTCTGAGGGACTGAGGTGTACTATGAGGGCCACTCGTCAATGCTTCTTTCCCTAGGAGAGGGGGCTTACCACACCTTCACTCACTTATTTAAAGGAAACTTATACCACCAGCTCCTTAGGCAAATTAACTAGATCCTCCATTCAAAAATAGGAATGGACAGAAAGCCAAGGATTGCTAGATGTAGAAGAAAACCAAACAGTGAAGAAGGACTCCACACCAAAACCTGAGAAAACAGAAATTAGTTTCCTTGGGAGAATGTGAGAGTCTATTGCATGTGCAAGACACAAAAGGAAAACCCAAGAATGAAACCTTGACATTTAAAAACATGGTTGCCAGAAGTAGGACATAATCACCAAAGACAGAATTAATGAGCTGCAGGGCCAACGGCTCTTCCCTGAATGAGGAGCAAAATCACTGAGAGATGGGAAAGTAGGAGAACAGCTAAATTCACAAAGTGAATCTGACAGGCTGTGGTGAATAGTAGTAGCTATTGTTTTTGTTTGTTCATTCTTTGTTGATTTGTTTGTTTTTTGGAGACGGGGGAGGGGGATCTCAATATGTACCCCATGCTGTCCTGAAACTTGAAATCCTCGAGTCAGCCTCCTGAGTGCTGAGATTACAGGTGTGTACCACCATGACTGGCTGTGGCTATTTTATTGACTAGTAAGCTTTCCCACTTCCTTCTTCCACAGATGGATTCACCCATCCCCTACCCCCAGCCAGGGGAAGGGGTGGGCATGTGAGTCAAAGAGGATGGATCAGGGCCCATTTCTGGAGAAAACCAGTTTACTTTTCATAGAGAAAAGTTTCCACTGGGAGTGTGGAAACCTACCTAGAGCCCCTCCCGGCAAAGTGGCTAAGGTCCCTCCCCATAGGGGAGAGAAAGGCCAAGAAAGAGAAGTGGAGTTGAAGTTAGGGCTGGGATGGGGGATGAGAATGAGAGAATGCAGAAGAGCAGACAAAGGGAAAAGTTTCACTTTGGATTCAACCAGGCAGGAATGCCCAATTATATGAGCCAATGCTTTTTTTTGGTTTTTTTTTTGCCCAAATTGGTTAGGCCTTCTTTTCCATCACCATTTTGGTTAATATAAGGGCCTTTCAGAAGAAAGAACAGATACAGGAAAAGAAAGAAAGACTTTATAGGAGTGATTTTCTCAGAGCTTTTAGATTTAAGGCCTACCAAGTGTCCTGCAGGGCCAGTGAGGAAAGACTCATGCCTAGGCCCTAGTCATCACAGAAAGTGCCTTCAAACAAGACACTGGTGGTGTTAACCACTCCATCATATATTGTGTGGGCTAAACCTACTCTTACACACTGCAGGTAAAAATGACATAATCTTTTTGGAGGATAATTCTAGAATATCTATAAATACTTTAAGAGGCACATGTTTTTATAATAAAATAAGTATAAAACATATATACAACTTAAATTTATGTCCAGCATAAGGAATTTTTTTTAAAATGTGTGCATCACCCCCACCTAAATTCAGAAACAAAATATTATCACCAACCATCTTAAGAAAATCTTTTGCTTCAAAGTAATTTGGAAGGGGCAGATGGGAGATATGAATTAGTTATTTGCTGTGAGCTGACAGTTATTGAAGGTAGGTAACGAGTTCATGAGGGCTTATTATGCTATTATATATGTGAGGAATTTTCCACTGGAAAGATGAAAGAGGGAGAGAGGAGAAAGGAAAGAGGAAGGAACAACAACAACAAAAAGAAATGTTACTACCTTTGAAACCTCCATTGTGTTTCTCCCAGAATACAAAGGTATTTGCACATTTAGATATGTCACAATGTTTTGTGTGTCGATTCTCCTGTTGACAAACATTGGTGCTTCTAATTTTTTATGTTTTGCTTTGCTAGATAACAACACAATGTTTTTGAATGTGGTTGAACTTATATTCTTTTTGCAGAATCAATAATAGTTTTAAATTCAGCAGTGTTCTGAAAAATAAATCACTGAACATACTATAAATATACTGTGAATATACATAAAGTTCTGTCATAATCTTCCCACACTGCCTGCCCCTATACCTGCAGTCCCCATTTTCCACCTCCAGCTCCAGTACAGTCTGCAGACGCTGGCACTGCAAAGCCTCCAGAGTGATTGTCACTTTGCACTCCCCCAGAGGCTGAAGCTGGCCACTTGAAGGTTCAATGTAGAAGGGCGATGCCTACAATCAATACAGAAGGGTGAGGAATGAGGACTCATGAAATTCCGGAGGCACAGGGAGCAGGCCATACCCAACCAGGGTCTCCCCCCAAACTGCCCTGGCTCTTACAGAGCCATTGGGGACCTGAAAGGAGGCAAGCAGGTGGGCAGCCACAGTTGGGTGAGGCTGTCAGGGTTACGAAGACAAAAACTAAGTGTCCAAGTGAGGGAATACATAAGATAGAGGTCCCCATGTTCCAGCCCAGATCTGAGAGGTAGAAGGCAGAGGAGCACGTAAGGGAGGGGAATGGAGAAAGACAAAGTAGGCAGCTGCCAGCTGCCTATTAGGAGTAGGGAGTAGGAGAATAGCCTGAGAACCATGGGGGGAGGTACAGTGTCCCTCTGGGAAGGCCTGGAGCAGGCCCTGACAGCTTCAACTGAGGTCACCTGATTGAGGAAGGGGAGAATCTGTCAATAGACCGAGATTTCTCCTTTGAACACCCTCTCATCCCCTGCAGGATTGGACTTATTCACCCAGCAAACCTAACCCTCCCCAAACCAGGACAGACAGAGGGGGAAGGGAAAAAACAGGAAGGAACTCTGCTTCTGGGAAGGGCTCTCTACCCATTCCACCAGTCCCTGCTGAGAGAAGGGGCACTTCTCTGACTTAGTAGCCCAGGGCTCTGGGTGGGCCACAATGGCTGGGGGTGGGAGGTGTCACTGGACATTGAAAAGTCATGCTGAAGGGATTTTATCCCTCCTCTTTGATCTTTTCCTTCCCTGAGACTAGGACAATGTGTGCCAAGATGGCACCTATCTGGAAGTGCCATGTGGCCTGGCTTGCCCTTCCTCCCTTCATCCCAACCCAAGGCACCCTTCTTTCAGGGTTGAGTGCTCTCTCCTTCTGAGGCTCTACCTCCTTGCATTGGTAAGAGAGGTGGAGTGGCCCTTACTGGAGGGTGCTCAGGCCTCACTCTCATAGAAAAAGAAGGCCTTGTGTGCTCATCGGAGCTCAGGCATTGGAGTTTGAGTTAGTAAGGAAAGAGTTCAGGATGCAAATGAATCCTCTTTTCTTTTTTGCAGTCTGTGGGTCTGGGCCACACATCTGGGCCCAGGTGCCAGCACAATCCTCAGGAGGATGAGATTCCTGGATGAGCTGGCAGAAGTGGGAATATGGCCATTAGTAATGGCAGCCTTGGGTGCTTCCCACAAAAGGCTGCTCTAGGGGGGAGAAACCCACCGCCTGCTTCTGCATTCAATGGAAGAAAAGAAAATGGAAATACTTGTTGAGTTGGGGATGGAGGTAGAATGCATGGTGGAGAGGAGCTGCCTGAGAGGTGGGGGAAACTGAGGGCACTGCCAGTCAGCTTTTCTCTCCCAGCTTTAGAACTGTGATCTGAATGCACAGCAAGCATCACAGCTCAGACATAAGCCAAGGTTAAGTGGCTCATGGGGAGGCAGTACCATAGGAACTAGCAGCACCAAACTAACCTCTGCACATCTTTCTTCCAGGCAGACAGGACTCTCTCTCAAGTGCCACACTGCAGGGAGCTGGCTGATGTTCTGGATCAGGATGGCATTTGTGATGCTCTGCCCCAGGCGGAGCAGACCAAATTGAAGGGCTGAGACGTTGATGACCAGGGCAGGCCCCTGAAACCCCAGAAGAGTCTGTCACTTGGCTGCCCGGGGTGAGATTTTTGTCCTACCCTGCCACCTCTCTGGACCTGCCCAACTGCCCAGCCCTGATTCACAGCACCTTAAAGTCTGCCTCGATGTGCAACACCACTGGAGAGGGTGAATCTCTGATTTCACACAGCAGGTCCTGGCTGGCTGGGCCAGGGACACCCCCAGTAAAGTTCAGCACAAAATCCCCAACCTCGTTGGGCTCTGAGAGAGAGAAAAAAGTGAGGTGGGGACTGGAAACAGGGATGTTTTCCTTTCACAGTAGCTTAGAGGCCTGGTCTTCCTCCACTTCTTACCTGCTACATGGCCCAGGCCTCTGCTGGAGATGACTACAGGACACAAAGGTTCTTACATGTGCTGCTACAATGCCTCCTCCTCCCAGCCATGAGCAAGTCATACCCTTCTATAGTCCCTGAAGTACCTATGACCCCAGTGCAGGGTTCCACTTCAATGATGTGGCAGTCACTGATCTTCCCCCACATGTATCTGATGGGTGACTTGCTGTTGTTCCACATCTGAAAGACACACCCAATCCAGGTTGCCAGGTGCTGCCCTTCCATGTCAAATCTAAACCTGCCGAAGGACTGTGGGTTCACAAAGGGCATACTTGATACCCTTCCAGCTAACTCCTGGCCATCTGAAGCCATGGCCTTCGCAATCCAATAGCACCCCTACTCCATGCTGCAGGGATGTGGGTGCCATATCCTGACAAAGACCTGTGAACACAGGCATCTGTAGGAGCCACAGTAGATTCAGGAATAGCTTTGGACTCCATGCAGTAATCCCTCCATCTCTGTCCTCCCTACCTGCCAAGTGCAGCACTACCAACTCCAGCCTGCCTAGGCAGGGGAGAGATGATGCCTTACCTTAAAATCTTTCTTCACGTTGATGCCAATGTAGTTCTCCCCAGGGATAATGAGGGCATATGGCTCCAAGAGAACCTTGAAGGGTTCTGCTGAGCCTTTCACCTCGATTTCCAGGACAATCACATCATCCACAGAGTATGAGTAGTCCCCCAGGTTCTCTATCTCTGAGCTGAACACAAACACAAACCCACTTCAAGCTAGAAGCTGACATAGCCCCAGAGCATATCCCTTATGTTCCCACCTCTGTCCCACATTTTTGGTCTTCAGAAAACAAAGTGCTCCCCTACCCACAGCTATCAACTCCCTTGCAATTAGAAGCCAGTCTCTGGAACATGATGCATACCTGCACTGCTTCCAGGGACCACAGTGCAGCCTCTGGCATGGGATCTCTCACTGCAGACCTCGTCCTGGCCAGTGCATCATGGGCAAAACCTTCCCTCAGCACTCCACATCCCCCAAGGGCCACCAGCTTAGTTGCTCAAGGGTAGCAATGAGCCTGAGACACAGGCCCAAGGTTCCTGGGATGGCCAACAGCTCTTGTAGCAATTCCAGAGTGCTCTGTTCCCTGTGTGCTGAGCCCGTTCCAGGCAGTGTTGCCAGGGAAAAGCAAAAATGCTCCCAGCCCCCAAAGTCTGCTGTGGTCAGGTTGCTCATGCACCTCTGCCTAGGAGCAGCCCCAGGAGCATCCCCAGGGAGGGCATGCTCAGCTGCCCACCCTCATCAAGGTCCAGGCCTTACTCACCTCAAGGGCTCAGGGACAGCTTCCAGCACCATCTGCAGCACACTGTGGAAACCCCTCATCTGCAAGACAAATAAAACCCCAAAACACACTTGCACTCTAGTCAGGTTTCCTGGAGAAGTCTGTAGCAAGGGCAGGAATTTCTCTTCCCCTTAGCCTGGCCACCAGAAAAGCCTCTGAAAGACTGAGGGCTGCTTCCCTGCTATCTCTGCCCACCCAAGGAAGAGCTGGGTCCTGCCAGAACAGTGCCTAACTCATCTGGGCCTGGAGGCAGGAAGGAAAACCTGTGGAGGCTGACAATGGCCTGGGCAGTGCCCTGGTGGGTCTGAAGCACCACACGCACCCCAGTAGGCAGTGAGAACCTGAGTTCTGGCTCCAGAGGCAACTCTGTTCATCTTGGTCCCAGACCTTCTAACAAGGGCCTTGGCCTGGCCCTGTGCTAAGCTGGCCCTCAGGAGCCTGTGTCTTACTCTCTCTAGGGGCTGCTATGGCATTAGTGGGGATGATAATGTTCTTTGATGTAGCAGAACTGTTGAAGTCACCAGGGCAGAGGAAAATAAACCCAGGTTATGCTGTTGATGGGTGTGTTTGGGGTCAGGACTGGAAATGAAATAAGCTACTTTGTCCTGCACATCAGGCATGGGCTCTCAGGACACTCCTAGCTAAGTGCCAGCCTCAGCAGGATGCCTAGGTACCCCATCAGGTCTAGCTATGGTTTAAAAATCATAAAAGAAAATGTATGGAGGGGCAAGACATTATAACACAATGAAGTGTGACTAATGACATAACACCATTCTAACCTCATAAGGAGAAAAGCTCAGGATGAACTCGTGGTCCGTATGGGGGCTGAGAACCCCATTTTCAGGCACGATGGAGAAGGCAGTCTCCTTGTCGGGGTAACACTTGATGCTTTCCATGCTGTAGGTTTCTCCAGGCATTAGGGGCTGCAGGTTGGGTTTCATGATCTGCCAGTGGAAGGCCAGCTCCACATGCCTGTGGGGGCAACTGACAGTGGGCAGCAGATCCAAAGCCATGTCCTAATTATACCAGGTCTTCCCACCCCTGGCCTGGCTTGCTATGCTCCAGAAGAAAGTAGGAAAAAAACAGGAACAGGAAGTAACCAGGTCAGGTTTCAAGCCCTTCCCATGGAGGAACCTAGGGAAGTCTGGACAGTCGGTGGGTCATGGAGTCCTAACTGGATACCATGTAAGAGCCCACTCCTTCCACATACAGAAGCTGGATGTTGGAGCCACAGTGAATCATGGGAAATGGTCATCCAGAAAATCATGCTGCAATCATTAAACTGGAAGAGTGTAGGCATCCCCAAATATCAGGAAAATCCTCTAAAGTGTTTTCTATACCCTGCCATATCCCTGGCCTCTGCCTCCAGCCATGGCCTGCCAGAATGGCTGTGTCCAGAAACATATGTGCCCACCGGCTGCCAACAGGGATAGTGACAACTCCATGGCAACAGGAGGGGCAAGACTCCAGGCACATTGTTGGTGGGCAGTTGTCAGGAGCAGGGCCCTGGCTGGGAGACCCCCTAAAGTTGGATTGGTGTAATGTGGTGCTCAGAGGCTAGTCAGGAAATAAACAGAAGTGAAAGATGAACACACAGACCCAATTTGTCTGCCCCTGAGACTGGCTTCCCCAGCACAACACAGCATGACTTCTCTCAAAAACTATTTCTGAGTTGGTCCAAGGTGGTTTAGAGTAGCATTGTGCAATCAGTCTTCCTGTAGTGATGGAGATCTTAACTAGCTACACTGTTCAATATGGTAGCCTCCCACTACATGTGACAATTGAGCACTTAAAATGTGGCTAGTGCTACTGAGGAAGTGTTTGCAATTTTATTTAATTTTAATTGATTTAAAATATAAATAGCCACATTTACCCGGTGGCTACCATGATGGAGAGTGTAAATCTGGATCCTTACGTCCAGACTGGATCCATCCAGATTGGGCTCAGATACCCCCTGGCCCTTGGAAGGAAACTCCTGCCTCACTGGGAACTCAGGGTAGGTAGGGAAGGAGAGGGGTACATGTTGGAGGCAAGCACAGGGCCACTCACGTAGCATTTCTGATAATCAACTGTTTCCTAGCTGTGGTCTGAAGGTTTTCAGGCTCAAATCGGATGAAGTGCTGGGCTGTTAAGTCTGTGAGCTCTCCGGGGTCTGGTTCACTTTTTTCACCAGAAATATAGATCAGATCCAAAGCAACCAGTTGCCCAGTTCCTGATAAAGTAAGAGTAGTGAGGTTAGTGAAGTTTCACTATGCTGAAATCAGGACTCTGGCCAAAGGCTGCCGTGGAACTCATGCCATCGTCCACATGCAGCTGGCCTTGACCATGATTCCCACAAGTGGACACCAGAGGGGAAAGAGGGCCATGGACCCACATATCCATATCCTCACTTCTTCACAGACCAAAAGGAGGTGATTTTGAGAACCACATACATACCTAGCAGGCAACTAATGCCTGCCAAGTGACAGTGGATAGAAAAATGGAAGGAAGGGAAGAAGAAAAGAAAGCAGGGAGGGAGGGTAGGCATCTTGGGGCAATTTGGCAAGAGGCCCTTTCTAACACTACAGAAACCTAGAGGTGCCTCTCATGATTCATGTGTGAGTGACTGGCAACTCCCCAAAGGAGATCAAAGTGAGTTTCAAAGAGAAACAGTATAAGATTTCACTCCAGGTTTCAATCTGTCCTTCACTAAAGGACTCCTCTGTCCTAGAAGCCACACTGGTTTGGGTCTTCAAGATCTGACCAGGGTGGGGGAGGGCCTGAAAGCTAGCCACAGGTGCCTGGAGACTACAGCACCCCCTAACAACAGCTCCCATGCCCGCCTGGCTCTGGGGCTCCTGAGAGCTACCTGTGATCACCAGTTCCTTGATCTGGCAGTTGTCACACACGATGATGAAGGTTTGCTCAGCCTTTCCTAGGCTCGTTGGGAGGAACAGTATCTGGAGGAGAGAAATGGGGGTATCCTGTCATGCCCCCATTTGGGGCTTCCAACCCCATCTTCCTCTTCTCAGATATGCACCCCACCATCTGCCCTTATTACCCCTAAAGCCTGCAGGTTTCAGCATAGGGTTTACCCTAGATCAATGCCAGGAGGATGTTGAGAAGATATAAAGAGAAATTTCAAAAGAAACCAAATGGCTCTAAACAAATGACAGCCCATAACCTCCTTCTTAACAAAAGAAACGTAACTGAAAGCCACTCAGAAAGATTTCACTCATCATATTGGCAGAGCAGAAAGTTAGCTGTCATAAATGCAGTGGTTTTTATTTCCCAAATTCATCCAACTCCCAACCCCTGGTAACCACCATCCTTTTTTTTTTTTAATTTTATTATTCATATGTGCATACCACCATCCTTTTTTAGGATTTAACATGTAAGTGCGATCATGCAGTATTCATTTTTCTGTGCCTGGCTTATTTTACATAACATAATGTTCTCCAGGTTCATCCATGTTGTCACAAATAACAGGAATTGCTTCTTTTTAAGGGCCAAATAGTATTCCATTCTGCATATATACCACATTTTCTTTATCCATTCTTCTGTTGATGAACACTTACATTGAGTCTGCATCTTGGCTGTTGGGAATAGTACTGCAATGACAATGGGAGTGAGGATGTCTCTTTGACATACTGATTTAATTTCCTTTGTGTATATACCCAGTAGTGAGGATGCTGGGTCATATGGTAGTTCTAGTTTTAATCTTTTGAGAAACTTCCACACTGTTCTATAATGGCTGTACTTACATTCTCACTAACAGTGTGCAAAGGATCTCTTTTCTCCACAACCTTGTCAATGCTTGTTATCTTTCATCTTTTTGATAACAGCTTATTCTAATAAGTATGAGATGATATCTCATTGTGGTTTTAATTTGCATTTCTCTGATGTTGAGCAATTTTTCATATGCCCATTGGCCATTTGTATGTCTTCTTTTGAGAAATGTTTATTCATGTCTTTTACTTATTTAAAAAAAACATTACTTTCTTCTGATTGAATTGTTTGAATTCCTTATATATTTTGGATATTAACTCCTTATGACATGTATTGTTTACAAATATTTTCTCTACTCCATAGCTTGTCTCTTCACTCTGATGAGTCTTTCCTTTGCTGCGCAGAAGCTTCTTAGTAATTCCATCTGTCCGGTCTTGCTCTTATAGCCAGTGCTTCTGAGTTCATGGGGCTTTCCCCCATGTTTTCTTCCGGCAGTTTTATACTTTCAAGTTTTACATGTAAATCGTTTATCTGGTGTTTTCTATGTGGTGCGAGAGACAAGAAACTAACTTATTTATTTCCATTTTTTCTTTCCCTCTATTTTCCTCCCTCCCATTCACCTTTCTTTCCTTCCTTCCTTCCTTTCTCTCTCTCTTTCTCTCTATTACTGACCTACATTCCCAGCCAAGGGACATAATTCATTCTGATAAAAGCAATCATATAATGTCTGGGGTTTCTTCAAAATAATCTAGAAAGGCAGGGTGGGGATTGGTTGAGGGAGAGGGAGAAAGTAGATGCAATAAAGTTGGCCATGAGTTGATCGTTGTTGAAGCTGGGTAATGAATACATGACTAATCATTAAACTATTCCCTTTGCAGTTGTATATATTTTAAATGTTCATGATAATACACTGTATTGCTAAGGATTAAAAAAATAGGCACTTGTGTGAGTATGTGTGTGTCATTAAGGTTTGAACTCATAGCTTCAAACTTACAAAGCAGGTGTTCTATGGCTTGAGCCACGCCTGCAGTATATTTTGCTCTGTTAATTTTGGAGATGGGGGGGGTCTCGCAAACTATTTGCCTGGGTTGGCCTCAAACTGCCATCCTCCCAATTTCATCCTCCCAATTAACTAGGATTATGGGCCACCGGTGCCTAGTTAAGCAGGCACTATTACATACTGTTGTTGTAAGTATAAACTAGTACAATGTAACATGGTAGGGATGTGGGAAATATGTATCACAATTATGAGAGCATGGACCTCTGATCAGCAGCTGACTTTAAGTATGCCTCCCTATGAGTAAACTCACATTTGGACAGAGAGTGGTGTGTGTCTAAATTATTATCAGAAAAATATCCTCACATCCATCATAGGGGATGCTGAGCTAAATTATGGTTCACTCACACTGTGGAACACTACTCAGTGTTCAATGAAACACATGGTGCAGAACAGAATGTAGAGCAGGCCACTCTGTGTGAAGGAAAAGTGGAAAGAAAAATAATGTGTAATTGCTTATTTAGGCCTAGAATATCTCAGAAATGGCCCTCAGAAAACTGGCCAGATGTGCCAGGGGGAGGGAGCACTGAGGAACTGGGGTGAAAAGGAGCATTTCATATTTGCATCTTTTGAATCTCTAATCAGGTGAATGTTATTTTGAAATATGAGTATTTTTTTAAAACCCCAAATAACCAATAAACAATGCATAATGAATGCAAAGGGGAAAATGTCCCCAACTCTCTCACTGCTCCTGGAGTCCCACTGCTGCCCTCTTTGGAGATCACAGGAGGATGAGGGTCACGTCCAAAGAAGATTAGCCCCAGTCCCTTAAAGTCATCACAAGATGCCTCGTCCACCACTGCTGCCTCCTTCTGCCACTATGGTGCTGCTTGGGTTCAGTGCGGACCGGACCGGATACCTCTTTTGTAAAGTGGCAGCTGAGGAGACTTCGGCGTTTACCATGGCTGATAAAAAGCCCAAGGAAGGAGTCAAGACTGAGAACAACGATCATATTAATCTGAAGGTGGTGGGGCAGGATGGTTCTGTGGTGCTGTTTAAGATTAAGAGGCATATACCACTTAGTAAACTAATGAAAGTGTATTGTGAACTTTGTCAATGAGGCAAATCAGATTCCAGTTTGACGGGCAGCCAATCAATGAAACAGACACACCTGCACAGTCGGAACCGGCGGATGAAGGTACAATTGATGTGTTCAGCAGCAGACAAGAGAAGTCTACTAAAAAGGAAACCTGCCACTTTACTCCAGAACCTTGTTGTTCTAACAGACCAAGAATACATTCTCAATTAGAAAACTGGACTTTGATTCCATCACATCCTGACTACTACAGTGTAGCTTTCTCTACTCTTTCATTTTCCCCTTTCTCCATTCCTTTATTGTACATAAAATAGCTGGTGTATATGCTTTTCATTTTTTCTTTTTCTTTTTCCTTTCTTTCTTTCTTTTTTTTTTTTTTTACAAAGTGGCCAATGGTATGTTTTGATAAACATCAAATCGAGATGGAATGGGAGAAAATACTGGTTCTGTGAAAATATCCTCTGTACATTAGTGGTATGCTCATTCAGCTTTTCTCTATATATTCTAGTAAGTTATTTTGCTTTCACTGTTTTTTTTTTCATTTTTCTTTTATTATTCATATGTGCATACAAGGTTTGGTTCATTTCTCCCCCCTGCCCCAACCCCCTCCTTACCACCCACTCCGCCCCCTCCCTCTCCCCCCCAATACCCAGCAGAAACTATTTTGCCCTTATTTCTTTTGCTTTCACTGTTTTAATAAAAAACCCAACAACATAAAATCCTTGCGTACTTTGATTGAAGAATTTTAATTTTTTCATTTATCACTGTAAAACCAAGGACAATTTTATAACATTTTGTATGTAGCTGTTACATGTAGGGCAAACTGTCTTTAAGTACAGGTAAGTTACTATTTAAAAAAAAAAATCATAGATTGTTTTCCCTTCAAGTCAAGTGTCTGGTTATTCAAATAAACTTCTTATTTAAAATGAAAAAAAAGGAAAAATGCACCACAGGCTATGTCAAGGCCTGGGCTACATCAGGCCTAGAGAACAGAGGTGGGGCTGCATGTGGCTCTTGCAAGACCACATTTCCCCATTGGCAGCAAACAAGGACTGACAAAGCCCTATTATACCCCTGAATTGGCCCTGCCCCAACCCTGAGAACTTGGTTCTCATTGGGACTAGACCAGCAGGACAAGACTAGAGAGCCATGCTCCAGAGTTCCAGACCAAGACCGCATCTGACACTTGAAACTGCAAAGCAGCTGAGGAAAGGAAGCCACGATTTACCCCGTGACAAAACAGTACATGACAGCAGTCCTCACAAAGCACCCCCTGGGCAGTTTTAAAATCCTACACCTGGGTCACACTTCAGACCAGTGAACTCAGAACCCCAGGGCTGGAGCCCAGGCATCGTGATGTTTGTGAATTTCTCAGGTGATTGAAATAAGCAGCTGAGTTTAAGAACCAATGGCTCTAGGATCTCCCAACCTACCAGAAATCAGATAGTTTTTAATCTTAAATGTCAGAGCCTATTTATCATGTTTGCCACAATTTCCACACCCAGCCACATGACAATAGAGAGTCAGAGTCAGGGTCCATGGGACAGGGAGGCCACAGTGTGGAGCCACAGAGGAGGGAGTGTCACCATTTCTCACAGGCACTTCTGGAGATCAGCAAGCAGGTGTGATGAGCCAAAGAAAACGCTAAAAGAGGCCATTTAGGAAAGGAAACATACTTAAGTAGCAGATTGAACCTGAGAGCTTCCATAAGGGTCTAGAATAAGGCTTAATGAAGATGGGACTCGCTGGCTATATAAACAGGAAAGTGAGAACAAGGTCACTCTCTTCACCAGGGGACCAGATGGTGTGGTTAGGTTAGGGGATGGGTTCAAGAAGACGAAAAAACCAAGGGAAAATCTTAGAGGTGACTTAGATGTTGATGTAGGTGACTCCCAATCTAAGTGTGAGCAAGCAACATTCACGGATTGTGATGGAAATGCTAGGTAACTTCACATTTGCTTTTTGAGAGAGGTCTTAAGACAGCCAAATGTCATTGCCCTACAGAAGGCTGGGACATGGATGGAGTGAACATTTGGGTCAGGAAAACAGAGGCAAATTCAGTCTAGTAACAGTCAAGAGCAAGCAAATGATTATGATTACCTACCTCTAGTAATACGGCATACCCCGGGGCCAGCTCAAACACAGAAGGCATGACTCCAAAGGGAGGTTGTTCAACAAAACTAGTGGTTGCAACAGCCTTAAAGAAAAACAGATTACAGAAAGCTGTGGAAGAAATCACAAAATACAGTGCTCAAATCACAAACTTCTCTCCATTCCAAACATCCAATTTGCTATTTGAAGGATCTTAAGGATCATCCAGCGCCATGTCAGTAAACAAACTGTGGTAGGTCATTAGAATTTTCTCAACCTTCACCAGGCACCACATGAGGTTCTGAAGGTTAGGAACAAGTAAGTCATAGAGCATCTGTAAAGAGCTTACTGCTAAGCTGTGGGCATGGCTCAAGTGGCAGAGTGCCTAACTAACAAGATCGAGGCCCTGAGTAGTTCAAACCCCAGTACAGCTCAAAAAAAAAAAAGAAAGAAAGAAAAAGAAAGCCAGCTAGCTGCTAGCAGGAGATGTAAGGGTACTACCACTTGGAACATAAGCAGACGAGACAGGCCCTCCCAAAGCACATGGTCCTTTCCCTGCACTGTACATCAGTGATGCCTCATTCTTGACCCACCCTTGGCTATCGGCTCCTGAGTCATGAGGGAAGCTGTCATCTTACTAGCAGTGTTGCAGCCCCACTGTCTACACACAAGAAGATACTGCATGCCAGAGACACAAACCCCCACGCCAGCAGGTAACAGAAATATATGAAATGTGTTTCTTGGAACTTGTGACCCTCTGGATCTATCTATCTATGATGCTGATGGGCTAAATGAGTGAATGTGGTCACCTTTAAGGCAGGCCTTGAAGAATGAGAGGGGATGCACCTTGCTCAGGTTCATGCATTGCATAACCAGAACTCCAACTCTGATCTCCACACTCCATACACATACTCATGCGAGCCATGGCAGTTGGATAGAGAAGTTACAACATTCTGCTTTTGTGTGTTTCCAATCAGTGGTGCAATCTAGCAACTCCATCCAGGGGATTATTTCCTTTGATGGATTTGTTCTTTCTCTAAGTAGCGATCTATGGTCACTCACCCTGAAACATGGTGGTGGCCAGCAACTTTTCGGCATAATGCAGAATTTGCCAATGCTGAAGCCCACATTTTTGCAGGTGAATCTGGTTATCTTTAGTCCTCCAATAAGGCAGTAACCACAGTCCAACACCGGTGACACTGTAGCCACAGGAAAAGGTGTACAAGAAGGGCAACATGTCACTCAGAATGGGCTGTCATTGTCCTCCTGGGGCCCAGTCAGAGCTCAAAGCAGCTGTGGAAGGACACGGGGTCCCACCCTAGCACCCCAAGCAGAGAGGATGAATGGGGACATGCTCTGACCCCTGCACTAGTTGGACAGTAGCGCCATGGTACTTTTATCTACTCCTGGTTAGAACAGTGGGAATCAGCACCGATTGTGGACTCAGGCCTTGGCCAAAGCCACCCTGCATGGTCCTGGGGGTTATGGCAGAGGTGAGGAGGGGACAGAGTTCCAACTGCCACCTGTGCCCAGCTAAAGAAGCTTGTATTTGAGGATGCTCAGGTAAACCAGTTTTTCTAAGGAGCCCACTACCCCCCAGTCCCCCGCATGGAGGATGCCTCAGGGGGCCAGGCACTCTTCTTTGCTTCAGTGGCCCAGGCCACTCAAGGGGCTAAAAAGCCAGCCACCCCTACACTGGGACTAGCTAGGCTGAAGCCTCCTCCCCTGATGTGAGTCACTGGAACACCCAAATGCAAACAGGAAAATCAGGGAACTATGCAGAAGTCTTCTGACAGGCTCCTCCTTAGGACCCAGAAACCTCCGCCTGAGAAAACCAAGCTCCATGCTCAGATCAAGGGGCCCCGAGAGGCAGGCAGTTTTCTTGGGGACTCTCCAGCCTTAAGTCCCCAGGATAGTGCAGTACACACTCACAGGTCAGCACAGGAGGTGGCCTTCGGGCCTGCAGGGGAATCACAAGTGTGTGGGCAGACTGGGTTTCGACCAAAATTAAATCATCAAAATCCCCAAGACAGTCGGGAATAAACTGAACAATGTACTGGCAGGTCATTCCAGGAGCCACCATTCCACCTTTTCCTGGGAACATCCCTGTGCATAACAAAAGTAGCCAATAAGAATCAGGAACCAGCTACTCACCAAGGCTCAGCTGCTTCAGAGGCCAACCACAGCTGGAGCTGATTCTATAAGTCAGTGCCTTCTGGACAAGGCCAGGCTGGTGGCAGAACCACCAGGGCATGCTAGAGAGCAGGCTTCAAGGGCAGGGACTTCAGGTAACAATGCCAGGACTCAAGAGGGAGTGTCACAGATAGCCCAACAGGAACAGTTAGGTGGAGCATGCCTAGCCCTAGAGTTTAGTTTATTTCATGGACAGCAGAGAGCCCTTTGAAATTTCTGGCTAGGAGTGACAAGACCAGAGTTCCTGACATACAGGCTGACACTAAAGCTGAAAGGTTTGCAGAGAGGCCCTGGTGGTGACAGGAGCAACAAGGGCCTGACCAGGGCAGTGACAGCATGAAGCTATCACCTGGAGGTGACAGAATCAGTGGAAGGGAGGTGACAGAAGAGAGGATCTGCAAGATGCTGGACTGGGACCTCACAGGGAGGAGGGAAGACAGGCTGCAGGCTGCAGGCTGAGTGTGAGGGCCCCCAGGGACTACTGAGGAAGAAGCCAGCCCAGTTCAGTTCAGGATGGGGCAGGAGACAAGGGCTGATGGTGTGTGTGAGGGGGTAGAGAGTATCAGTAACTGGCAGCCCGCCCAGCACACACTTCTGAGGTAATCTGGAAACCTATTACATTAAACTCACCCAACCCTACAGCAAAGTATGGAGTGGAAGGTGGGAGGACCCTCAAGTAACGGCTGGTCGCAGTGGTGTTCTGCAGCGCGATCACCATCTGTACAGAGGAAGGGGTTCTCTTTTAGATGCTGACATTTAAGGACACAGTGGTACAATGTCTGGGATTTATGTTAAATAATATGGGAAGGGGGAGCGGCATAAACTAAATAAGGTGGGTCACATAAAGCTGGAAGATGGGTACATACATGGAGATTCATGATGCTATTCTATCTACTTCTGTTTGGGGAGATTTCCATAGTGAAAAATAAAATACAAGGTAAAAATGAAGGTGGGAGTATATCTGACCTACATCTTGTCCTATTGTTTAAAAAAACACCTGCAGCCGTCCCACCCTCAGTCTCCAGGACCCAGCAGATACCAAAATTTGTAGATGCTCAAGGCTCTTATAAAATGTTATATATGGTGCAAATAATGTATACACATGTATATAAGTGCAAAAATGATACTTGTTGAAACTGTTCCAGGAATTAGGGGAAGGGGGTTGAAAGAGAGCAGTGGAGGGGGTGAGTTCAAGTATGATATATTTGATACACTGTAAGAACCTTCGTAAATGTACCCCTACCCAGCAGAACAATAATAATAAAAAGAATTATGTCTAAAAGAAAAAAAGTATCGCAATATTGGCATATAACCTACATACATCCTCCTGTATACTTTAATAATCTTCACATTACTTATAATATATGATACACAGTAAATGCTATGTAACTAGCCCTTACACTGTACTCTTTAGAAGAAGAAAAGCCTGTACACGCTCAGCATACACAGAACCACCACAGACTAACACAGCACATGGATGACGCTTGCGGTGAACACTGCTCAAAGTGAACTGGCGGGGTGTTGGCAGGGTATGCCCCTATGTCCCTTTAGTGCTCAACACACAGCAAATTCAAGCTTTGTCTTTTTGGAACTTTCTTGAATTCCTTTAAATATTTTCAATCCCCTGTTAATTGACTCCATAGTTGACCACACTGTTTATCCATCATCTACCCTGTGCCGCCTCAACTCCTCAACAACCAGGAAAAGTGGGGACTGAAGTGCAATGAGGCTTATAAGCAACAACGTGATATTTGAGCCCAGGATGTCTGGCTCCAAAGTTTTGCTTACCTCACCTCATTTATGTCTTTTTCCTACATATGCCTTTGGGCCACTTCTTCCCATAGGTCCAGTCAAGGGGTATTATGGGCACCAGGATTGTAACTGGGCCTCTCTCCATCCATTACTCAGCCCACCCAGCTCCTATTAAGCCCCACCTTCTTCTCCCTGCTCCAGAAAGGAAGACCCCTAAGGGCAAAGCCTGGAACTAACCCCACAATAGCACCCAGCAGAGCACTTAGAAAAGGAAGGTAGCTTAAGACATATACACATCTTTTGCTTCAATTTTGTGAAATATAATATTAGGAAAGATGTATAAATTTGAACATGACAAAAGTCATGTTTCCATTGCCCAGCTTAAGAATCAAAACATTAACAATACAGGTGAAGAGCTGAAGCCCTCTGCCAGCCCCCTCTCAGATAACATCTACAAAAATTTGAAGAACGTCTTCATACTTTTATCCACAGTTGTATATTCCTTAACCAACATTGAGGTCTTTTTTATTTTTTATTTTTCTGATGCTCAGGATTGAACCCAGGGCCTTGTGCATGCAAGGCAAGTGCTCTACCACTGAGCTATACCCTATCTCTTCAAGCCTTTTTTTGACTATCATAATTCATTGCACCGATCCATGTATGAACCAGGGCAAAATTTGTACATATGTAAAATGTTCACCCTTTGTTTTTTTTTCACCCATTGTTAATAAAAGGGAAATTAAAATAATAAAATGGGTTGATCTGTAGGAATTCTTTATACATGCTGGATAATATTTTTTTCTTTTTGAGACAAGGTCTTGCTATGCAGCCAAGGCAGACAAGATCTTGAGATCCTCCTGTATAAGCCTCCTAAGTGTTGGAATTACAGGCATGCACCATGCCATACCTGATTCTTTATACAGTAAATGTTATAAACATCTCCAAGCTTATGAACTTGTATTATCTTTTGATAGAAAAAATTTTGGGTTTTTGGTGCTGGATATTAAACCTACGGCCTCAGCATGTAATCTATCTCTCAGCTATAAACCCAGTTGCTAAATTTTAATATAAATTTACCAATTTTTTTGGTTTGTTCTTCAGTTTCAAGAAATCTTTTCATACCTATGTTTTTTTTCTTTGAGATCTTTACTGGAAACTATTTGGTTTGGCATATGGAGTAAGGTGGCAGGTTTTAAATGATTATTGATACAGCAAGGAGACTAAACTCGGTTTTGGATCTTCAGGTCTGCACCCATGCATGGACTAGCCCTAGCAAGAACCTGTGCTGTCCCCTCAGTCATACAGCTAGAGTCTGCCACTGCCATTTTAGATTGAGCTGTTCCTGGCAACAGCTACTCCAACAGTGGAAGCATACCTTGCTTCTAGCCACATAAGGCAAAGCTCCAACCCATGAAAGACAGGAGCCAGGAGTCTATAAACCTTCCTAGAATATGCACCATAAGAGAAAACTATCAATTACACTCAGTGGCAGTCAGCTCCATAATTCATTCTTATACTAGCTGTCCTTCCTTCCATCTCCTCTCCCTCCTCCCTCACTGGAATTGTAAATGATGGTAAATAATCTCACCATCTCAGGCTCCACTTTATGTATCAGAAGGGTCCAAAACCCTTAGGATGCAATTCTAGAGTTGGCTTACTCACCAGTAAGAACTCTAGCTAGCATGAAGTAGGGTCTGAGAACCCTGGTATGGTGGCATCACAATTATTAATGCTTCCACCAGTGTTCAGGTGGAATGAGGTATAGGTGGACAGTCAGGCAGTGAAATGTAGTATCTGGAGTGGCTGTAAGGCCTGAGGCAGTCTAATTATAAGGAGCATGGAGTAGGCTGGCTTTCCTTAACAGCCATGAAAGCCTTGGAAGGAAAAATGACAGGCTTGGGCAGCCAACTGCCAACTGCAGGCCACCTCCCCTCCCTGAAGACATTCCTTACATTCCTGAGTGTGTGTATGTGTATGTATGCTCTGTATGTGTTTCATTCCTGTTTGATTTGGTTTGCTTTTTACCCAATATTTCTTTATCTGCGTTTCAGTCTTACAAAAGACTGACTTGTGTGTTTTATTTGGTGTTAAGGCACTATTAGGCTCACTACCTAAAAATGAGGGTAAGTTTCCTTTTCTCCTAGTCCCTAGAACAATTTCTATAAAACAGGGATCAGTGTGAATGGTAGCCTGGTGTTTTTATTTTTGTTTTGGTGTGTGTGTGTGCGTGTGTGCATAAAGTTCTTTTTAAAGTTATTTTCATAACAGTTGGACAGCCTCATAGTTTAAAGAGGCAGAGAATTCTACAAGATTTTAAAAACAGAAATCCTTTCCTTCCCTGGCATTTCCTACTGTCCAAGGACAAACACTTTTTCTTCCTTTAGCTGATTACTCTGGTATTTACATCATATCTCCAAATAGCATGGCACGTTTTCCCCCTTTAGTTTTAGGCATTAATTGTGGATGGATGATATGGATATTCTCTTTCTTCTCCAATATCTAACTCAACATATGACATTCCCTTCTTGTCCCCCATATTCTCAAAATAGTCCTATCATATTACTGGTGAGGTCAGTAATTAATTTTTCTATTACAGGTACTATGTAAATGCTATTCACAGCTAAGCAAGACTCAAACTATGATCCATTTCTCTCCCTTGTATAATTTTTTTGTTTTTCCTGGAGTTAATAATCAAGTAATTATTTTGTTTGCTAGGTATTTATCAATAATTCTCCACTGTTCTATAAATCTCTTCCCAAGATGCCTCGATGTATAAGATAACTCTTATCAAAGTCATCTCCATAAATTAACCTCTCCTAAAACCTCTAAGCTCTTCTAATCTGGGAAGGTTGTCCACTATACCCACCACTGTCAAACAGGAATAACCCTGTAACAGTTTTAAGACACATTCACATGTTCTTTGGCACATCTCCATTAAGACACATTGACATGTCTCCCCACCTCTTCTCCTTTTTTAGCACTTCCTTACTTTCTGGTATAACAAGATACTTTAGATTCATCTTATATTTTCCTTGCCTCAACCCTGGAGTCAACTCCTGATGGAGTACAATAAGAACTATGGGGACTAGCAGAGAAATATTCTTGCCTCAAAACAAAAACCTGAATCTAATCAGATCTCAGATGGTTAACATCATTACAATAAGGCAATTAGCCAAATCTAGGATGGAAGAAATTATAGTATCTTCAACAAATAAATAACATTAAAAAAAAAAACAGGGTACAGAGGAGGACTTACACTCAATGAAGAGAAAATAAAGACTTATTTTTAGCCAAATGTAATGTTTACGTTCTGATTCAAAGAAATCAACTAATTTTTTTTAACAAGTGGAGGAAGATCAAGATGAGATTAAGGATTCTGCTAATATCAATGAATGTAATAATGGTATCATGGTTGTTTTATAAAAGTCGTTATCTGTTAGAGATACATAAACATTAACTGAGGACTGACATGCAGTATAGTCTGTTAAGGCTTCCCTCATAGCACTTCAGCCATGCATGTGCACATGGACACACATAAAGAAGTTGTAATACATGAAATACATGAAATAATGTAATACATGAAATCTGATTTGCAAAATGTAGACTGCTGCTGATGCTAGGTGATAAGCACGGGAGCATTCATGTGCATTCAGTTTTTTCCCTAGTGTTGTGCATAGTTCAAAAGTTCCATAATAAAATTTTTTTAAATAAGGAAGGAAATGGGGTGGGATCAAGATTTCTACCTCATAAACTGGTCCAATTTCATAATCTGTGAAAAACACGACTGATGGCTTAGCTAAAAACACTGGAATATCCGAACAACTGTGGGAGGAAAAAAAGGGGAGAAAGGCTGTGAGTTTTGTCTAAATGAGGGATTATTATGCAGTGACTTTAATGCAAAAATAACACATCTAAGCTATCAAAGGTATTCACAACGTGTCACAATATGTTTTCTGGTTGTTTAAGCAGATTACAAAATAATTTTAAAGTGTTATCCAATCTTTGTGAAGACATATGTAGTTACATCTATAATTTTCAACACACATAGGGAAAACTCTGCAAGTTTAAAGACCAATATATTAACTGGGCTTTTAATATAGTTTTTCTTTTCAAATATTAGTATTTCCTCTTTTCTTTGTTAAAGGATGTCACTTTAATTAATAGTTCTAAGTCCATTAAACATTAATAGTTTTAAGTCCATTAAAATTATGAAGCAACTCATTCCCTTCATCAGGACAATTACTGAAATATAGCAAATGGCACTCTCTTAAAGAAAAATCATACTGGGTGCCAGTGGTTCATACCTGTAATTCTAGCTACTTGATCAGGAGGATCATGGTTTGAGGCCAGCCCAGGCAAATAATTTGTGAGACACCCCCCATCTCTAAAATAACCAGATCAAAAATGGACTGGAGGTGTGGCTCAAGTGATAGAGCACCTGCTTTGCAAATCAAAGCCCTGAGTTCAAATCCATCTCAACAGCAACAACAAAAACAAGAAAAACCACCATTTATACTAATTACTTGTAACTAACCAAATGCTAAACACTGCTATCCCCCAAGACATATGAAGCCCATGAAAGAAGGACATGGTTATAGAGATTCCTATTGGACCAGAACCATTCACATGTCCATAATGGGCCCATGTCTACCCCTAGCCCTCTTTTCCTCTATTTTTTACATTAATAGGTCAGAAAAGCATAAGCCCAGGACTCTGGGGGAATGTCAAAGTCCTGCTCTGTTCCGATACTGCTACCCTGCCTCCTAAAGTCTAGGGGCCTCCTCAGTCAAGACCAGACTCAGGGCCTTCTAGGTTTCACTCTAAAGGGCTAGAATGTCTGAGAATATATATCAGAGAAAGACATACCTCTGTTCTGGCTTTGCTCCTGGGAATTCTCCTATCTGTGCTGGCTTCCTTGGAGGAAAAATAAGAGACCTGCCTCCATATGGAGTGTTAGGAGGGAAAAACCTAGGGTTTTTTAGGAATTGGTTCCGAGTCTCCATTCTGGCAAGCAGAAGTCGCTCCATTTCTCTCTGTGGCATACATAAGTGGTTCATCCAGTTTTTATTCTTTGGTGGACTTGCATTCTTTAAAACATACAAAATTATAGTCAACGACAGGCAAAGGGACAGTATGTGTTGACATCTTGGCCAACTGTGTGACCCACAGATAGTCAATGCAAACACTACCCTAGTGTGCTATAGATTCATCATTCCTTCCCACTCATCACCTCCTATTGCCACTGCCCCTACACACTACTGCGCACATACTTCAAAACTAACCTTGACAGTTTCTTTGGTTTTGTGTTTGACCTTAAGAGTTGAGTCCCATGTCAGGCTGTCAACAGTGTAATCAAACTCATCCACAACTTCGGGATGTTTCTCCTTGCAAGACAACTCAACCTCCTTTTCCAAGTCAGCCTTTGGATTTGGATGCTTCTTACAGCTAAATGTCAGTTTTGAACATTCAGGGAGGATGGCACCTGTGGCACCAAGGAAACAAAGTGAGTTACTATACCCCAGTGAAGAGGTAGACTTTTCTAAGCTGAACAAATAAAGCCACCAAAACTTCTGTCAGATTGAATTTTTCTCTTAAACTTTCACATTTACTACACTAGATGTATTTGCTCTTCAACATATGAATTACTTCTGGAACTTATTCCATGTATTTGAGATTTAAAATATCTTTCAATTTTCCAACAAAGAAAATGAGTGGACCATTGTCACATACATGGGCACATACCCCAGTGTGGACATACTTTTTAAAAATCTCACATAAGGAATCAAAATTTTCTTCTTACACCTATAAGATCATCCCCCAAAGGCTAACTGAGAACAGTTATTGCTAGCAAGTATACAATGAAACTGGTACCCCACATGTCTTAACACAATGCCTGGTTACCTCAGTATATGTTAACTGCCATCCTTATTTGCCTGCATCAGATGGTGAAAGTCCAACTAATTGTAAAATACTAAGTTGCTTGGTGTCCTAGGACACTTGATTCTGCTGCCCCTTCCTGGCTGTCTTCCTTCTGTGGCTTAGGAACTCATCAGAGGAACACTTCTCATCATCACCCACATTCTCTGCATCTGAATCTTCCCACCCCAGATTCCTTCTAAGCTCCAAAGTCTCAGAGATCATCACATAGTCCCATTGATTGGGGCTGCTGGAAAGTTTGTATTTTCAGCCTGGCACCACTAAGCAATTGTGATGCTTGGCATCCAGATCCAATTGACTTCTCTCCATCCACACAGCAACTCTTCCACAATCTATCTTGTTGCTTTAAAACACAGCTTCCCACCTTACTAATTCTCAGCTTTTGCCTCCCTGATTATAGTATCACACACACATACACCCATTCCATTCTCCCAAACCATTCTCTTCCCATTCTCAATGGATGAATAAGATGTTCTTTCTGAATGGGGAAGCCCTGGTTCACATTCTGCTCCATCAAGAACTTGCTTCCCTACATATCTGTGTCTTCAGTCCCTCTTTATATTTGCTCATTCAACTACATTTAAACACATTTGGATCTCTGGGTATTGAGCAGCTAACAGAAACATCATATTCCTCCTGGAGAAGATGGAACTTTTATCTTGCAGTTATTAATATTGCTAATGAGGAAGCTGCACACAAATCTGACCCTTCCAATAGTCACTATAGAAGCTATGAACAAAGAAAGAGCTAATGTGGTCCTTATACTATGGAACATCCCCTGCATGATGTCTGAGGTTTGGAGCACAGAAGCATTACCTTTAGGTGCAGAGCAAAATGGCACTGGATCACTGTAGTAATCCTCTGGGCAGATCAAATGATGTTTCCGTAGCAACTCACTATCTACACACCACCTGAAGACAGTCTTCACTATATGGAGGGGAAGAAGATAAAGGTGTTTCAAGCTGGACCAATGTGGAAGAAGCTAAATCCAAACTTGCCTTATCTTCTAAGATTAAACTATCTAAGGACCCTTCTCAGAACGCTTTACTAATGTTGTTTTGGGCAATGATATGTTGATGGATTTGAAATGTGCTTGCCCAGTAAGTTTTCCCTCATGAGCTTTTGGCCATCAACAGAGAAGAGCTTCCTTGCCCCTTCACCTTAGACACCAGCATAAATCCATGTGGAGTGGAGCTGAGCCCAACATACAGCAAGGACCAGGCACAGCTGGACCTACAGTTTGAAGCTAGGCCAGTCAGCCATGCCCAGCTAGGTCAGTCAAACTCCTACTAACCCAAAGACACATAAGAGAGAAAGTTTCATTTAGTATAGAGGGAAATTCATAATGTCTATAGTTGGTAAGCCAAGAAATAGTAGTAAAGTTATATTATTTAGAGGTATCCAGAAAAATTAAAACAAGAAATGATTACTTCTGGCAAGTGGACTAAGGTTGGAACAAGTGAGGCAAAGGCTTTTGTTAAAATAGACTCCATATTTTAGAGCAGTTATAGGTTGGCAAAATTAAGAGGATGTACAGAGACAGAGACTTCTAGTGTCCCCCCCGCCATATGTGCATAGCCTCCCCCATTATTGATGTCTCCCACTAAAGTGGTACATTTGCTGCAATTGAAGAATCTTTATCTTTCTCACCCAAAGTCCATGTTTTACATTACAATTCACTCCTGTTGTTGTACATTTTGTATGTCTGGGCAAATTTATAATGTGTATAGGTATAGGCTTATACTTTGTTAGAAGTTCTTCTAAACTTTGTTCTTTAAAAACCATGTATTATCTATCATTTTGATAAAAATAAGGAACAAGTAGGATGAACGTTTAAATTTCTTCAAAGTTTTCAAATTTTGTTGCCTGCTTCATTATCCAACATTGTCTTAAGACAGGACACCTTTAAAGAGTCTCTCCCTTTAGAGAAGGTGAGACAGTGAAGAACACCTGCTTCCCTCCTCATGTATGTTAATGGAGAATTCTGAAGTTTGGTTTACTTAGTGTAACAGTAAGGGTTCAAAACAGGAACCACTCTGTCTCTAGCATGTCAAATAGAAAGGGGCTTAATACAGGGGATTACAGACTGAGGGAGAAAAGGTCCAGGAAACCATCATTAACAATGACAGCTAGCAGCACTGAGGCAGAAGTTTCTCAAGAAGTTATCTGGAAGCTGCTTCAAACACAGCCACTGTATCACCTGTTGCTCTTGCTTCTTGAGGCTACCTCCCCTTCCAAACTCACTAAGGGCCTCTCCTGAGTGTTTCTATCCTGGAACCTCAAGGAAGAGGTGCATTCTGGGAAACGTATGGCCTGACCTCCTCTCAGCAAGAGAGACCTTGTTGGGGAGTGGCAGCAACGCCAAGTTGACACAATCCAATCTAGTTACCAAGGACGTTGGTGATGGCCTATTTGAAATATCAAAAGATAAGGGCAGAGCCAAATGCAAGAAGATGTATCCTCTCTTTTCTGATACCATTCTCTCAACAATCCTCCCCCAGGGTGTGGAATGTTAAGTCCTAGGTCTGCAGGAGTCAAGACAGTTTCTTTATCAAATCTTTGAAGTCTCTTTTCATGTCAGATCTAGACCTTAGAAAACCCTATACTGGCCTTGTGACCATCTTCTTACTTCTGGGAAGGGTGGACTTCCTCCACTGACCCCATGGCTTCTGAGCATGGCTTGAAAGGAGTTGGATGTCCCATTCTCCAAAAGATAAGAGAAAACTTATCAGCAAGGGACAGAAATGAAAGCACAATATGTTCTGCAGAATTCTGAACTCTCTCTGTCTGGAGAATTTACAAGTTTTCCATCTTGTAACATTTGTATTAGTGAGCAGAGAAAGGCTGCCTTGTGCCTCAAATAATAAAAGTTTCAGGAAAATTTCCTCATAACCAGTTATATAAATTATAAGAAGTATTGAAGTCACCCGAGAAGCAGGGACCAGATTGGTGTCCACAGAGCTGGATTAGGGTCTCTTTTTCTGCCACTTTTGAAATAAAGAAAAATATATTACCAGCAAAAGGATAAGAATCCAGAGCAGATAATGTCTGATTATAAGTTAATATTATCTTGGTTGAAAACAGAAGTAACCTCATTAAAAAATTTCTGACTGATGTTTGTCTCCCAGCTCTCAATACTTTATTTCACTTTCATTTAAAAAAAAAAATCACAAATAGTTAACTATTTAATGTCTCTAGCAAAAAAAAGGAGGAGGAGTAGAAGGGGAGGAAGAAGAAAAAGGAGGAGAAGGAAGAAGAGGTAGGGGAGAAGTGCACTCAAAAATAAGGCAGTATCTGACTTCTAGAGCACAGAGGACACAAGGGAACCAAGTGTCCTGGTAACCTGCTACCAACAATCTGCAGAAATTCACACTATTTGAGGCTGGAAGGGTGAGTTAGGGAAGAGTCCCGAGAGCTGCCCTCGTCTGTGATGGAGGACGAACTAGTAAAGCAGGGATTCTGCACCTAACTGTCCAACTGGACGTGAACCTCCCAGGTGGCAGGGCTGACAATGCACAGGCCTCAAGCTCCAGAAGCCATCAATACCCCTGGGATGCTACGCCTGCCAACAATCCTCCCTCCTCTTCCTGACACAAGAAAGAGATGAGCCAAGTTCAAATCTCAATACCACCTTTCTGAGCAGTGGGGACTTAAAGAAGTTATTTGATTTTCTAAGTTTTAGTTCCTGCATCTGAAAACTGGAGAGAAACCTACTTCAAAGGTTATTGGAAGGATTCAGTGGGCTAAAACATTTTACACAGCATCTAGCCCTTGTCAGCTCCCTGTAAGTGAAAATACTCTTCTAAGGCACTGTATTTTCTACTTCTCCCTTCCCTTTAGATTCTTCCCTCTATGCCACAGATGTGCTAGGTCTCCTAACCCTAAATTCACCATCCTTTATCCCTACTGTACTGGAAAATGATGATTTTAGGGATGCAGGAAGGTAGAGCAGTCTTTGGAGGAGGTAGGAAGGAACCCAGCCTTTTTGGAGAAATGGCTGATTTCGGGTGTGGAGTCAGAAATATCTAAGATGAGCCTGGAGCTTCTTACTCTTCCAGAAAGCGAGGAAGTTTTCAAAAACAACTGATTGCCAAGAGTCTCTTACTGGCCAAAGTGGGACAATTTGATCATAAGTAAAGATAATAAATAACATTATAATTATGACTTCCATGAACTAATAAAGATGCTAAAACAATCAAATAATATTTATTAGTCACGTTTGGAACCAATTCATTATTTTCTTCAGTTAAAATGAAAATTTTAATGAAGTAAAAGTTAGTAAACACTCATCCCATTATATAATAGCTTCATTTCTAAATTTCTAAGCTCCCTCTGTGTAAGGCATTATTTTAAAGACTGGCAAAAAAGAAAGAAAAGAAGTAATCCTGTTTATCCTTCCCATACCTAGGGGTAGTCAAAGAACTCCTGAACTCTCTTGATTCTTTCACCCTCACAGTTACCTTGGATCCAAAGAACAAAAGGTCTAATTAATGAACATCTTAAGACAAAGGACTGAAACTACCTCCAAAGCAACCCTGAACTACTACCATGGAAACCCCCAATCCTTGCCTTTGTTTCCCTTTCCTATGTAACACTGAGACCCCTTTGAAGACAGGTTTTAGATCATTAGGTCTCTGTTTTCCCAGTGTGGCCATACCGTTAGTAAGTCTCCCTTCACCACTGCTCACATCTTTAATTGGCCTCCAAGGACAGGTGACCAAGTCTAGACCACGGCAACTCCCTGAAGCCAGAGCTTTGGCCTAACTCTGGTAAGAGTATTTCAGCAGAAAAATAAAAAGAAAACAATAAAATTATCATTACCATTCACATCTCATTATAACTTACAATCCCTAAAAACTAAAAAAAGCGAATGTCCCTCATCCTGGACTATGACCATGGGGTGAGAGACTAAGAACCCCTTCTTTGTTATTTAACAAATGGCTGGGACTGAGTAGGTGAAAATGTTAAGCTGGTCCAGGCTGCCTGCCAGCTGGAGGGCAAGGATCCTGGTTTTCTCTGTCACCAGGTCCTGGAGAGTCAAAGAACAGATAACCTTACAACATGGATAGAAAACTTAATGAAACGTGCTTGGTGTATTAATTGGGAAAAGGAGGTTGCAAACTAAGGGAAGTGCAAGATTTTGTGCAGAAAATACGTGTAACTGCACAGTCACAAGGCCAGGTAGTTTAGATTTTCAACTCATCTTACTTTTGGATGAGGGGTGGTGTGAAAAGTGATTTTTTAAAAAAATCCTATGAATAAATAAAATTTTTTAAAAATTTAAAAAGCTATAAAGAGACAAACTGCCAAAGGAAAACAAATTGAACCTAAACCTAAACTTCATGAAGCCTCTAGAACTCATTATTGATTTACAGAAAATACAGGGACCAAAAGATCAAGCTAACTAACACAAGAACACTGAATTCAGTTACATCCAGACTATGGACAAGTCTTTAGGGAAAACAACCCAGTTTCTAAAAAAAAAATTATCACCATAGATACTACTGTACAGGTAGTTGATTAAGAAAAGTGTTTCCAGCCAGGCACTGGTGGCTCATGTCTGTAATCCTAGCTACCTGGGAGGCAGAGATCAGGAGGATTGCAGTTCAAAGCCACCCCAGGCAAACAGTTCTCTGAGATCCTATGTTGAAAATACTCAACACAGAAATGGGCTGATGGAGTGGTTCAAATGGTAGAGCACCTGTCTGGTAAGTGTGAAGCCCTGAGTTCAAACCCCAGTACTACCAGCAAAAAAAAAAAAGGATTTCCAGTGAATGCTGGTAGTTTGGTGATGGAATTTTAATGAGGAACCAGATATTGGTATGAGTTGAGGATACCTCTCCATAAAATACTAATCAACTATAATTTTTTTGAAGTTTTAGCAAGGATTTATTTTAGTATAACCAGAGAAAGTACAGAAAAGGAGGGAGGGAGAGAAACATCTCCTGTTCCTCACACAGGAAATGGGAGCAAAGACTCCTACTAATCAACTATAATTTAATTTGGGGAATTTAATATGGAGAAGTCTGACAGACACCAATCTTCTCACATGATAGAGGCTGGCATCACCTGTGCCCATGATGTACCACGGTGAGACAAGCATGGCATAATTTATGGGGTGTTGCTGCCCAGAATGTACACACTGAGTCTAGTCATCGGGAAACAACAGATAGAACCACTCTACAAAGTAAAAGGCCTATCAAGAACATGAAAGACAAGAAAAGATCAATGAACAGTGTACCCCCAGTAAAACAATAATATGATAATAAAATAATATTAAAAAATTAATGAATTATTCTAAACAAAAAAGTCTGAAAAAAAGATGTGGCAAGTACATGACACATGACTTTCTGGACAGGATCTGGGTCAGAGAAAAGAAAGAGCCACGGTGGGATGAATGGTGAAATCTAAATGAGATTTGAGACTGGGAGGCCAGTGTTGCACCAATGCCAATTTCCTGGCTTGGAGAGTTGTATGCTGGCTATATAGGAGTGTCCCTGTTCTAGGGATGCTATGCACACTGGAGTGTTTTATAATAATGAAACATTATATTCTGAAACTTGCTCTCAAAGTAGGCACTGGAGTGAACAGAGTAAAATATCAACAGATGGAGAACGAGAGGCAGGCATGTGGGCATTCTTTATACATACCTGTAGGCAACTTGACAAGGGTCTCCAGAACATGTAATCTGGCCTGGTTTGTGACTCGCTCTGTTTCTGCAAAAGCCCGTGCACGGGCCTGAATGATATGTCTCTCCAACATTTCAACCTCATCCAACCGCCGCTTATAGAGCTCCCGAATCTGGCAGGTAGATGATCAAATGCACAAAAATATGGTGAGATCACATAGCTTCACGCTACCCACCCCCACATCGGGGCTTTCCAGTAGACCACAGAACAGCCAGAGAACTATTGTCACAATTTCATCCAAACAGATGTAGATGCTGACACCAATAGAAGGAAATGACTTAAGGTTTTCATAGTAAGGTCAGTAACAGAGCCAAGCTTGGAAACTGTCTCCTGGATTCATAGTAGAGAGCTGCCGTCCTTACTGTGAAAAGCAACTCACAAGTTACCTGTGGGGCCACTCTGTTCAGGGAAGGCCTTCTTGCTCCCTAGTTATAGGGAGCACAGTCAGCAGACAGTCTCCTGTCTAACTGACACGTTTTCTGGAAAGGGGTGGCCTGAGAATGCATTCTTTCTACAGTACCCACATGCGGTGACTGAGAGGCAGCAATATACATATATAAAGGCCTGGCCATTCTGACTAAAGAGCAATACTCTCTCCAGAGCAACCTACCACTTTGGTTAAGTTTATTGGGTCCCCATCTCAGTTCAACTTCTTTCATAACACAATCCTGCTTTCTCTCCCTTCCTTTTATAGGTGCTGGTTGCTAATAAACACCTTGTACCCCAAACTCTGCCACAGCATTTGCACCCAGAGTCCAACCTGGATGACCAGCATGCACATCAAGACTAATTACAGATTGACTATCAGTCAGTCAAGTTTTTGACCCATATCTCCAATTCAGACTTCTCAAGGCAGGAAGTAAAGAGCTCACTGATACAGGTAATATTAAAGACAGTTTGTGTACAGGACAATATTCCTTATTTTATTCCTTAGAGCTGACAGGACCTCAAAGATGTCTATGTAATCATTCTTTTAATAGAGATTTATTGTGCATTTGCCATGTACAATTGAGAGAAATATATGACTCTGCTGTCAGGGAGTTTACACTTTAGCAGGAGGGGCCAGGGAAAATATAGATGAGTGAAACAGACCCGAGCATCGTGATAGCATATAAATGGAGATATAATGAAGGCTAGGAGGAAGTAGCTAAATATTCTTGGGGTTGGGAAACCCTTTTTCAGGAGACAGTGGGCAGGACAGTTCCCTGAACATAAAGCACCATGTTTGTGTCATGTTTCCTATTATTTGGACCTATTGATAAGCTCTGACCTTAATTCTTAGATGTAGGAATTAGCATCCTATCAAAATAACAATAACAACATCTGCTATCACTCACTGAACACCTACCATGTTGTAAAGGCTCAATGTTGTAAATCCTTTACTGAATTGACTCATTTAATTCTTAAAACAACCTATAAGGTAGGTATAATTAGCCCCATTTTATAGATGAGGAAACTGAGGTATACAGAAGTAAGGATTGTCTGAGATCACACAGATGGTATATGATGGAGCCAAGATTTAATTCCAGAGTGTGTGGTTCCAGAGTATTTGCTCTTGACCATTTGACTATACAATACTTCTATAGGTGGAGCTGGGAAAGGTCAGCAGTCAATGAGTTTGTCTGAGGAGAACTCAGATCAAGAGACCCAGGCATGGTGGTGCACCTGAAATCTTGGCTACTGGCTCAAGGCCAGCATAGTGATTTTTGAGACCTTGTCTCAAAATAAAACTTAAAAAAGGGCAGGTGATGTAGCTCAGTGGTAGAGCACTTGCCTCACATATGTAAGACCCTAGGTTCAATCCCCAGGAATGAAAACAGAAAAAAAAAAGGAAGAAGAAGAAGAGGAAGAGACACTCTATACTGGGTAGTGATCATTGCTTTTCTTAGGGAGAGTAAATTCTAATCTTGCACAGTCATTTATGAGAGGAGAAGCCAAGAAGAGAATAAAGGAAAGAAGGAAAAAATAAAGGAGAAATAAGTAGGCATGAGAACAGCAGCAACATGTCTGCTCTTTTCAAAGTTTGTTTTTGGTAATTGCAAAATTAATTCATGTACATTGCAGAAGTTCAGAAAATATAAAAGTATGCAAAGAAAAATTTAAATACTCCCTAAGAGTGCTGTTGAAATTTTGATAAACTTCAACTTTTTTCCATGTATATATGCCTTATAAAATAATTGCAACATTTTCTTGAATTTTTTGCTAAATTAAATGGCAGGTAGCTGTCTGTGTCTATATTATATGTGTGATTATTTTTAACAACTTCATGGTATTTCATAGTGTAGCTATACATAATTTCCAGTCAACCTCTCTTTGAATAGTTGTTTCCATAAGATCACTCTTTAAACTTTTCTGCATTCTGAAATTTTTGCAGTAAACATCTATTACTTTTATCTTAAAAAAATCAAAGCCCCACTTTTTAAAACCTGTGGTATAATAGATTTACTCCTAGGAGAGATATCAAAGAGGTAGACTGTAATGAACTAGGTCATTAGGTTTATAGATTCACAATGTTCCACTTATTGTGCTCATGCGAGTGACACAAATGTGAGTCAGAAATTCAAGAGCAAGGTCTGGCCGGGTCGGCTGAAGTCATCAGAGTGAATGTGGTAGCCCAAAGAATAGAGTACTAGGCCCCATCTAGAGGTCCTGCTGGATTCCAGGAAGCCATGGAGAGGGTAAGGTTAGTCCAGTCAGTATCTCATATACTGTATACTGGTGTTATTCATGTGCATCTACCCCAATAATGCTACAGAAGACAGGTTTTGTTTGTATGTATGTGTGTGTATGTGTGTGTGTGTGTAACCCATGTTTTATTCATGGCTGAATCCCCACTGCCAGGAGTAAGTATGGCACACAGTAGACAATGTGCTAAATAGCCGGGCGCCGGTAATGATAGCTACTCAGGAGACAGAGATCAGGAGAATCAAAGGAGGATCGAAGTTCCAAGTCAGCCTGGGCACATAGTTCACAAAACCCTGTCTCCAAAAAACCCTTCACAAAAAAGGGCTGGTGGAGTGGCTCAAGGTGTAGGTCCTGAGTTCAAACCTCCAGTGGCCCCCCCAAAAGTGTGCTAAATAAAGGCATGAATAAATACATGTTGCTAAGGGGTAGGCAGAGGTCAGAATGAAGAGGCAGGAGGCACACTGGGTAAGCAGGAGCGACCAGGTGGGGGCAGTGTGTCTTGAAGGAGTCCTCAGCAGTGGGTCAGAGAGAGAGGCATCAGCACAGAGGACCCCTGTACAGATGAGAAAGTAGAGTCGCTGTTTCATAAGCATGCTTTAAAAAAAATCTTAGCATGAATGCCTCTGCCAAGATTGTGGTTTATGATACAAAGGCACCCCAAAGGGAGTGTGATAGCTTTGGGTTTTATCACCTCTGGGGAACAACTATTCAGCTGTCTGCCTCAGTCATTTCATTTCTATATAAGCATCTAGCGTATGGACCTGTGCTGAGAAATACTGGTAGGCGCTACAGAAACCTGCCATTTACATGTATATGTGTGTATTTGCATAGGTGTGTGTTTAAATACTATCCTTCCAAGTAGAATGCGGGATCCATTGCCGCGTGGACTTGATTCATTCTTTCCAACTGCATCCCAGCGACTGGCACATGTCCTCCGCTGGGTCCTACGGCGGGTCCCAGGTCCCCGGCACCATCCGCAGATGCAATGCCACCTCGCGGGGCGCCAGAGCCGCGTTACCTGTTGCAGCTGGTCCACGAACAATTCGTGGCGCTCATCCTCGCTGCCGCGGGCCTTGATCAGACTGGCGCTCAGGTCCTCACCGATCACCTCGACCGAGTAAAGGTTGCGGAAGACGCGGGTAAGCAGGTGCGAGATGTCTTGTGTGCGCTGCGAGGAGGGGCGCAGACGCAGCAGCTGCGGCTCCGGGTGCGGCCGCAGCATCAGTACCCCGAGGCGGCGGGGCCGGGCCGCCAAGCCCAGGTGGAAGTCATCGGAGTAGGCGAGGGAGGACCACGCCAAGGACTTCCTGGTGGACAGGCTCGGGCTGCCGGAAGTGGCTAGCGTCCAAGCTGTCTCTGGGTACGCGTAGGTTTGGGACGACTGGGATCCCAGCTCCCGCGGAATCCCGGGCTCCATGGCAGCAGAGACGCCGCTAACTGCCGCTGCACCTCTGCTTCCGGCCCCGCCCCTTCCGCCTGGCCTTCCTAAATGCTCGCATTTTCAACTGGACCCTTTCTTAACGTGGCTTACCCAGACAAGCATGGATGGAGAAAGAATTGATTGGCACAATCAGGTCAGTCTGGTTGTTCCCGGCTACCCTCCTTCATCCATCTCTCCATCCGTCCATCCATCCATCCATCCATCCTTTAATTCGTTCTGCAGTTGCTCCTCACTCATTTAGTATTGATTGTATAAAAATTCTGTTTCTGGTCTGTTCTGGGAGCTGAAGATACCAAAGGAAGTGAGTTGTTGCTTCTGCCCTTGTTGCTTCTGCTCTTGGGCCATGCACAGTCGTGTGTGTGTGTGTGTGTGTGTGTGTGTGTGTAAGGTGGTGGGTGGGAGAGAACAGGGTTGAATGGGTTAAAGCCAAGATGAAAATAAATGTTGTCATGGAACCATAAAGGAGGACAGAAACTTAGCGTGAAAGTTGAGTGGTGGCTTCTTAGAACTGAAGACCAAGCCAGGCACCAGTGACTGACACCTGTAATTTTAGCTACACAGGAGGCAGAGATCAGGAGGATCATGGTTCAAAGCCAGCCTTGGGCAAATAGTTTGAGCGACCCTATGTTGAAAATACCCAACACCTAAAAGGGCTGGTGGAATGGCTCAAGTGCCTGACTAGCTAACGTGAGGCCTGATGTTCAAACACCAGTACCACAAAACAACAACAACAACAAAAAGACCAGAGATTTAAAATGCATAGGCGCAACATCTTTGGTCATCTTGTAAGTGGAAATTAAAACCACAATGTGGTATCATTATATACTTAGTAGAATGGCAAAAATAGTTTACTTGAATGAAAGGGCCAAACAAGTGCTGGTGAGGATGTGCAGCAAGTGGAATTCTCATATATTGTAAATGGGATTAACTAGGACCACAACTCTGGAAAACCGTTTGAGTTTCTTATAAAGTTATACATACAGTAATCCCACTGAAAGGTATTTCCCCAAGAAAAATTAAAACTGTGTGCATGCACAGATGTGTACACAAATGTTGGTGGCAATTTTATTCATAATCACCCAAGACTGGAAAAAAAAAAGAACGTCCAATGTGCTATCCATTGGTGAATGGATAAACATAGTACCGACAGACTGTTGGTACACACAATGGCATAGATGAATCTCAGATGTATCAGGTAAAAGAAACCAGCCTGAAAAGGTTACATACCAGAAAATTAAAGCTGAACAAAACAGATCAGTGGTTACCAGGAGCTGGGGATGGGAGCAAGGTTGACTACAGATGGGCAGGAGGGGACTTTTTTTGGGGGGGTGGTTGTGATAGAACTGTTCCATATCTTGATTGTTGCTGATGGTTACACCAGATATGGATTTGTCAAACCTCTCAGGATTGTATACAGTAAAGGATGGATTCTACTATATATGTAATACGTTGGGTTAGGTAAGAAAAAAATAAGTAGGAATAGGCCAGAGGAGAAAGCAAAGAGGGCATGCTATGCAGACCAACCCAGGTATGCAAAAGCTGAGAGAGTGCACCAGCTAGGAGAGATAGCTGAGTGTGGAAAGAACTGCAGGAAATTCAGGAGAAGCAGAATGTGAAGAGTTTGAGGTCCGTAATGAAGCTGGTGGGAAAGGGCTTGGTCACAGTGGATTTGTAGGCCACATTAGGAAATTTGGACTTTATTCTGAGGACAGTAGGAGGGCCACTAAGAGTCAACCTGGGTCATGTCATAGTTCTTTATTTTAATAGGATCATTGCTGTGAAAATAGATAGTGGGAAGCACAAAGCATCCAGGAGATTAATTAGAAAACTATTGCAGAAATTAGGAAAGAGATGGAGTGAGCTTGGATGAGGCTGAGAGAAATGCACTAGAGATAAATCTAAAAGGTAGAATTGACAAGACTTGCCAGTGGATGACAGGGGTGACAATGAGGGACCAAGAATGACTGTCAGGTAGCCTGTGTGTTCAGTCAGGTGGCCATCCACTGACATGGGAAAGAGGACTCCTCTCAGGGTGGTGCTTGAAATCACATTGACCTTGACACTGGCACACCATGGCTTCTGCTTACAGGTGATATAATAACCACTTTCTACAAAGGCATGAATTTGCTTGCCTTACAACCTGCAACCCACTTCCTGTGATGAGTCCCAGGATGTTTGCCCACAGACCTGAGCCACTTCTGCCTCTCTTAGTTGAGGCTAGCACCCTCATCTGTCTTTTGGGGTACCTTTTCTACCCTGAGAACTGGGAATCCAGGGCACCTGTCCTGGACTGCATGTGTGAGGCCCCTGCTCTGGCTTTCCCCCAGCTGACCCTTGCCGCAGGCATGGTAAGGCGCCCTGTGCCTGCCCTCCAGGTATCTGGGAACCCAGAAGCATTTGCCCAAATAGCCTAAGACCATTCCCAGTGTCTGTGCATGCCTCTTTAATTCCATCCTCCCATGTGAGCAGGACAATGGGTTTTTGCCAGTACTTTTGGCGTCTCTATGGTATTAGTTATTTTTGCATCACCATGACAAAATGCCTGACAGAAATAACTTAAGGGGAAGAATTATTTATTTTGGCTCATGGTTTCAGGGGGCTTAATCCATGATCACTTGGCACTGCTGATTCTGGGCCCATGATGAGTCAGAACATCATGGGATATTCATGGGAGTATATGGATCTGAGTTGTTAATCTCATGGCAGCGAGGAATCAAAGAAAAGGGGATACAGGAAGGGGCCAAGGTAAGATATAGCCTCCAAGGTCACACCCCCAAGACTCACTTCCTCCAACTAGGCCCCACCTCCTACTTTCACCACCTCCCCAAAGTGGCATCATATCCTATAAAGCCATCAAGGGATTAATCCATTCATTAGGTCAGAGCCCTCATGATCTAATTTTCTCTGGAAAGCCATCACTGGCATGCCCAGAAGTGTACTTTACTGATCTCCTAGGCATTTCTCAATCCAGTCAAGTTGATAATCAAGTTTAACTGTCACATCTATCCTGCCTCCAGATGGCCACAGGGAGTCTGACCTAGCCTAGGAGAGGTTCCCCAGCCCATCTCCTTTGTATAACTGATCCCACCCTCTGCTCAGCTGACTCTCCCATAATCCTCTAAACCTTCCAGTGGCAATGGCTCCTCCATCAGTCCTCATTTGGTGTCACTACCTCTGACATGTTCCCTTCCTTTGCTTTCCCTTCTCCTCTGTGTGTCCCCATCTCCATCCTCCTGTCCTTCTTCTACTAGAATCTCACTGATAAACTCAATTCATCCCTGATTCCACACACTCAGCATTCAGTTTGTTTGCCGTCTGACTGACTGACTGACTGACTTATTGACTGACTGAATAAATGAGCAGCTCTGACCCTCTACCAGTAACAAAGGGTTTGGAGCACCTTTGGAACTTCTCACTAGCTCCCCCCCACCTTGAGGATTTCTGTGACACAAGGAAATTCCTTGTGAGCTGCCCTCTTCATTTTATATACTGTTCTGTAGATCATACATTGTTGTTGTTGTTCTTGCTTGTTTATCTCTGGGTTCCACACATATTGTTTACCTTAATTTTTTTTAATTTTTAAATTTAAAAAGTTCTATGCTATTATGCTAAAGACAAAACTTCAAATAGTGCCTAAAAAATAAAAAGTAAGTGCCTTTAGTTTTTTTCCCCATAGAATTAGATTATTTCTGTATTCTTCCAGCTATTCTGTCATTTTTTAATATTTAAAAAACACAAATGATATTATCATGTTATAAATATGTATGTATATATACAAATAATTCTGTTACTTGTTTTTCTCACTTACATAGCAACTTGTAGATGACTTTTTTCTTTTTTGCTACAATGAGCAAATGCTACAGTGAGCAACTTGTTCATATCTGTGCATACATTACATGGATGTACAATGTTACTGTGGGATAATATCATAGAATTGCTTGGCCAAAGGGTATGGAAGTTTTAGTACTTGAGATATTGTCTCATTGCCCTCTGGAAAGATTGTCCCAAAGTAGACTCCCATCACCATTATGTGAGCATGTTTTTGTTTTGAGACAGGGTCTCAAACAGGCTGGCCTTGAACTTGCAGTCCTCTTGTCTCAGCCTCCCAAGTGCTGGGGTTCATCACTGCTCCTGGCTTCACTCTCCTTTTCTTTTCTTCTTTTTCATGTGCTGGGGATCAAACCACAAGGCCTGACATGTGCTAAACCACTGAGCTACATTCCTAGCCACTTATGTACATTTTAAACATGTTTTGAATCACATCCTGAATTTTATCCCCAGCCCACATCTCCCTCCTAAACTACCTTATACTTGATATCTCCCCTTGGATGCCTGAAAGCCTTTCAGTGTGTCCAAAATAGAACACTTGCCACTCCTCAGCCCTGAAATGCCCCATTTCAGTTAAAGGCAGTTCCGACCTTTCAGTTACCTTAACCAAAAACTCATCCTCGAGTCTTTGCTTTTTCTCACAGCCCCCACCAGTAAATCCTGTTGGTTCTATCTTCAAAATGTTTCTGGAGTACTGCCACTTTCCACAACCTCCACTCCTACTACTGAGGTCTGAGCCACCATCACTTCCACCGGAACTGTTTGCTGTGGGAGTCTCTCTTCCCTGGGCTCCCTGCTTTGCCCTTGTCCCTCCATGGTGATAGTTCTTTCTGGCAGCCAGAGGGATGCCCTCAGATCATGACTCTCCCCTGCTTGAAGCCTTCCAAGTGCTCTCCATTTCTCCCTGAGTAAAAGCAGAAACCCTTACAAGGCCCAACAGGCCCAGAACCTGCTACCTCTCCATTTTCTCCAGCATCACTCCTCCACTCATGAAGCTCCAGCTACACCACCCCCTGGCAAACGAGACATACTCCTGCCTCAGGGCCTTGGTAAGGCCTGCTTTTTATGTCTTGCCCCAGATATTCCTAAACCACTCACTCTCTCACTCCTCCCAGCCTGCTCAAGTGTCACCTTCCCCCATAATACCCAATATCCTGACCAGCCTATTTAAAATTTAACCCTGCCCCACTCCTGAACTCCCCTACCCTACTTTCTTTTTTCTATTTCCTTATCACTTTCTCATACACTACATGATTTACTTCTTACATTTATTACAGTGTCTCTTTTCTTTCCATTAGAATTTAAACTCCTTGGCAGCAGGTTTTTTTTTTAAATGTGTTTTATAAATTGACAATTCCCAAGGCTCTAGAACAGTGTCTAGTAGACAGTAGGTGCTCAAAATATTTGTTGAATAAACAAAATAACCGAATAGTTTTCAAACAGGGGGTTTGTTGTCTTCTTCAGTTCAGATGTTACTTAAGTGCACCTCCCCCCTCACCTGGGATTGGGCAAGTTCCCTGCCTGATCACTACCACTCACCAAGCACTACACCTACCTGTGGGGTGGGATAAATTTGAGGAGAGTGTTGGACATAGTCTACAGTAAAATAAGACTCACAGTTACATTCACAAATGAAAACTCAGTAAAAAATTCCACAACTATAATTATGGAAAAATAATTCTCAATAATCCCATGCTATCCTGGGATTACCAAGAGGTCCCACAACGTTGTAGTCCACTGTCGCATCCATGCATGGTATGATATATCTTCCCAGTTTGTCTGAAGATCCTCACTTACTACAGCTGCCCCTTGGGAGAGGCAACCTTCACACTGGGACCTGGGTCCTAAACTCTCTAGAGGAAGCTCAGGTGGAGTTTTGCAGCCCTGGGAAGCAGTCAGAGCATCTCTTAGACTAAGAGCCTCTGTGGCCGGCAGGATGTGTAGGGGAGGCCCCTGAAAGGTAGGGGATGACTGTGGGGACATGGATTCTAGCTCAGGTCCCAAGTACTTGACATCTGTGTTTCTGCTTATTCTAAAATTGAGGGTAGGTCCTGACTGCAGAGCCCAGACAGGCAAAGTAAGCCCCTTCACCCTGTGACCTGGAATAGGGACTCTAAAGACAGGGAGGGGACAGAATAAACTTCATTGGCCTCACTTACCCAGACTTGCCTAGGTTTGAGTTTCATGGGGGAGGAGTTGGGCAGGCCCAACCCTGAAGCCACCTGGAGCCTGACCATCTTGAAAGTTGGCATTCTTGGGTTGATAGTCCCCTCTTCTTAACCTTCAGAAAGGGGAGTGGTGGAGTGGCCAAGGGAAGTGACTTAAGGCAGCACTGGCCTTAAAGCTAGGTCTCTTTCTTCTGCACCCAGTCATTCTGAAGCCCCTCCCTCACTCCTACCCTCTTAAAGAAGCCTGGGGACAGCTAGGTTAGGATTGTTGAGATGCCTGAAATGTTACCATTAGTGAACAGATCTCGGCACATGCAGTCTCTCTAATGTGCGGACTCTCTGTGTCCCCAAACTAAGCCTGCCACTGAGCATACTGAGTCACCAGGATCTCAGTGATCTTGTGGAGACAACTGAGAGCTGGTTCTGAGGAGGGTAATTCAGGCACAGGGCCAGGGTTTGGCACACACAGAGGGCCCTGGGAATTGAGGGCAGAGGTAGCAGGGTCCAAACTTTGTGGTTCAATACAAAGCCTCTTGCTGTGCCTCCTTCACCTGCCTGACACCCCCTCCATGTACTGTCACCCCTCACACACTTATACCCAGTAAAACAGAGCCAAGTGCCTCCCAGCCTGGGAGAGAAAAGGAGAGAACTGGAGTGACTGGATGAGGGCTGACCTGCAGGTCAGAGCTTTGAGCAGGGTGTGGCTCAGCTTTCATTACTGGCAAAACCTGGTTGCTTGGGCCAGTTCTGAGTCAGTGTGTCCATTGTCCATCCTGCCCAACAACCCCAGGCCAAGGAGGAGGCTTTGACTCCTCTGTGTGAGCCAGAGGCAAGAAAAGGGCCTGTTTGAGGTGGGCTTGGGAAGCCTGTTGAAGCCCCCACTATGGGCATCTGGGGCACAGTGATGCTAAGTCCTGATTTGGAAACCAGAACTCAGAGCTGGTAGAGAAGAAGTAGCAAGAATGATGCTTGAAATGAAGCTGCACCAACTACTGGTGTCAGAATTGTCTCTGCCTAGGAAGAGGAAGGTTGGGCTGGAGGAGGGCTGACTTGCTGAGGAAAGGGTCTGGCAGGCTCAAGGGTATCAGAGACCCAGGTGGGAGGCACCAAGGCTGGAAAAGGGCCTTAGAGATAGAGGAGAGGTGAGGGCAGAGAAGGGAACCTCCAAGGCTGGGGGTGGGGGGTGCCTAAAGTGAAGCCTGCCAGTGTGGAGTTGCTCATCTCTCAACAGAGTAAACGTGTGGAAGGGAAACCAAGTACAGCTCTGACAGGCCTGCCAAGGACAGCAGGACTAGGGCAAGTGCCAGATAAGAGGCAGCCCAGATCTTAGTGTGTGTGGAGCGGGGGGAGGGGTCATGCATAGTAGGGGGCTCTCCCAAGCCCCACAGTCCTTTCCCTATCTCAACTATCAGAACTGGAAGATTGTCCTTAGGCTGTTTCACATCCCTTACTCAATGCCACCCAGGCCTGGTTGTGCCCAGAAGAGAAGGAGTTAAGGTCAGCCAGGCGGCCTGCAGGATTTGCACCAGCTAGCTTCTGCAAGACTCTCACATTGGCTTTTTTAAGTTCAGGAGGCCTGGGTGGCTTCACTGGAGGGCCTAGCACTCCACATTGGGGATCCCCCAAACCACAGCTCAGCTTTCCCAAGGGGTTCTCCTAGGAGGATGGATGGCGGGATCCCTATACCTTCCCTGGGGATATCAGAGCATGCTGTTCAGAGGGTTTCTGGGTCCTAAGACTTGAAGGGATGGTGTCCACTTAAGGGCCCCTTGCCCAGACAGCCCCTTGGGAGACCACCCAAAGAAGAGACCCTAGAGGTCCTCCCTCCCTCCCCTTTGCCCAGACAGCAATGCGAGGGATTCAAGAGTGAGCTGCCTACACCTGGTTGCAACTTCCCCCCACCCCTCTCGAAAGGCACTCCTGGGGTAAGAAACCTTCCAGAGAAGGGGAGGAGACCCTCGGACCCTTCCCTGACAAGATTCAGGCATTGCTCGCCAAAGACCTCCCACTTCACAAAAGAGAAAGCAGCCAGTCAGCTGGGGAGCTGCAGATGAAAGACGCCAAGGCTCCGGTCAGCAGCAACCTCGCTGGGCGTCGGAGCTTCCAGAGATGAGACCGGATTCTTTCCAGCACGGTCCCCGACCCCGGCAAGGCAGGGCGTGGGGTCGGCCGCCCCCGGTAATGACAGGGCCCGCGCGGCCTGTGGGTGGCGGCGGTGGAAGAAGCGGGAGGATTCTACTATTTCTGGCCGGGGCGCACCCACTGGCCAGAGCTCTGGTCAGGGTTGGCGCGTCTTCCAGGCCCCCGGCTTGGCCTCCTGCCGGTCCACAGGAGGGGGCGGGGAGAGGCGCGGGTTGGCGGGCCCGGGGGGCGGGGCGGTGTCCCGGGTCCACCCCCGACCTCCTTTCCTCCACAGTCCATTCGGGTCCCTCCGCCGCGCCGCGCTCGGACCCCAGGCTGCCAGCGCTGTCGCTGCTCACTTGAGTCCCGCTGCGTCCCCTTGTGCTGCGCCGCCCGACGGGCATGGACTCGGGCCGGGACTTCCTGACGCTGCACGGTGAGTGCCCGGCCCGCGAGAGCCCGGGGACCCCGCAGGGGCCGACGCCCGGAAAGCCGTTCCCCACCCTGGGCTGGGGCTCCCTCGGCCGCTCTGCACAGTCCCCGGCCATCGGCCGGGCAGGGGATATCTCAGCCTGCGGCTCTCAAGGGGGACCGCCCAGCTCAACCTTGGGCGTTTCCAGGCTCGTCCCAGATCTGACCCGGGAGGTCGGGGAGCGGTGCGGATCTGAAGACTTCTCCCTCGGGAACTCCCCCTTATCGTGGTCCTAAAAGACTGGGCCTCACGGTCCACATCGACGAAGGGGCCGCGGAGGGAGGGAGTTCTCATAGTTCTCTCTGCCGGGTTGTGTCAGTCCCTAAAAGCTCCCCAAAGCCCAGGCGTGCCTGGACCGCGTCAGGCCGCGCGGGTGTGGCGCGGTGCGGGGTGTAAGGGGGTGGGGCGAGGAGATGTGCAAGTTTGGCTGAGGTCTGGCACTGCAGTCTTAACTGCCCAGAGCAGAAAGTAGTCAGAGAGACGCCAGGACCATGAGGAGCAGCCGGATTACCGCATCTGCGGACACTTCTGGTGGGACAGGTCTGCTCCAGTAGCCTGTCATTTCGTCCTTTGTCCAGCAGCTCTTTGTTTCCTCCCATCTGGGCCAGCTCCTTGCCCTATGCTGACCCCCCAGCAGAGAAGGAAGTCTAGGCTCCTGGCTGAAAAGTTTGGAAGCCTCTGGAAATAAGGGGAGCAACGTGACACCTCTTTGCTCCAGGTGAAACTGACTCACACTTAGGGGGCCTGTCTCCCCAAATCAAATGCCAGGTCAGCAAACCCTGCCCCTCTCACACCAATCACTGCTTAACTATATAGCTCTCTCTTTTCCAGTTCCCTTGGAGTGGCAGCCTTTAGTGCCACTCACCATCCATTCATAGAGATAAAAGATGGGAGCTCCATGAGGTGGTTCACACCTGTAATCCTAACTAGGAGGAGATAGGGAGGATTGAGGCTTGCCCAGACAAAAAATTCTCAAGACCCCATCTCAACCAATAAAAGCTGAGCACAGTGGCATGCACCTGCCATCCCAGCTAGGTGGGAAGCTAAATAGGAGGATTGTGGTCCAGGCCAGCCCTGACAAAAATGTGGGACCCTATTATAAATGCAAGACCCTGTTCAAAAATTCTTAGAACAAAAAGGACTGGGGGAGTGGCTCAAGTGATAAAGCACCTGCTTAGCAAACACAAGGTCCTGAGTTTAAACCCCAGTACTGAGGGAAAAAAAAGATGGGAAAGAGAAGCACAGAGCCCTCCAGCCCTCCCATTTCACTCCCCCCCCCACCCCCGGGAGGTGTGCCCCCAATCTGTTTTGTGTTTCTCAGTTGGCCTAGACCTGGTCCCCAGGGACCAGAGAGATCAGTAGCCAGGGTGTTTCAGCCACTTGTCCAGCTGGGTCATAGGATCCTTGACCTTTTCAGGGCTTCCTCTCTTCTCCTCTCCACTCTTTCTGGTTAGGTCGCCAGAAAGAGTGGTGGGAAGGGAGGACAGGCAGCTCAGAAGACCACATGGAAACCTCTGTATTCTCTCTCCCCTTCCCTTAGCTATTGCTGTCTACCTGGCAGACTGCCACCTCTTCCCTGACTGCCTTACACTCAGACCTCCTCACAGACCTGAGGTCGCCTCTGACACAGCAAAGCTTCAGCTCATTTTGGAATGGGCTCTATCCTCCTTGTCTGTGCCTTTGACTAGGTTCTCTCCTGGGGCAGCCCTCATATCTTCCCTGCAGAAGACACGTGGAGGCTAATCAGAGCCTCCCAGTCTGGTGGCATGGGCTTGACCAGCCTGGCTCATCTTGTTTGAGATTCAGTCCAGCCCTTCCTACAGGGCTGGCATGAACACTGTGACCCCAAGCTCATGGTCCTGAAGGCCCTGCCACTTTGAGTTCATCATCCAGAATTACCTCCATTAACTCCCTTTTGTCTACACTGCAAACTGGATGGGGAAGCAAAAACCTGTCAAGGAGAATTGGTGGTGGGAGGAGGTAGTCATTGTGCCCAGTGCTGGTCCACATTCCTGTTGGAGAGTCTGCATCCCTTTAACAAGTCCCATGGCATTGAACATGTGCTGAAGGACCACCCTGTGTGGCTTGGGCATTTGGGGGTCTGCTGCAAGCATGCCCTCTGGGTTCTTTCCATTTTGCCGGAGATCTACAGGCTCACCTACTAATGAGATGTCCCTTCTGTCCTCACCCCATATGCATGCAAGGCATGGATTCTGGAAACAAAGCACCTGTTCTCTTGGCTTGTTCATGTCAAATTCCTTGACACTTCTGTCCCTCCATTTCCTCATCCGAAAAATGGGAGATAATAACACCACCCACCTCATAGGGTTATTGAATGAGGCAGTATCTATAAGGAAGATATAGTACCAGTGGGTGCTATATTCCTGCAGGAGACCCCCCTCCTAAGTTACCAAGCTCTGTAAGTTGCTGTCTACAGTTCTTTGGGAGATGATAGAGCATCATAGGGTAATCCCTAGACAGAGAAAGTCAGAACTGGACACAAGAACCAAGGAGTTCTTTCTGGTGCCTCTGAAGTCTGCCAACTGATGTTACAGTGTGTGTGTCTGTGGGGGGGCTCTGTGTCTTCCACTCTTTTCTTTGGCTAAGCCTGGACTGGGTTTTCCAGCAGATCCCCAAATGGCCTGAAAGGACATCACCATCCAGGGCCTCCGTTCACTGAACATATTCATCTCCACTAACATTTCTTATACCTGGTCCCTCCTGCCCCACTGCAAGAACTGGCGTTTGTAAAGGTGGAAGGTAGAGGGGCTTCATCTTGTTCCCATGAGCCCTGAGCTCAGCTTTGCTCCTTTCTGGGCCTGCTTTCTCTCAGTTGGAGGGGATATTGTGAGGATAAAACATTAATGGGCTTAGGAGTTCTAGGTTGTCCCCCCTCCAAAAAAAATTTTCCCAAGAGATGATGATGGTAACAAAGCCATCATAGCAAGTTAGGTGGTCAGCTCCTCACCCACCTCAGTTATGTTTCCAAGCTATCTCTCCCTGGGGTCCCAGGCCCACGCCACATAAACACATATTGATCTACACTGCTCTTAACTTTTCTGTGCAATAGGCCATTTTGGCAGTCAGATGAAGCCTGTATGCCTTCTCAGGATCATTGTAGGGTTTTTTGTTTTGTTTTTGGTGGTACTGGGGTTTGAACTCAGGGCTTCAACCTTGCAAAGCAGGCGCTCTACCGCTTGAGCCACACCTAAAGTCCATTTTGCTCTGGTTATTTTGGCGATGGGGTCTTGGGAACTATTTGCTTGGGCTGGTCTTGAGCCTCAGTCCTCCTGATCTCAGCCTCCCAAAATAGCTAGAATTACGGGAGTGAGCCACAGGTGCCTGGTAGGATCATGTTTTTAAATAAAATGTGCGTAAAATAAAGCACATAAGAATTCAAAGGAAGCAAACTATATTGAGATCTGTCTCTACCCACAGCTCCAGGGAAATCCTTGTTCTGGTTAAGAATCCCTGAGTGGTTCTTAACAGTGGCTACCATTGTACTTTGCTTTCCCAACTCCAAATGAAAAATAGCTTTTCTGTGTCTGTATTTCAGCTCATCCACAGGAACATGCCTTGCTCATTTTTTATTCCGTGTGGTGTGACTTTAGGCAAGTCACTATGCGCTTGAGTTTTATTATTATTGCTGTGCTCCTCTGTGCCAAAAACTGACTTTGCCAGTGACTCACTGTTGGTGCTGCAGTGAGGCAAATCGGGAACTCAGGTTAAGAGAGGAGTGAGTCACCGCCTCTGGGCGGTGTCCTGATCTTGGTACGCAGTAGGGGCTCAAAAGGAATTGCTGGGTAAATGAAAGGGAATTTGTAGTGCACATGAAAGGACCCACTGTTCCCTGGAGCATTGACACCACAGTTTTGTACAAAGTTACAGTCATTCTTGTCGATTGGTCAAGGCAAGCCTGCCTGAACGGGCTCCTTTTAAGGTCAGTATTTTTTTTTCAAGAGTTCCATTTGCATCTGGCACTTTGGGGATTACCCCTGAGCGAAGGAAACAGGTCTGCCAAAGGTTTACAAGGAGGCAACAGCAAGTTAAATCACAATGAATCCGTTGAGTAATTGAGGCAAAATATTTGGCGGGCTCGGTTGCCCGGCCTAGCGTTCGCCCCGGGCTCGTCTGGCCCCGTTCCACTAGATTCTCTGCAGCCCACTGGGAGTCCGCTCCACAGCTCTGCCTTTGTGGGTCCAGCCCTGGAGTTGGACTTCCCGGCTCAGGCTCCGCCCCACACTTCCTCCCTGGTCCCGCCCCCTCCAAAGCCGAGGTTCCGCTCCTCCCTGTTTGGACACAGTCTTTCCAGCTCCAGGTCCTCCGGGTCTGGCCTCCTGGGTCCTGGTTCCGCCCCATGTCTGCTTCCGGAGTGTGGCTCTAACTCCACATCGCCTCCTGGGCGGTGGCTCCCAGCCTGAACTCCTCCTCCCGGGCCTGGCTCCTCCCCCGCCCCAGCCCGCTTCCACGCCTCTGGACTTTGCCACAGATTTGCTTCCTGGGCTATGGATTTAGCCCGTTTCGCCCCTCTAGTCCGGCCCCTCCTCTGTCCCGCCTCCTGAGTGCTAGTGCTCCCTTCCCGCGCCTGCGTTCCGCTCTCGCCCCACTTCCCTGAGTCACCGGTCCCGCCCCTCCGGGACTAGCCCCGCCTCCTAAGGTCTGGGCCCGCCCCTTTCGGCACGGATTTCTTTTGCGGACCGCCTCTAGGGCTGCAGCCCCGCCCTCCTGGGCCCCCCCTTTTGGGTTCTAGCTCCGCCCTCACCTCGCTGAACTCCGAGCAGTTCCGCCCCCCCCCCCACGGGCAGGCTTCTGGAAACCGCTGTCCTGTAATACTGGTTTCACAGAGGCAGAGATACTATATAGCGACATGCAGTGCTTGGGGGTCCCGAGCCGGAGTCGGAGCCTGAGCCGGTCCAGGGAGCTTTACCTGCAGGAGCAGAGCCTCAAGGTGGCGGCGCTTAATGGGCAGAGGATGGGTAAGGGGCGCAGGGAACACCGAGAGCTGCAGGAAATGGGAAGGCAGCTGGAACAGGACGCAGACTTGTCCCTCAGCTCCGAGGCCACTTGCCTATGAGCCTTTGATCAGATGTGTTCAGTATTTCTGTGGGACACATGGAAGTGAGTAGTGGGGAGATTAGATATCCCTTCTCCTAGTTGACCTCACCCCCTCCAGGGCTCCTTGCCACCCCCAGCACCTCTCTACAGATTTCCACAGCACCACTGGATATATGGCTCAGTGTGTATGACTGAGTTCAGTGTGGTGCTCTGCAAAAGTGTACTTGTGTGATAAGTATGATAGTGGATGGCCCAGTGGTGACTAAGTGATTCTATCACACGTGGTACTGTGAGGCTAAAATGTAGTGATGATGCCATGTAATCAAGTGTGTGACATTGTGGCTCTGAAGATGTAACTCAGTGTGATGCTGTGTGACTGGATGATTCTGTCATTCTGGGTTAGGGTTCGGTGTATGTGTTATGTGGATTTTCTGATGTTATCACTCTGCCACTGTGACCCGAGTGGTGGCTGCATAAAATAATGTTTTAACAGCACTGGTCCTGTGAGTGGGCTGCTTGCCTTTGAGTCCTGACTCCATTGTGAAACTTCCTTCACCCTCAGTTTCCTCATCTGTAAAATGGGGTAATGATAACTGCCTTCCTCACAGGTTGTGAGGGGATTAAATACAAACGCTGAGAACAGTATCTTATTCATTGTTAACTATTATTATGGAGGCTGCTATTATTGCGATAATGATGTTCTGACTTTGTATGTTAAATGGTTGCATGTGACTAAGGGTGATGCTGTGCAACTCCATGTGACAATGGGTAGTTGGGGGTGGCAACCTCACGTAGATTTTGCCTGGGAGTATGTGATTGTATGTGTGGTGTGGTGTGTGACAGTATGTCTGTGTGACTATCTCAGTGTAACTGTGTATTGCTGTGGATTTCAGGCCCAGTGTATCTTCATTATGCATCACTGAGGAACATGAGCAGGATTCCTGGCACTCCCTAGTTTACCACTGGCACTTATAGTCCTTTCCAGGTCCTCTCCATGATCACCTCTCTGTGGGCAGTTTAGGCAGATTTGTGAGGCTGCAGGTCAATCCAGGGCCCCTGAGCTCAGAGCCTCTCTTGTCCTCCTATTAGTGGAATGAGTGGACTGGGTGAGGGGTGCCCACAGACTTTCTACATGCTAAGGGAGAAAGTGGTGGGTTAGGCAGCTCAGCAGCTATAGAAACAGAAGGACCCCCAACTGAGGCTAAGAGATGGAGGTGCCTGCCCAGGTTTCCCAATGGCCCAGAGACCACCTTTCTGGAATTATCAAGGCCCTGAGGTCCACCTCCTGACTGCCATGTCAACAGTGGGTGCTTATCTCTGTCTGACTTCAGACAGAACCACAGCCTGGCTCCAGGACAGGATGAGCATGTCATCTCTTCATGGTGTTTTCCAGAAGGGAGGGTGGAGCTCACCTTCTGCTTCCTGACAGCCCCTGTCCCCATCTGAGCTATTAGCAGTGGCTTGTCCTGCTGTGTGCCCAGTTTAGGGGGTGGGGCACTGGCAGATGACACAGAAGTGTCTCTTTCACTTGTACTTCAGCCTCAGAAAGGGCAGTGGCATCTCCCAGATAAGGCCAAAGGTGGACCTCTCCTCTGGGAGCCTGGGAACTCCCTTATCCTTCCTGTTGTACTGGTCCCCTCAGGCTCAGTAGACCATTTGGAACATTCTGTAGGAGTTCCCTTTCCCTCCACTAGGCCTGTCCTTGGGCTGAAAGAGAACTGCTCATGCTAAGGAGTGGGTGGATAGACCTGGGACAAACATGGGGAAAGGTCACATCAGACTGTCACCTCTGAGGAGGCTCAGAGATACTTCCTCCAACACTGTTTTCACCCCAGGGCTGATGGAGGAAAAAGAGGCACAGAGAGGGAAGGAAGTTGCCTGAAGTCATGGTAGGGGTGAGGACATTAGCATGGAGCGCTCTCCCTTCTGGAAGCAGGAACCTGGGGAGGGCTGAAGAAGGTGTGGGTGGCTGAGGCCACTTCTGGAACTGGCCAGAAGGTTCTGTAGGTCCTGTAGATATGTGGGGAAGGCAGACTAGGGAAAGGGAGCATGTATAAAGTGGGAGAGGATATCAGGCGTTGAGGATCTGGGCTCAGAAACCACAAAGCCTATGTCTTTGTGAGGCTCCTGGACACACTAGGCACTGGACCCTTGGGGTTTCTGATGCCACTGCTCTGCTGGAGCAGCAAGACAGAGATTGCTGATGGGATAAATAGTTTGGGGGACCAAAGTGAGGTGACCAATTGGTTCTGTATAGAGCTAGCTGCTGGACTATATGAGGCTAGGGTGACACATGCACCCTGACACACACACACACACACACACACACACACACACACACCCTTATAGACATATCTGCCTCTCTGTTACATTGATGGGTTAGTGAGGTGCAGGGTAGAGGTCTTCTGTTTGGAGGCCAGGGCCCCCAAGGAGCCAGGCTTGGCATCCCTTTGGTGCCTCCTGTCTGGGCCTGGTATGACAGAACATTGTATGTTTGGGAACCTTGCCCCAGGCCAATCTATATCTCTGAGAAGAGCACAAGAACTGGGCAGGACAGTATTTTGTCTTCCTAGTAGGCATGAGCCAGCCTCTGCTTCAGCTTCTGAAAAGGCTACACTGTACCATAAAGCTGCTGTACCCTGAGGGGACCCAGACCAGGGCTCTCAGAGATGGGAGAGAGGCAGTAAGGCACAGGGACATCCCAGCTGGCCAAACAGAGGCCAAAGTGGGCTCATGCTTCTCTTCTGGAGGCAAATATCAGAAACCCACTCAAGCCGACTAATCAGGTGTGGGGCAAGCAGGGAAGGCAATGCCAGGGATAGGAACAAGGGTACCACAGCAACCACAGTGTTGACACCAAGAACCACAGCTGCTGTTGCTTCAAGACTCCACAGATTGGTGCATCCTTATGTTTAAACTTGGAGCTCCCCTCTTAGGAAAGACAGAAAAGGCTCAGCCACATGACATCTCTTGCCCAGATCTCACAGCTGGTCAGGAAGGGTGCCTGAACTTTGTCATAATAGCTTTGGAGCCATTGGAGTGGGGAGGATCTTGGCTCCAGGATGTCCAGCTGCGTCTGCCTCCTGATTTACCTGATCTTTTGGTTCTAGCTTCCTTCATTTCACTCTGGTCCATATGTGTGACCAGGAGGGCCCTATCTCATCTTTTAGAGCCAGGCCTTTTCCTAGGGTCCTAGTCCCCTTGGTAACAGGTATTCTTGAATTAGCTGCCTTTCTTTTGCCCATTCAGTTCTCAGAGGCAAGTCACATTGTATAAGTATGGTCTTGGGTAGCTCAGTAGTAGAGCTCTTACCTAGCATGCACAGAGGCACTGGGTTCAATCCTCAGAACAGGAAAAAAAAAAAAAAAGCTGTTCTTGCATGGCCAATGGCCATCTCAGTTGGCAATCAGATGATTCTCTGGAGGACGCAGGGTTCTGGGGAATAGGTTAGAATGTGGATGAAGGAGGGGGAAGTATGCAGCTGAGGACGAGCCCACTGGTGGACAGTGGGCTCCGAGGGGTCCAAAGGTGGACATAGCTAGCATGGACTGAAGGCGGCCAGGACACTGGTGGAGGAGGGGGCATCTTAACAGCACTGACATCTCTCCCCCCCACACCCACCCCAGGCCTACAGGATGACAAAGACCTACAGGCCCTGCTGAAAGGCAGCCAGCTTCTAAAGGTAAAGTCCAGCTCATGGCGGAGAGAGCGCTTCTACAAGTTGCAGGAGGACTGCAAGACCATCTGGCAGGAGTCCCGCAAGGTCATGAGGTCCCCAGAGTCCCAACTGTGTGAGTGCCTGGCTATAGGGAAGAGGGTAGAGTGTGGATGGGGTAGGTTGGGGTGGAAGTCAATCATGGACCTTGACTACAAATGGGGAAACTGAGGCTTGGCATGTGGGGTATAGGTTATTCATAATAATCAAGGCAAGAAATGAAGAAACAGGCTGGCTGGGAGAGGAGCCAATTAAATCACTTCTAGAGAAACTGAGGCTTAGTCTGGGTCCAAGAGGGCAATCATGGAATGAAGGCTACAAGTGCTAAAGCTCTTTGGGGATGGGTATACATAACCATGACCACAGATGGAGATAGCCAGGCTCAGAAGCAGCAAGGGAACTGGACAGGGTTATTCAGAATCAGGTATCCACTCAGGCAGTTGTGGGAAGGAGGGAAGGTGGGTGGATTGGCACTCCAGGTGTGGTAGGCCAAAAGCCAGGCCCAAAGTCCGGAGGCAGATAAGGCACTTCCGGGTATTAGTGGCCAGGGTGTGAAGTAGTGTCACAGATCTTCCCTGGGACATTGGGGTGAAGTGGGGCATAAAGAAAGGCCATGGCTGGGGTGCTCCTTCAAGGATGTGGATCCAAAGGCCTTCAGGGAGCTTCTGAAAAGGGTCAGAAATCCAGGCTGGGGCAGCAAATGAAGAGCGGCCTCCCTTGAGGTTTAGGGAGGAAGCTCTTCTGGCAAGTGACCTGTAGCTCAGGAATTTCCTAAAGACTTTGTAAGGTGAGATGTTTTCCCCCTCTGTACTTTTAATTGGTGGGAAAAATTTAGACCAATGCTGTCCAGTCGAACTATGCAATGATGGAACTATATCTTCACTGTCCACTATGGGAGCCACCAGCTGTAGGTGGCACCAAGCCCTTGAAGTATAGCTAGTGTGACTAAGGAACTGAGTTTTTCACTTGATTTCATTTTACCCATTTATATTTAAATAACCACAGGTGGCAACAGTGGTTGGACAGTACAGATAGATCACAGATTGGGTTTCCTGAACCCAGACTCCTGGAAAGCCTTTATCTATTCACCAACTCATGGCTGGGGGTTGGGTGGGAAGGCAAGCATGTATGTGGGGGGTAAGACCAGACTTGGTGGCAAGCCCCAGGTAGAGAAAAGCATAAGGAAAAGGAGGTTAAGACTAGTGAGAGGGTTCCGATAGTGTGCATTTAATCCAGGAGGAGTCTGCCAGGCCTCAGGACAATGGACAGAAATTTTGAGAATGCATGGCCTGCCCTGTCTGTGGCCTGTGGAAGGCTTGAGGAAAGGCAGGACAGGAGCATGGTCAAATGGAAAGCCCGACTGGGTCCATGAAGGCTTCTGATCAGGGCAAGGCAGGGTCTGAGATGATGGGACCTAAAGTATTCCCTGATCCTATGTCTGCTCCAGCCCAGCCTGCTGCCTCATAGGACAGAAGTGACCCCCTGACCTTGCCTGTGTTTGTGGCACCAGACTGGCTCCTTCACTGGGCTCCTGTCCTGATACCAGGTTTCCTGTTGCCATGGTGGGTGGAGGCTCGGTGGGAACAGGGATCTCGCACTAGGAGCCCTGGGGATTCCTCAGGACCCTCCCCCCTGTGGACACATACGCTTGCCTCTCCAGTGGGTGCCTAGTGCTTGGTGGTGGGTGTGTGAGGGATCAGGTTGAGGAACAGGAAACCCAGAGCTTTTCAGCAAAATGAGAACCTCATATTGGGACAGACATGAGCAAAACGACAGGCAGGAGACCCAGTGTGAGCAAAGGCACACAGGTTAGCACAAGGAAGGCAGACTGAGGACGTGCTCTGAAAAGAGGGGCCCCTGGGTGACATATCCAGCACCAGGGAGCCTAGGGTGCTCAGGAAGGAACCCAGCCTGGAGAGGCTTCTGAGTCACACACCCTAGTCAGGGTTCACAATGAGCATGCCTGTTAGCATGTTCCTTTTTTGTGCATTGTGCGAGACTGTTATCCTCGACTGCCCTTGATCACTGGGGAAACCAAGGCCAGGTGAGGGAGGAGTGGGACATCCCCATTTTTCTTTGGCTCTGCCTCTTGCTCCCTCAATTTTCCCATTCTGGCCCCCCTGCCCACCCCATGTCTGGTTCCCAGCAGACAGGGTGTTACCAGCAGTGAAAGGCAGCTGGCCTTTCTCTCTGGGTTGGGTGGGGCTGCAGGTTTGGGGCCTCCATGGCTCAGGCTTCCTGTTCCCATTCTAGCCTAGGGCAGCTTCATCTGCACCTGGTGTGGGGCCTAGGGGGCTCAGAGGGATTAAGCAGGGGTATGCTCTGCACCCTAGATGGCCTGGGGCTCATGTGTCCCAACCCTCAGAGCCTGTGGCCTGGGCTGGGCACATGCCACACACATGGACCTCTAGGTGGCCAGATGGCACTCAGGATGGGATGGGCTCAGGGAAGGACAGGTGAACTTTCAGACAGCCACTTTTAGGACCCAGGAAAGTGAGGGTGGCTCAGGACTGGGCTGAGGCAGGGACAGAACTAGGAGAAGCCTGGCTAGTGTAACTGGCTCTTAGGTAGTCCATGGAGGACACATTGGGATGGTGGGGACAGAGGATCTTGTCTCTCTCCAACACTTGGAAGACTGGGCTGTGATGGGAGGGACCTCCCCTTGGTGCCTATGGGCAGAATGATGTCATCTCTCAGGGCCCTGAAGGGCACTTTCTACTCTGGGACCCCGGAGGGCAGGGCCTTCTTGCACTCCCCTGCCAAGGGGTTCCCTGAAGTCAGAACACACACAGACATATGCAGAGCAAGGCCCTGTCTAACCTCTGATACAAGAACTTCTCCCTGTGATTTTGGGCATTTGTCCCCAGATCCCAGAACCAGGACTGACTAAGGGTGGCCCCAGTCTCCTGAGTCAGGAGAGGGGCCTGGAGGTTCTCATGGCTGGGGCCCAAAGTGCAGTACAGTCAGGAGGGTGTGTGGCTTCACTCTGTCACAGGCACCAAGCTCAAGAACTCTCCCACCCATCTCTAAGGGCCCTGCATGACCCTGCCCCTGTGCTCTCCTGGTCCTGCTCTCTCCACGATAAGACAACAGGCCAGGGGTCTCATTGCCCTTCTCACCATAAGATCCCTGTCTCCTCCTCTTCCTTTGAGTTTCCACTCTGCCCAATAAGACTGTCCTATGTCCTGTCTCCACCTCAGTCTCTGTCTTCCTCTCCTTTTTGTCGCTGTTCCTCTGCCCTTCTGCTGCTCTCCCTTCTCTCTGGGCTCTTAGCTTAAGCTCTGGGCTGGCTGTGTCTCTAAGCTGTGGCCTTGGGTGCACAGAGGCAGGGACTAGCCTCAGAACATGCTCTGCTCCCCCACCCTCTTGCAGTCTCCATTGAGGACATTCAGGAGGTGCGAATGGGGCACCGCACAGAGGGTCTGGAGAAGTTTGCCCGTGACGTGCCTGAGGATCGCTGCTTCTCCATTGTCTTCAAGGACCAGCGCAACACACTAGACCTCATCGCTCCATCGCCCGCTGATGCCCAGCACTGGGTGCAGGGTCTGCGCAAGATCATCCACCATTCAGGTTCCATGGACCAGAGGCAGAAGCTGCAGCAGTATCCTCTTGGTGGCCGTGGGTCAGGGTCCAGCTTGTGGACAGACTATAGTTGTCCCTGGGCAGCCTGGGTATGGAAGGTGACTTAGTCAGTTGGGGATACCATAACAAAATACCATAGACTAAGTGGCTTAAACAACCAAAATTTATTTTCTCACAGTTCCAGAGGCTGGAGGTTTGAGTTGGTTTTGGTGAGGGCCTCCTCCTTGCTTGCTTCTCACTGTGTTCTCAGATGGAGGGGAGAGGGAAAGCTCTCTGGAAGCTCTCCTTTTTATGGGCACTAATCCTATCATGAGGGCCCCACTCTTATGACCTCATCTAAACCAAGGCCCCATCTCCAAAACCATCATATTGGGGGCTAGGGTTTCAAAATGCAAATTGTAAAGGGACACAATTCAGTCCATAGCAGAAGGGAAGTAGGGAAGATTCACTCCTTGGTCTACTCTGACCAAGACTGTGCACCTACTCTGCAACCAGTGTGGAGATGGAAGACTGGGGAGTCTGAGGGGAGCAGCCTGCTCCAATGGAGACCTAAAGTGGGACATTGTAACCATATTTTCCCCTCTGTAAACTGGGAGGTCATGGTGCCTCCTGTGCACCGTGGGAATCATCATGTTCCCCTGAGCCTGGTTTTTGTGGCCCTAAAACAAAGTAACTTTAGCCTGGTATGGTGGTGCAGGCCTTAATCCCAGCACTTAGAGGCTGAGGCAGGGGGTCTCGAATTCTAAGCCAGCCTGGGGTAGATAGTGAGACCCTGTCTTAAAACAAAGGAAAACTGACTTCTGAAATCTACTTGCACAACTACACACTGAACTCTGATTCAAAGTGCTCAGGCTTCTAGCACATGTGGGTTAGGCTGGAACCAATTTCTTTGTTTTGTTTTTTGGAGGCAGAGTCTTACTGTGTACCTAGGCTGGCCTTAAACTTTCAATCCTCCTGCCTCAGTCTCCTGAGAGCTGATTGCAGGTGTGCACCACCACGCCCAGCAGCTTCCTTTTTTATGACAGCTTTATGGAGATATAATTCACATACCATAAACTTAACCCATTTTTACTGTTGAACCTGATTCAGTGCTTTTTCTTTTAGCATATATGCATCATGTGACCATCCCCATCAATTTTAGAACACTTGCATCATCCCAAAAGGAAACACTGTGCCCCATTAACAGTCACTTTCCATTTCCCCTCAACCCTCTAACCCACTTTCTGTCTATCCATATTCTGGACATGCCATATAAATGGAAGCACACAGTCTCTGTGCCGGCTTCTCTTGCCTAGCGTATTGTTCGCATTCATCCACATTGTAGCATGTATTTACACTTCATCCCTTCTCACCGCCTACTAATATCCCACAGCACAATTTATTTACCTCTGCATCAGTTGATGGATGTGTGGGTTGTTTCCACTTTGGGGCTCTTATCTAATCTGCTGTGAAAACTGGAATGTGAGTTTTTGTGTGGACATAAGTTTTCATTTCTTTCTCTCTCTTTTTTTTTTTGCAGCACTGTGGCTTGAACTCAGTGCTTACACCTTGAGCCACTCTACCAGTCCTTATTGTGATGGGTTTTTTTGAGCTAGGTCTTGGGAACTATTTGCCCGAGTTGGCCTCAAACCGTGATCCTCCTGATCTCTGCCTCCCTGAGTAACTAGGATTCTAGGCGTGAGCCACTGGCACCTGGCTTCATTTCTTTTGAGCTCTCTTGTATTCAACATTTTGAAGAACTGACAGGCTGTTTTTTAAAGAGGCTGTTCCAGTTTACATTCCCACCAGCAATGGATGAGGTTCAACTTTTCACATCTGCGACAGCACTTGTTTTTACTCTGTCCTTTTGGTGATAGACCTCCTGGCTGTGAAGCATCCTACTGTGGTTTTGGTTTGCATTTCTTTGTGGCTACTGCTGCTGAGCATCTTTAGGAGTATTTATTGGCCATTTCCATATCTTTTTTGAATACCTTATACATTTTTGTCATTGCTTTTTTATTTTATTTTTTAAAATTTTATTTTAAGGTTTTATTTATTTATTTTTTTGTTTATTTTTGTGAGACAAGGTTTACTGTGTAACCCAGATTGGCCTTCATCTCACAATAATCCTGCCTCAGCCTTCTGAGTGCTGGGATTATAGGTATGTACCACTATACCTGGCTGTGTCTATTTTTAATTGTGATAAAATACACATAACATACATTTTAACGTAGTAACCATTTTTTAGGTGTACAATTCAGTAATGTTAAGTACATTCACACTGTTATGTAACCAACCTCAAGAACTATTTTGATCCCACACAACTGAAACTACATCTATTCAACAATAATTTTCCATCACTCCGCCTTCCAGCTCCTGGCAACCACCATTCTACTTTTTGTCCTTATGAATTTGACTACTCTAGGTACCTCATGTAAATGGAATCATGCAGTATATACATATATATATATATATATATATATATATATATACACACACACACATATGTATATATATTTTTTGTGGTACTGGGGTTTGAACTCAGGGCCTTGTGCTTGCTAGGCAGGTGCTCTATCACTTGAGCCACTCTGCCAGCCCTGTTTTGTGTTGGGTATTTCGAGATAGGGTCTTGTCAACTATTTGCCTTGGCTGATTTCGAACCAGGATCCTCCTGATCTCTGCTTTCCACGTAGCTAGGATTGCAGGCATGAGGCACCAGCACCCTGCCCAGTATTTGGGTTTGTGTGTGTGTGTGTGTGTGTGTGTGTGTGTGTGTGTGTGTGTGTGTGACTGCTTTCACTAAACATAATGTCCTAAAGGTTCATCCATGTTGTAGCATGTGTCAGAATGTCTTTCCTTTTTCAGGCTAAATAATATTCCATTGTATGTATACACCACATTTTGCTTATTCATTTATTCATTTATAGATACTTGGGTTGCTTTTACCTTTTGGCTCCTGTGAATAACACAGTATTCACACACCTAAAAGACCCTCTTTCACTTCTTTTGGGTATATGTCCAAAAATGGAATTACAGGATGACATGGTAAATCCGTTTGCAGATTTTGTATTTGAGTTCCTTTGGGGTTTTTTTTGGCAGTACTGGGATTCAAACTTAGATCTTTGCAAGGCAGGCACTCTACTGCTTGAGTCACCTCCAGCCTGTTTGCAGTTTTACTGTTTCCTACAGTAGCTGTACAATTTTACATTCCAACCAACTACTGTGCACAAAGGTTCCAATTTCTCTGCATCTTGCTAACACATTATTTTTTTTGGATATTTTTTATAGTAGCCATCCTAATGAGGATGAAGTGGTTTCTCACTGCAGTTTTGATTTGCATTTCCCTAATGATTAGTGAAATCAGCATTTTTATGTGCTTTTGTATATCTTCCTTGGAGAAATACCTATTAAGATATTTTGGCCCAGGTATGATTGGGTTGTTTATCTTATTATTGAGTTATAAGAACTCTCTATCTTATGAGATACAGGTTTTGCAAATAATTTCTCTCATTCTGTGGGCTGTCTTTTTTGGATAGTATTCTTTGAAGCACAAAATTTGTTGTTTTATTAAGTCTAATTTTATTCTTTTGTTTGTACTTTTTGGTGTCATCTCTAAGTTCAAAGTCATGAACATTTGCTCTTACATTTTCTCCTAGAATTTTATTGTGCTAGTTCTGATCCATTTTCAGTTGATTTTTAGTATGGTTGGTTTTTTTTTTTTCTTTTTGGTGGCACTGGGGTTTGAACTCAAGGCCTCACACTTGCTAGGCAGGCGCTCTATCACTTGAGCCATACCTCCAACCATTTTCAGTTAATTTTTGTGTATGGTATGAGGTAGGAGATCTCATTTCCTTTTCCTTTTCTTTTTTTGCATTTAGATAAACAGTTGTTCCAACACCATTTGTTGAAAATATTATTCCTGCCCCATTGAATTCTCTTGGTGCCCTTGTCAGAAATCAATTGACTGTAAATGGGAGGATTTATTCCGGAATCTCGGTTCTCTTCAATTTGTCTGCATGTATCTCTGCACCCACCATCCTTGCACCACAGTGTTTTGGTTACTGTGACTTTGCAGTAAGTTTTGAAATCGGGCATCGTGAGTCCTCCACATTTATTCTTTGTTTTGCAAGATTGCTTTGGCTATTCTAGATCCCTTGAAATTCCATATGTTGAACTCAGGAGCTTGTGCATACTAGGCAGGACTTCTATCACTTGAGCCACACCTCCAGCTGAGTCCTTTTATAGTAAGAAGTGTTTTCAAAAAATTGGATAGTTTAAAAACCAGCAAATAGAAAAAAGACCCTTGATAGGATGTAACATTTTCCTCTAGAGAGGCCAACAGGTCTTGTGCCTGCAGTATGCATGGGCACTAACTAGTAAGGCCAAAGCTGTGTCTACACAGCTTCTCAACTTGAACCTGGCTCTGGCTGGGACCTTAGTGGGCATCAGGGCTCTTGGGTTCTTTCCTTACTCCTTATCTAGCTGGATTCACTCCTGCTTGCGAAAAGCTGACAAAAACAAGGACAACAAGATGAGCTTCAAGGAGCTGCAGAACTTTCTGAAGGAGCTCAATATCCAGGTGGACGACAGCTATGCCCGGAAAATCTTCAGGGTGAGGCTGGGTTTGCAGGGCAGCAGGTCCTTGATCCTCACCTGAAACTCGCCCTAAACCCTGCTCCCTGGCTGTCCTGACTTCGCAGGAATGTGACCACTCCCAGACAGACTCACTGGAGGATGAGGAGATTGAAGCCTTCTACAAGATGCTGACTAAGCGGGTGGAGATTGACCGCACTTTTGCAGAAGCTGCAGGCTCTGCAGAGACCCTATCAGTGGATCAGTTAGTGGCATTCCTGCAGCACCAGCAACGGGAGGAGGCAGCAGGGCCTGCACTGGCCCTCTCCCTCATTGAGCGCTACGAGCCCAGCGAGACTGGTGAGGGCCTGGCAGTCCCAGGGCCACACAAGCTGGGGATCCTTGAGGGGTCTGCAGCCAGAGCGAAGAGGACCAGCCCCAGGGTCCCTGACCAGTGTTCACATATCCCATGAAAGCAGGCTCCAGCACCACTGACACCTCTGGGCCTCAGTTCCCCACTTGGTTACTCCTTCTGGAGTTTTTGAGGACTCCCATCCCCAAGAATAGAGGTGACAGAAAAAAAATCCAAGGCTACTTATTCCTGTTTCCTTCTTCGTGTTTATTCTGGCCCCAGCTCTAAGATGTGACCCAGGAGAGAAGATGGAGCCCTGCTCTGCAGAGGGCCAGGAGGTTTCCACCTGGGGGCATAGAGAAAGAGATGACACCCTGCTTTTAGGGTTCTTGGAGTGAGGAGACATAGGAGGGTGGAGGAGACAGGGTCTCCATCAGGGAACCACAGCCTTTTAGGGACACTCAGACTTATCCTCTCTAAGCTGTGGAGGATCAGCAGAGGATGGGCCGAGAGAGTACAGGGTTCCCTAGAGTGGTGGGAAACCAGGAGGAGCCTGTGAGAACTGGCTCTGACTGGCAACGGTGGCCCCTACTTCCCAGCCAAGGCACAGAGGCAGATGACCAAGGATGGCTTCCTCATGTACCTGCTATCGGCTGATGGCAGCGCCTTCAGCCTGGCGCACCGGCGGGTCTACCAGGACATGGGCCAGCCACTCAGCCACTACCTGGTGTCCTCCTCCCACAATACCTACCTGCTGGAGGACCAGCTCACAGGACCCAGCAGTACAGAAGCCTACATCCGGTACGATCCAGGGACCTTGGGAGTGAGTGTGGGTGGGACCTGGGATAGGACATGGGGGCAGTACTAGCCTCCACCACTACTTGCAGGGCTCTCTGCAAAGGCTGCCGCTGCTTGGAGCTCGACTGCTGGGATGGGCCCAACCAGGAGCCAGTCATCTACCATGGCTACACTTTCACTTCTAAGATCCTGTTTTGTGATGTGCTCAGAGCCATTAGGGACTACGCCTTCAAGGCAGGTGTGCCCCTGGGGGGTGAAGGGGATGCTAGGGGCTGCTGCTTCCTCCTAATGCACTCTTGGGTCTCTAGGCATCCCCGTACCCAGTCATCCTGTCCCTGGAGAACCACTGCAGTCTGGAGCAGCAGCGTGTGATGGCGCGACACCTGCGTGCCATCCTGGGGCCCATGCTGTTGGACCGGCCACTGGATGGGGTTACTACAAGCCTACCCTCTCCTGAGGTGCCGGGTGGGGACAGGAGTGACCTAAAGGGAGGGTGAGGGCCTGACTGGGAGCCAGGTGGGTCCTGACCTGTTGCCCCTCCATCCCTAGCAACTGAAGGGGAAGATTCTGCTGAAGGGGAAGAAGCTTGGGGGGCTGCTACCCCCAGGAGGAGAAAGCGGCCCGGAGGCTGCTGTTGTGTCAGATGAAGATGAGGCTGCTGAGATGGAGGACGAGGCCGTGAGAAGCCGCGTGCAGCACAAGCCCAAGGTTTGAGGGCAAGCTGGGGGCAGTGGAGGGGTAGCCCTGGGGTCTCTCCCCACCTCCATGGGATGTGGTCTTGTCTCAGTTCTCTGTGGCTGCTGTTCAGACCCTCTGCCCCCTCTCTCTGTCTGTCTCCTTTCTGTCTCTCCATCTCTGGGTTTCTGGCTCTCAGGGCCTACCCTGCCCCATTCTCTGGCTCTAACTTGGGCCTCCCCACGGCCCCCAGGAAGACAAGCTCAGGCTGGTGCCAGAGCTCTCCGACATGGTCATTTACTGCAAGAGTGTCCACTTTGGGGGCTTCTCCAGTCCTGGCACCTCTGGGCAGGCTTTCTATGAAATGGCGTCCTTCTCTGAGAACCGTGCCCTCCGACTGCTCCAAGAGTCAGGTGAGCCCCTGCCGTGCAGGTAGACAGTGCTGTCTATCACTCTGGTCATATGAACTGGCCAGGGCTTTGCCTGCCCCTTCTCCCCTACTCCTACTCAGGACCAAGATTAGAACTCCGTGCTCTGTTAGCAGATGGAAGTGGTAGGAAGGAGCTCAGGCTCATCAGGAGGCCTCCACTGCTGACTGAACCTTACTTCCTCACAGGAAACGGCTTTGTCCGCCACAATGTGGACCACCTGAGCAGGATCTACCCGGCTGGATGGAGAACAGACTCCTCCAACTACAGCCCTGTGGAGATGTGGAATGGGGGCTGTCAGATTGGTATGGGCTGTCTGGGGCTGGAGGGGCCTGGAGGAGGGGCTGGGTTCTAAGGGCCAGAGGTCTAGAACCCTGAAGATGTGCAGTGGAGTGGCCTGGGACCTAAACAGATTTCCAAATTTCAGTTTGGAAATCTTGTCCCACAAGCAAGTCAGTGTCTGAAAGCCCACCAGTGGGGTGCACACTAGCTTTTTGAATTTCGCCATCAGAAAGGGAATGTGTGGTTAGTGTGGTAGGTTGGTTAAGAGTGACAAGAGGGCAACAAGCATCAGAGTGACATTAGATCCTGCTTCTAACTCACCATGAAACTCTAGGCCTCAGTGTACCCTGAGAGCCCAAGACCAGCCCACAGCCTGTGACTACTCTGTCCTACCTATAGTGGCTCTGAACTTCCAGACCCCTGGGCCAGAGATGGACGTGTACCAGGGTCGCTTCCAGGATAATGGGGCCTGTGGGTATGTGCTGAAACCTGCCTTCCTGAGAGACCCCAACACCACCTTCAACTCACGTGCTCTGATTCAGGGGCCCTGGTGGGACCCGAAGCGGCTCAACATCAGGGTATGGCCAGATCCAGGAGAGACAAGTGCCCATGGGCCTCCCTTTCCCCTCACTGCCATTCCTGAACCCGTCATTGTCTCTTGCCTTTCCTCAGGTCATCACTGGACAGCAGCTGCCAAAAGTCAATAAGAATAAGAATTCAATTGTAGATCCCAAAGTGACGGTGGAGATCCATGGTGTGGGCCGGGACATGACCAGCCGCCAGACTGCAGTAATCACCAATAATGGTATGTCCTGGGCCTGGGCCAGGCCCAGCTCCTGGAGCTGGTGTCCATGCTATTGTGGTGTCTGTCCCCCTAGGTTTCAACCCAAGGTGGGACACGGAATTTGAGTTTGAGGTGACTGTGCCTGAGCTTGCCTTGGTGCGCTTTATGGTGGAGGACTATGATGCTTCCTCTAAGAACGACTTCATTGGGCAGACCACCATCCCCTGGAATAGCCTGAAGCAGGGTGAGCGTTTGCTGGCGGGAGGGGGTGGCCAGGGCGGGAGGAGGATCTGGCTTCTCTTGGGTGGTGGCTGACTGTGCCTTGAGCATCTTCCCTGAGTGATTGGAACTGTCTTTGCTGCCCATCTACCTAACAGGATACCGCCATGTCCACCTCTTATCTAAGAATGGAGACCAGCATCCATCAGCCACCCTCTTTGTGAAGATCTCCCTCCAGGACTAGACCTGGGGATCAAGGTTTGCCCTGAGTGGGCCAGGCCCTTTGTCCACGCCTGGGGCAGGGCTGGTGTGGCTGCTCCAACTTCTGGTGTGGAGTTAGAGGCGTCTGAACTGCCTTCAACTCTAATACACTGTGCTGCTGCCTCTCTGGGGTCCCAGGAGCTGGTCCAGCCCCTGGAACTGTCTTTAATTCCGTTAGGAACATCACTGCAGCCCTCTCCACCCTCTGGCCAGCCTTAGGTTGAGGGTTTTTATAAAAATCTCAACTAGACTAAGTCTTGTGGCCTTTTTAGTTGGACACCAGAAAATTCCTTGTGAGGCCTGCATGTGTGTGTCTCTTCCCCATGCTCAAGGAGTTGTCAGGAGAAAACAGTAAGATGTGAACCCCTGTATAGAGGACAGCACACCTGGAGTATCACAGAGCCCTGCCCATGATCTGGCTTGAAGCACATGTGTCACGCTTGGTGCAGGCCACCAGATTTTATTGAGAAGGGGGAGGGGTCCCAGGGAGGGGATAAGCAGGGTCTCCCAGGGCTCAGAAGAAACCCAGCTTCTTTTTCTCCTGCTGCTGCTTCCACTTGGCCATGCTGTAGAACTCCTCCTTGGATTTCCCAAAGATGTCTTGGAAGTCAGAATCTGAGAGATAGAACTGGGGGGCAGAGCAGGGGCATGGGAGTCACTCAACCTCTGATCCTGTCCCACACAGAGGTGTCAGTTGAGCACCAGATTCCCCCCATCTGTCTCTCCACTGCCCATCTACGGCACATCTCCTGAAACAGCCTACAGTGGCCATTGCAAGTGGGTGGTGCCCTGGGATGCTTCAGCACAACTTTAGATCACAGGGTCTGGCACCAACCTCCTTGCGGGTGGGGTCCACACCCTGTGGCAGGTCCTCAGGAGCCTGGTGCATTAGCTGTTCATGAGGCAGGCTCCCACTGGTTGCTGAGCCTGCACAGCTGCTGGGGCTGGGGCTGGCACTTCTGTCACTAGCTTTGGGACCCAGCTCCAGTTCATTCTCTGAGCTGTTCTGGAAGCCTTTGAGGGTCAGCAGGGCTGAGGGACCTGCCCTGCTATCACTCAGTGATCTGGAGAGCTGGAAGTTGTTGACTTCCTGTCCAGAGAGGAGCCTCAGGCTGGGGAAGATGGGGAAAAGGCAGCCCACAGGGAGGCCACACTGAACTCACTGCCCTCTCACCCCCATCTGCAATCTCTACCACCTGCCACCTGCCAGGACACAACCCCTGCCCTTGCCCATTCCAGACCATGTCATCTGAGCCAAGACCACTATCAGGGACAACAGGGGGACCAGCACTCACTGCTGTTGCCTCGGAGATGGCAGACCCTGCTGTCAGGCTGCCCTGTACCACCTCCTCATAGGACTGGTTGTTCTGAAGCAAGAACAAGTTATCATAGCTGGGTAGCATGAGGGGCATTGCTGAGACCCAGGAGGGTCTCCCACATGTTGGAGGCCCTTGGCTAGATCAGTGCCCCCTCCTTCCACCTGCCCAGTGCAGGCCCCTCCCCCATAGGGTGAGGCTAGGGCATTTGAGGCCTCACTCACTGTCCACTTATAGGGGTCCCAAGTGAAAAACCATCCAGTGAAAGTGGAAGGTTCATGGCCCTGCTTGACCAGCACAATGGGTGTGGCCAGGCTTCTCCCTGCTGGATGGGTCTTCAGGTACTCCTGGCCCCAGGCTGCTGCCTCCTTTTTCCGCTCACTTGCAGCCTCCCCCAGCCATAAGAAGATCTGGGACACAGAGGGAATCTGGCCTGGGGTAGGAGGAGAGACTGCCTGGAGCCAGCCACCTCCTCCCCACTCCCTGTCCATCAGATGGCCTCAGAGCACTGCATGCACATCCTTGGCCAAGCAGACACACCAACAGCTACCATACCCACACACCCACGAACACCGGAGGTCACAGGCATGTGTGCGTACATTCAATCCACAAATACTTGTTGAATGATCAGTGTGTGCCAAGCACTGGGAATTCAACAATTTAAAAACTAGACAAAAAGCCCTTGTAGAGCTTTCATGAGGGAGCAAATTGCTTGCGTCGGGAGAAAGTGAAAAGGAAGTGACTGGTACACAGGCCCTGAGGTGATGGTGTGCCTGGCATGTTCAGGGAACAGTGAGAGGCCACTGTGGCTGAAGCCATACAAGCAAGGGGAGTGGGAGGAAGCAGAGTTGGAGAGTTGAGGCTAGCCAGATCATGTGGGGCTGTTGTAAGACCTGGGGTTTTTCTCTAAGTGAGATTAGAGCCCACAGCCTCATCACCAACTCACACAAGGCCACAGACACAGTAATACAGAGACACACACATTATCACATGTATATAGAGGCACAGTCGTTCAGTGCCACACAGTGAGGTAAGAAATCACAGTCACATAATGCCATCCACTATTGTCAAATACATGGCTGCATTTAAATACAACCAAACATGATTAGCAGTCACACACACCTAGCCAGTCATACCCTCTCTCAAGTCACATAGAAATATAATCACGCCTGTAATCCCAGCTGCTCTGGAGGTGGTAGTAGGATCATGAGTTTGAGGCAAGCTGGGACATAGTTAGCAAGACTGTCTCAAAGGCAAAATATAAACAAAAAGGGCTTAGGGGTATGACCCAAGTGGTTCAATCCCCAGCACTAGAAAGAAAAAAAAAGAAACATAATAGTCTGTGAGGTTATCAGGTTATACAGTCACTCACACCCACAGCTGTCACATGGTCTCTCTCCACACGCAACACACACAGAGTCTCACAAGTTATAACTGTGATTACTGGACCACACAGTCGGTTTCACATAGCCACACACATCAAGGCAAATGCAAGTCACAATCATCCCAAATGCATATGTGGTCAGTCCTTCTTGCAGACACTGACACACCATCAGCCACATGCCACCTGGAGTCACAGACACCACCAGAAGGTACACATAGTTGCACACAACTACACACATGGTCACAATCACATGGTCCCAATTCATAGTCATTGTCCTGCAGTCTCATTACTGTCACAGTGACACAGACTCCCCTGAGCTCTCAATTCACAGTTACACAGATTCACAGCCTTGCATGCAGTAAGGTGGCTAGACACGAATGCACCCTGTTACACATAGACACACCCTCCATTCACAACCCAGCCCGGCAAGGGTGGCCACCTTACCTCCTGCCAGGTGTCTAGTAACATGATGTCATATTTGTCCAAGTCTTCTTGGCCAAAGAACACCACTTCCATGAGGATGAGGTGGCCCATCTGGCTGGAGCACTCAAACAGTCGTGGCTGGAAGCCAGAGACCTCCTCGGGGAGCCTGTGTAGGGCAAGAGGGGCACAGAGGGTTTTGTATACAACCTGGGCTACACCCACCGTCAGCACAGGTGATCTCACACCAGGGCAGGGAAGCAGCTTTTCTGGTGTAAGACGCCTGAGCCTTCCTCTGAGCTCCACCCACACCATAATTCTCTTCAGGAACATGCTGCTTCTCTCTGGGATAAAGTCCCTTTCTGTCAGTGGATGAGCATCAGATGACCTGGCTATCCCCAGCCAGCTGTGACACAAACTACCCCGTGAATTTCCCAGGAATAAGCACTGGGAAGGGGACAGCTGGCTCAGTGTTGTGGGGGAGGGAGAGGGGACTGGAGCCCCTGGGATGAGAGGATCCTCTAGGATCACCCCTGGCAGGGAGCTGGCCTCAGGTCTAGGGTGGGAAAAGCAAAGCTTGGCTGAATGAGGAGATAGTCCTACTGCACTCAGGAGAGTTGAAGGGAGTTCAGTAATCCATAGGCACACAAGAGTGGCCTGGAACTCTACTCCCTCCTCCCTTGCATCTTCACTTTCCCCTTCCTTACTACTCGTACACATTCCCCTGTCCACATATGGGGAATGGTGCTTTTCAGTTTGTCCAGGGCAGTGATAATGCAAGGAGTGGATTCTGGCACCAGAGGGCGCCACTGACCCAGTTCTCATGCATTTTCCTGATCCTGGTTGCCCAGGGCCAGGGACTGAAGGGTGGGCTTTGCTCCTGAGTCATTGGGGGTGAAGAGATGAGGGTCCTCAGTTCTAGTCTTATCTCTCCAGCAATCTGTGTGACCTTTACTTAGTCACCCACCTTCTGTAGGCCTCAGTTCCTCCTTGGTAAGAATGCTCTCCTCCCAACCTTGTTACCTCTTATTGCTGGGGTAGGGGGCCCAGCCTCCAAGAGCCTCCCAGAAGTTGCGAGGCTCCTGACCCTCCAGCGCTGTTTCCTTGTTATTCTCCGAGATGACAGTAACCATCCTCCGAGCCATCTCACGCTGGTCCCCGTTACAGCACTGGCAAGCACAGAGTTGGGTCAAAGCCTACAGGGAATGGGTTTCACCTCCAGTCCCATGTCCCATTCACTGGGGCCATGAGGACCTGGGTCTGAGCCATGAGCGTTCAGAGCTGATGGCAATGCACACATGGGAGCTCTCTTCCTTCCCCTCCAGGCCTCAGTTTCCCCAGCTGTTCAGAGTCTCAGGATCTGGGACTCTCCAGGTCCAGAGCATGGAGGATCTCCAGGCATGGGGCAGCGGGGTGGGGGGATCATTCATGATTCATGTTGAAGATCAGAGAAAACTCCAGCAAACTAGAATAGGACCTGCTTTCTCCAAAAGACTTGGTGATGGACATGTCCCCTACTGAAGGCAAGAAGGTGGGGAGGCAGCTTGGACCAAGGCTGATTCTGATCCATGGACTTCCAGTTCACTGTCACTTTGTAACTTCCCCCAGGTTCCAGCAGGGACACTGTGCCTACCCTTCCCTCACCCTCGTCCCCCATTGTCCTATCTTTGATTGGACTCAAAGTCTGCATGGCCTATGGAGGGGACCCAGCCTGGCCTAGCACCACTGTCCCTGGGTGTGACTCAAGTGGCTAGTGCTGTGGGTACCTTTCCAAACCAGAGGTAGCAGACACTGGCTGTGACCAGCAAGAAGACATCACTGGAGTTAAGGGATGAGGCTCGGGCTGGCACCTCCATGGACTTGGTGTTTTGGCTGTTGGTACCTTGTATGTGGAAGAGCCTTATGCTAGCTGCTGGCTTCCCCCTCTCATTGTTTCCAGTGCTCCCCTAGAAGAGGGCTGGGCCTCAGGCTGAGGCAAGGGCTCTGAGGGCCATCTCGCTATCCCAGTGAGGGACAAACTGCCTTAGGACTCCACCAATCAGTGTTCTGGACCCTCTGAATGTGGAGTGTGGGGATCTTGTCAGCTGAGTATAGGAAAGCATCTCTTTCAAAATGGACCCCTCACCCCATCTTTGAGAGTTTGGTGCATAGGCCGGGAAGGAAGAGCATGGGACCAGCTTTGCCTGAATGTAGCCCCATAGGCAAGGTCCTGGCTCCCTTCTGATTCAACATCCTCACCTCATGCTCATGCTTTGTGTCTAGCTCTAGGACCAAGGGAAAAAACTCAGGTGTGTGTATGTGTGTGTCGGGGAGTGGGGGGTCACCCTGAGCATTCCTGGACCTTGGACCAGCCCTAAGGGAACTAGTGGCTGGTAAGCAGAGCCCTAGGCCCAAAGAGGAGGTGCTTATCAAGTGGATACAAAGGCCACAGGCACATGGAGGACTGGTAAGGCTGCCACCATAGTAGCAAGGTGGTTGTCATGGTTTGAATATGAAATGTCCCCCACAGTCTCATGTGTTGATGCTTGGTCCCCAGATGGTGATGGTATTTTGAGAGGTGGTGGAAACCTTTAGGAGGTGGGGCCTAGCTGGAGGAAGGAAGTCAACGGGGCATGTCCTTAGAAGATTACACCTGGTTCTCAGTCCCTTCCTTGCTCTCTGCTTCCTGTCCACCATGAGATGAGCAGCCTCCTCTGTCTCAAGCTCCTGCCACCATGATTTTCTGCCTCATCTGGGCCCAGAATCAACAGATCCAAGGACTGTGGACTATTACTCATGAAACCATGAGCTAATATAAATCCTTCCTCCTCTAAGTTGTTTATGTCAGGAATTTGTCACAGCAACACAAAACCTGCCTAACACAGTGGACCCTACCTGGAAGACCACCAGCTGGCCCTGAAATATGGCAAGGAAGTGGGGGGGCTCTCTGCCCATGGTCACATACTCCTGCACCAGGGCTCCCTGGTACATGAGGTCCAGCTCCTCAGCGTGGCAGTTCAGGGCCTTGATCTCATCTGTAGTGGCTTGTTGGCCCTGCATCAGGAAAGGGGACAGCAATGGCCTGGTACATATCTCATAACCCATTCTGAGATCCCAGTTCTAGGGCTTCAGGTGTGTGCCACCCCCTTCAGACTGGTGCACCTGCCATAGGTACAGGATGTACTGTATGCAGCCCAGCTTCTTGTATGTGTAGAGGATGAGATAACATTTGTCCGAACACAAGTGTCCGTGATGTTTGGGATCCATGGGCTGCCTGCATAAGTCCTGGATGCACCACACCTGAGGAGTAGGGGACCAATGGGCACAGGTTGCTCCTCTACCTGAACAAGTCTTTCCACCTGCACCCAGCCAAAAATTTTTCCTTGGCCTCCAAGACATTCCTCATCTATGCAGGCAAAGGGCTCTTCCCAGCTCTGTGTCCCCCACCCCATGGTTCATGCTGGGTCTGCAGATGACTCTTTTCTTCATGGTACCCACCATACCTGTCCTGGCCTTTCAACCAGGACGCTCAGTTTGAATATAGTACTTGGGTAAATAAGTGGCAAGCATTCTAGAATCTGCAAGATGGAGCTAGCTCCTGCCCCATACTCACTTCCAGTCTCAACCCACCAGCCTCAGCCTTGGTTAGGAACAGACAAATCCCCACATGGCTGCTCACTGCTCAGGCCAGGGCAGCAGAAGTGAGGCTGGAAGGAGTGCTGGGGAAAATTTCCTTTTTTTCTTTCAAGTGTCATTAAAACAAAACAAATCTGTCTCTCTGCTTGCTGGAACCTTTTCCTAACCCCCTTTCTCCTCTCCCTGTGCTTCCATTTCTCACTGGGTTTACTCTGACTCCTCCCTGCTCCCCACCTTTCCAAGTCTGCTTATCCACCCATCCCTCTGTTTTCTTCTTGCTCTGCTTTTCCTCTTCCTTTCCCACTAGCCCTTTCTCCTCCCCGTCTCTCTTCTCTTCCCACTCTTGGCTTCTGTCCACCCGTAATAAGGCAAATGGAGGAGGAACTTTGTATTTTCTCTGACCTCAACGTACCTCAAGAACTTGGACCCCTCACATAGGCCCAGCAGTCTTGTTCCTGTAATTTCACAGCATCCCCACATCAGCTCTGGGGCTAGATGGGACTACAGTTTCTGCCCCCATTTTATGAATTTAAAAAACGAGGCCTGAGAGAATTAAGGGTTTTTCTAAGAGTTGGCCAGTAAGTCATCTGCACTATATGGGCGTGGAATGGCCTCCGACACTGCAGCTCCCAGAACACTGGCCCGAGGCCAGTGAGGGGTTGATAGCTCATGATTGTGTATGGGAGCTGGATGTGGGGGACTGAGATAGTTTCTGCATCGCTGTGCAGCTGTGCTAGTGTGTCCCTGTGGGTTGATAGTTGTGTGTAGCTGTGTGATGTAGAGTTTGTATCATTTCTTGCAGCTGTTGAGCACCTGACTATGACTACAATTACATGGTGTACGTATCTGTGTTATCACATATATGGGCTTGTCATACATGGTAACAGGGCACAGTTAAGTGTCCAAGTGCTACTGTGCGGTGTGTCTGAGTGTTATGTGAGTGACTGGCCTGCGTACACATGCTTGTGTATGAGCCACCTGTTGGGGAGTGTTTCATGTATGCTCGTGTTCCTGATTATGCGAGGGTGTGCACTACCTGTCCTCAGTCATTTTACAGAGCAGTCAGACCTTTTCCTTGTAGGCAAAGCCCACCCCTGTATGTGCGTCTCCCCCAGCTAAGTCAGCGCCCCTCACCTCCACCTTCCCGGAACCTTCATCCACCATCCTGAGCTGGGCCGCTAGCTCAGGCTGACTGTGCAGCTTGCCCACATCCAGCTTTACCTGAGTCAATTCACCTAAAGATGTGGTAGAGTGTCAGCGACCTCTGCCAGCCCTGCCCCACCCACTCCTCACCCATCCGGTCAAGGGCCGGTCTTGCCTGGCTCAAGTCACATTGGAGGGACAGGGAAAGGGGGGAGGGGAAGGGTAGAGAGGGGGAAAGGAGGGGGGGGACTTTTCCTGGCCAGGCCCCGCCCCCTCCGGTCAGGCCCCGCCCCCGCCAAACTTTTTCCTGCCAGGCCCTGCGCCACTAGGCCCCGCTGAGCTCACCAGTACCGCCGAGATTTTTCTTGCCCGGCTTATTGGACCACGTCTGGAAGAGCTGCTTGAACGCGGCCGACTCGGCGCCGTCGTCCACCACCTCCACGGGGGTGTGGGTCGGGTAGCCCTTGGCCTGGATGAAGCCCTGGGGCAGGGGCTCTGTCAGGTCTGCGGCTCCGGGGCCCTCTGCTGCGCTCCACCGCCCGGGAACTCCCCTTCAGGCTTCTGGGACAGCCGGGCCCCGAGAAGCGATAATTAACCAAGCTCCTGACCCATTTAATGAGTCGACTCTGTTACTACCCATTTCTCTGAGTCCCTGAGGACGGCCAGAGTCCCCTTAGTCTGAGCACGGGGAAGGGCTGGCCATGACAACCCCCATAGGCCTTGAGCAGGGACTCTTCTGCCCGTTCCCTGCCCTCCCCCACCGGGACGGATGGGGCTCACAGCGCAGGAAGCTCCCCAGACTTCAAGGCAGAGCTACTGTTCCCTTAATGCACGTGGTCTTTTAGATATGCCTCATCTCTCTCAGTCAGGGCTCCCGGGGCAGAATGCACCCTCTTTCTGACCCCAGGACAGGGCTCCTTCCCCTTTGAAACCCCAGAACGTGAATATTACCAAATGTAAACCTGGTGGAGGTGTCCTCCCTTAGACACTAGGGCAGGTGTCCCTACCAGATTTCAGGGCAGGCTGCCTCCTGAGCCTGCAGTGTGGTGTCCCTCCCAGACACAGGGCCTCACCATAGCCCTGCTGAAGGCAGCCTTTTTCTCTTGGAGTCTGTACATGTGTCCCTGCCATATGTAGATCTTGAAGCCACCCTGGTCCAGGAGGTAGCAATCCTAGGAGCATGGGTGGGATTGCTCAGTAGGTGGTGCAGACTGGACTAGGGGGTAAGGAAGGGATGGATAGGGTGCTGGACCAGGTCTTACCTCCTCCTGCAGTAGGTCCTGGGTCAGTGGGCGGGTTGTCAATTCCTGGAGCACCAGATCCTTGCCCTTCTCATAGACACTGGGGGGACAGGTATCCAGAAATGGGCAGCCCAGCCATTCCCTGGCCCGGCCCCAGCTCCCTTTAGCTCACTTCTCTAGAGCCAGGAGGCAGGGGTGTGGCAGCCTGAGTTGTGGCCCTGATGTGATTTCAGCCTTGCTCTGGGGATTTAGCCAGCTCCTTGACCTTCACAGGGCCTCCTACACAATGGGTTTCTCGGCAATACTGCCACACATCATGCAAGGGTACAGGTAGGACCCAAGGGCTCTCTAGAGATGTTGTGTTATTGCAGTAATGATGGATAAGCAGTCATGGACAGTCCCATCCACCCTGCCCTCCCCCAGTTCTGCTCACTGGTAGAGACGGATATTAGCCTTCTGCCACTGGTTAATACTGTTCTTGGGCATGGCAGCACGCAGGCTGCCCACTCTGCGGCCCAGCATAGCCTCCATGATCTGCATGAGGCCTGGGGCTTCAACCTCACCCTCTACCACACCAATCTGTGCACGACCTCCACGTTCCTTGTCCCGGAGGCTGCAAGTCAGGGTCAGTCCCTGCAGGAGAGGATGTGGTAGTCAGGGTTTCCTTGGAGTGTTTCATTACTCCACACACAGCTCAGCCCAGGTCATTCCTGCCACTGTTCAGCTGTGAGAGGCAGGGGTTGGGAGAAGAGGAAAGCTGGTGTTCCTTCATCCTGGAGTTCATGGGGCCACCACCAGTGCAGGTCTGAACTCAGCTTATAACTAGCACATGCTTCTCAGGTTGAGATAGAAAGCTCAGCTCACCTATTGGATGGCATCTGGAGGACCACCCCTTCCCCAGGCCCTGCAACCTCCAGTTCCTAGGGCAGACACTGACCCGTGACTTCTCAGAAATGCTTGTGTTGGGCCCATTCCACTGGATCATCACCTTGCCTAGGTCCAACAGGAAGATGTCACCTTTATTAAAGCTTTTCCAGGATAGCTCCACCTGCCAGAGGCAGAAGAGACATAGAAGAAAACAAGGTTAGACTACCAGGACCCAGCCAGCAGGGAGCATAGTTAGGGTGTGTCACTTGTATGTATAAAGCTGTGTGCAGCTGTGTGTGTATGTGTATAAGTGTGACTATGATACTACCTGTCATGATGTGCAGGCCTGCATCTGCGTAACCATATGTGACCTTCCACAGGGCATACATGATCTATCATGACACCTTTCACTCCATGCATGCCTGTAGCTGTACACGTGTACATGTACACAAGTATACAAGTGAGACATATGTACCTGTTTATCAGTGTATGTACATGCACGTGTGCATATGTGGGGACACATGAAGTATGAACAAGCGTGTGTGCTCATGGTAATATGGTATGTGTGCCTCTGTGGGGATAGTGTGTACATATGGATAAGGATAGTTATCATCCAAACAGACACTTTTGAGGATAAAAAGGGACATTCTTTATAGTGCTCTTTTAATTACGCTAGGGATGCATGGTGCACTCTGCATGACTAAGGATATATATGGTCCCTGGATCTGTGGGTGACAAAGCAGGGCCTGTGTGAAACTGTCTGTGTGTCACAGGGCTGCCACATACTATGTAGACTGTAACATGTACAACTGACATGTATACATGAATGTCCAAATTCCAGCCAGATAGCAAAAAAATGCCCTGGCTCTAACGAGATAAGTGTCATCTGTTAATTTCCTGTCAGATGCAAGTAAAGGGCACTCTGTACTAATTTGCACAGGATACTATATGGACTAGAGTACCATCTGAGGAAGACAGGGAGAGACAGTGTGTGTGAGAGAGTGGAGGCTGGTCACCACCTCCCCAAATGTGCTACCTCCCATTGGGCTGCTTACAAAGACCAGGTACACACCTTTTCTAACCTGCCTGCTCAAGTTCTTAATGTGCTTATGAGACAGATGAGGAAACAAAGGTGGGCTTTTCAGCCCACTTCTGCCTTCTGTCTTGAATCCTGAATAAGGATTCAAGATAGGCTATCTGGAAATGCTGCAGGTCATTGTTCCCCACACTACCCACCAACTTTCACACCTCCTTTTGCTTCTGCACTCTCAGACCAAGCTCAGTCCACAGATCAAGCAGCATCCCTGGAGACCCTCACCTCAGTGGCGGATATGTGCTTTCTCGCTTTGATGTGCAGCAGTCGCTGAAGGTCGTACATGCTGGTCTCCACATGCTTAAGATCAGAGGGTAGGCCTCCCTTCCTGTAGCTGAGGAGGGAACGCAGTCTCATGCAGGAACACAAATGCCACATACAGGAATGGGTACAGGTGTGAGCACACACATGTGCACACATGGAGGATACCATGTGCCCTTTTAATGTGTTTGAGTAAATGTGAGCACATGCATGTGTAAGTACATGGGTATACAAGGCAGGAATGTGCATTTGTAGACAAAAGCACATATACATACACCTGTATACATCTGGGGGTTTAGGGTGCATTTGTTTATCCTTGTGAGTCTAGATGTGAGTACATAGAAGTGAGCAACAGCATATATGTGTGGGGTACATGAACACTAATGCATGTGTATGGGTGTGCCCATCTAAAGGTGGACACACTTAGGGAGTAGTGTGTGTTTCTGCTTATGCATAAATATTTATGTGCATGTGCTCATGTCTGTACTATATGGAAATATTTGGCCCAACTGTATAAAATAGAATTGGTTGAATACTGGCAATTCCTATGCTCAACATAAATATATTGCAATCATTAATTTGAAAACATTTGAAGAAATTTACAACAAAAGACATATTTTTTACTAGCATGGAAACATAAAAGCAAACTCTAAACAACAGTGATGTCCACTCCTGGGTACACACCCAGAAGAAATGAAAACATGTGCCTTCACATAAACTGATATGAAAATATTCATAGCAGTGATAGCCATAACAGCCAAAAGTGGAAATAATGCAAATGTCCCTTAAGTGATGAATCAATTAATAAAAAATATACAGTCATACAATGGAATATTATTTAGCCACAAAAAGAAACCAAGTAATAATGCATGCTACAACATGTGTGAACCTTGAAAACAGAATGTTAAATGATAAAAGCCAGTCACCAAAGACCACTCACTGTATGGTTCCATTTATGGAAAAAGTTCAGAATAGGCAAAGGTATATACAGAAAGTAGACTGACTAGTGTTTGCCTAGGAGGGGAGAAGAGGTGTTGGAAGTTAATAGAGAGTGACTAAAAAGGAATGGGGCTTCTTTTTATGGTAATGAAGTGTTTTAAAATTGATTGTGGTGATGGCTGTGTAAGCCTGTTAAAAATCACTGAACTTTGTACTTTTTTTAAGTGAGTAGGTGAGTTGTATCTTAACAAAGTTGAAAACTGTCACACACACACACACACACACATCATTCAGCAAATAAGGGCTAGTCATAGTCATCCCAAGGTTGCTCAGATTAAGCACCATCCCCACTGTTCTGTCCTCTCCATCTGTGCCCCACCCCACCTGGCACTCACATGACTCCAGGGTGGAAGTAGCTGTGGAAACAGTCTGATTCGTGGTTCTGCACCTCGCGATGCTGCACAGTCTGGTAACCTAGTGCCTCCCGGAAGCGCTGCATGAAGGTGACTGCAGCACCCTGAGCCTCCACACCTGCCTCCTTCCCAATCCAGTAGTGCAGGTCACTGGATATTCCTTGTGAGGCCAATGGGCTCTGGGGGACCTAAGATATTTGTGTATGTAGTGCAGGAGTGGGCAGAGGAGCTGGAAGCAGGGAGGGACTCAGCTCCAAGGCCATGGTGGAGAGCAAGGCTGAGGATGCCCAAGGAGATGGTGGGCAGGAGATCATGAAGGGGGAATAAGGACTAAGAGACCTCAAAGCAGCAGCCCCTGTGGGGATGTGCTATGGGAATGTGATAGAGGGGCTCTCAATTTGCCTCTCCCCAGGGCAGAACTTATGTCTGTGCCTCAGTCTCCCTAGCACTGGGCCGTGTCACCCCCTCAGATTCCCAGGGTGACTCACATGGAGGATGACATAACAGTGTTCTTCGAAGAAGTTCCCATGAGCCCTCTCGGGTACTGGCATCATCCTCAGGTTCTGAGAGAAGAGGGTGCCAGTGACCACTTGGATACCTCCTGTACCCATGACCCTCATCAGGATGGGGTAGAAAAGGGAGCTCTGTTGGGGATGGGAGAAGCTGGTGCATCCTTCTGTGTCACCTGCTGTCTGATTGTGCTCCTCACCTCAATGATCCATATGTGGAGAGCTCTATGGCTGTCAATGGCTGGGAGGCCCTCGTTGATGTCCATCCTACGCCAGACAGGAATGAGGGAGGACATGAAGGAGAGCCAGAGTTCTCAGACTGAAGGTCAACACCAAGCCTCCCGTACTCTGGGTTCCCCATCTGCAGTTCTCCAAAGCATTTTTGTCATAGAATGTACTTTCACTGTGGACATGGAAATTCAGGAGCCCAGGACAGGCACTTTGGACCGACATACAGAGGCTTTGCAAACAAACAGTGACCTGGTTTGTCTGTGGGCAGCTCTTAAAACTGGGCTGAATTCTCTGACCAGGGGCAGGCTTTGAAGCCATCAATGACCTCTGCAGACAGGGAGTTAAAAAAAAAGTAGACACAGGATCTATGGTCCAGAATAGCTACTATAGACAGTGGTAGATTATGCAGTCAGTCAAAGAGTCAGCAGTCAGGGACAGACTGCAAATAGTGATAAACTCTTGAAATCGGACTTAATCCTGTAGACAGAGACAGGTCCTGCCCTCAAGGTTCTTCAAGAACAGAGCTGCAAATAGACCAAAGAACTTCCAGGCATAGTTAGGAACAGGCACAGGACCTGCAGAGTCTGACAGGCTATGTAGATAGAAAAGGGATTTGCAAACAGGATGGCTTCCCCAGAGTAAAGAAAGGGTTGCAACAGGCTCATGTCCTCTTGATGGAAATGTAGCCAGGGATCATCTGTGTGTACAAAACCAGCCTGGAAAAGCATATAAGGCACTATCTAGACAAGTTTTGACGGATGGGCAAACAAGCAGACTGAGAACACTGACAAAGGCTCTGCAAACAGTCCAGGCTCTGCAGCATGTACGAGATTTGCAAAATTGAGTGGGGGATAGCACTCCTTGTGGAAGGGGCAGATTCTGCAGCTATGTGGGGGCATAGATGGGCAAGGGTCTGCAAGCAGGCAGCACATCTTTGGCCAGAGAAAGGCTTCCCAGGCAGAGTCAGGTTCTTGAAACAGACTCTTGTAGACATGGCTGGGCTCTGTATGCAGGGCAGCCTCTGCAAACAGACTCAAACCCTGCATAAAAGGAGATGGGAACAGGTGGAGAAAACAATTGTGAGCCCTGCAAAGAGATGTACGTCTTGTACAGAGACATTGCAGACAGGGAGAGGCTTTATGGCCTACATAGGTTCTGCAGACAGACAGGCTCTGTTAACAATGACAACTTTTCCAGACAGGGACAGGAGTGCTGAATGAGTGGCAGAGATGTCTGCTTTGTGTGTAGGAACATTTGCTCCAGACATGGGCAAAACTGTGAAGCAGGGCTGGCTTCTGTGGAGAGCCCCAGGTCTGGCAAATAGGGCCAGGCTCTATAGAAAAGAAGTAGGTGAGTTTGGAAACAGGTAAAGACTCTGTAAGCAGGGATAGGAACACATGGAACTAGGAATAGCATGTATGAACAGTTATGTGCTCTATAGAAAGACCAGGTGCTTCCTAGTGGTGATAATCCCTTCATAGGAACAAACCACCCAAAGAAATTCAGACAAGCTGTGGTGACAGGCTAGGTTAGGGATAGTTTGGGACTGCTTCCTGTCTTGGTTTAAGGGCTCCTCTCCCCAGCCCATAGGTAAGAGGAGCCAAGTGATGACGTATTGTCTCCCCACTTCCAAGTTCAAGGTGGTATAAAAAAAAGAAAAGACCCCCAGCCCTTCTTCTTCCCTTCCCTCACCTGGCAGAACTAGTGACTCACTTCCCTCAGTAAAGCTTTTCTACCTCATCACATCCACGTGTTCTGCTTGGATTCTTCCATTTGGAGCACAATGACCAAGATCTTCTGAAAACAATGATTGCCAATAACACTTGTGGCGATGCCAGCCACAGACACAGGTCCCCTAACAGTGATAATCTCTTCCTAGGAACAAAACCCACCCAGAAAAATTCAGACAGGCTGTGACAATGGATAAAGTCCCTGAAAATGCCACAGGCAGTACACAGAGGACAGACAGAAGCCAGTTCTGAAATAGTAAGGGGCTCTGCCTTCAGGGACATGGTCTGGAGGGACAGTCTGGAGAGAGAGAGAGATTACTGTGAAGGGAACAGGTTTTGCTACTAGGGACAGGTACTGAAACAGACAAAAGCCCCAGACAATGTCTGTAGCCAGGGATGGCTGAGCATTCAGGGCAGGGTCTGCAATAAAAACAAACCTTACACATAGGAAAGGGACAGCTGCTGAAAGAGACCTTGACTCTGAAAACAGACATAGGGTTGGGACAAAACAGGCTATGTAGGCAAGTCAAAGTTCTGCAAACCCAGGACAGAGTCTGCACACAGACTCTGAAGACTGGGACACATTCTATAGCAGAGATGGCTCCGGTGACCTGACTGGGTTGGGCAAATAAGGCACAAGCACTCCTGACAGATCCTGGAAACAGGGCTAAAGGCTCAGTGCCTATAGGTTTCACAAGCAGCTGCAGGTTCTGCAAACAGCAGGTTAGCTTGTCTGAGTTTGTGCTCTGTGGTTCTGAGGGTGCGGAGGGAGGAAGACACAGAATGAAAGGCATCTGGAGAAGGAAGGGCTGGCAGATCTAGCACATTCTCAACTGAGGCTTCTCGGTACCACTCCTTCAGAAGTGGAATTTTGGTCATTTCTTCATGCACGGAAGTTCTTTCTACATCTAACCTAAATCCTGCCAGCTGCAACTTTCTCTTTTTGCTGCTGCTTTCCTGAGTAAACCCAGAAGTCACTTTTTTCTGAGTCTCTCAATCAGTGACTCTGTGTAGCGGTAGGGCCTCTCCTTCCCACTGCTCCAGCCCTGCCTTATCAATAGCAGGAACACCCTTGGCTCTGCCCTTGAGAATGGAGGTGGTGGGGGGTGTTTGGTAGCGGGTGGGGGATAAGGTGAGACAGAGACTCAGAGCACAGAATTACAAAATCACAAGTACCACATAGTGGCTCACATTCCTTCCTTTTTTGTCCAAGCCCCTTTGAGGGCTGGGTTCACAGTGGAGTAGGGGAGTGGAAAGTAGAAAAGCAGGGAAGGTGGTCCAGTGCTGAGTCATGCAGGGAAGCTGTGGGATGGGGCCATCAGTAGGGCAGGCCTGCCAGGGATTAGAGCTGCTCTCACTCATCATAGCACCAGCACCTCCTAACACCCTGTGGTTTGGAAACTAAGCATGCTGATGGGTTCTCTCTCTTGTGCTCTTATTTACTGCTGGATCCCAGTTGCCTGGAGCCCAGCAGGGTCTCAATAGACAGTTGTCAGATGAATGAAATGTGGACTGAGTGAGCCCAAATGTGGACAGGAGTCATCTGTACCTACAACTGTTGCAGCCAATGATGGCCCATTGGTGTGAAAATGACATGTGTGACAGCGGACACAGTGGCCATGACATGGTGATCTGGAGCAACAGGAAACATGAAGACACTGAATGATATATGATGACGACCCTGAGGCAGGATACCGAGTGACAGGCAGAAACAGGGGCAGTGACGGCAACCAGGGACCTAGGCAGGCAATGACTACAGGTACAGGCAGAAACTATGAGGTACAGCTCATGTAGCAGTAGGCAGCAGCAAAACAGTGGGCCAGGAAGACTCCTGGCTGGCCTCAGGGCTGTGGCAGCCAGAGCCCCACGTGGGATGGGAAAGTCAAACTAGCAGCCAGAAAGCCGGGACAAGGCTGGTTTCCTCAGCAGGGGGTAGCTATACCCCCAGGGTGATAGGCAAGGTGTCAGGATATCAAGAACCAGACTCTCCCATCCCCAAGTTGCCTGTGTCCACTGTCTTCCAACTGGGCACTGGCGGAGATGGGGGAAGGGATGCTCAAAAAGTGTGTGCTTGCTCCCCTAATGCCCACTTTCCTCCCCAGAGCACTACCTCTAGCCCTCAACCCTCCCACACATGTGTCCTCTCTGCTGTCCTGGAAGCTCCCTTCTCTTCCCTGAGGGCCTGTCCTTCCACTTAATGGGCCCTTAGTCTTCCAGATGCTCCACTCCTCTGTTCTCCCTTCTCTCCCCAGAGCCCCTTGTTCCTTTCCACCAGCCCTCCCCCTCAACTCCACCCTCCCTGGCCTCCCATTCTCTCCCTGGGTACCCCAGGGTGCTTCCTTCCTCCTCCAGAAGCCTGTCTCCCTCTCAGTACCCCCTCCTTTCCCTGGATGCCCCCTCTTTCCCCAGATCCCCTCCTTCCATGCTCCCTTCTCTTCCATGTACCCTTCCTTCTTCCTAGGGTACTGGCAGGCAGGCTCTGAGGTTTCTTTGCTTAACTTCCAGAGGGGGTGGAGGGGTGCTGCATGCTGGAGGGGGTGGAAATGCCAGTGGGGAGTGGTTCAGGCACACTGGCTCTGGGGGTGACAGAGACCCCACCCATGCACAAAATCTTCCACTTCTTTCTCCCTCCCCTATCCCCAGGCTATCATGCCACAGCTGCCCTGCCCTTGTTAAGGCCCCTGTTGGGCTGCTTGCTGCCCCCCTAATTCTGCCAGCCTCTCTGTGTCACCCTGAACCCTGGGACTCCGTGCCCTCCACCCTGGGCTCCAAGTAGCACCTCTGTTCTCCACCGGTCCCCAAGCTCCCTCCTGCCCAGGCCTACCTGCTGGAAACTGCTCCTGTGTCTTCACCTTGCCTATGGGTAGTGCTGGGCCTGGCAAGGGACCAGGTCCTGCCCACCGCTCCCCCTCCCTACTGTAAGTCAATCCCAGCTCCCGCCCTGCAGGACACACCCAAATTCTTAGTGCTGGGCATTCAAATTTAATCAGTTAGTTAATCAACAAATATTGACCAAGAGGTCTGGGAGCCAACCCCTTCCATGATTTGTCAGACTCACTTCCTGGGTACCAGCAGCCAGAGAAAGCAGGGGATGGCTGTCTGGGCTGGGTTATGAGGTAGAGCATGGAATATAAGATGATGTCCTTCTCTGGAAGCCCAGGCAGGTCCCTGACCCCTTGGGTCCTACTTAGGTACCCCCTAGACTCAGGGGCCAGGACACTGCAATGAACTTTAGGAGGAAGCAGAACCAAGGCTGGGGGTGGTAGAATCAGGTTCTGTGAGACCCAGATCACTTTAGGAGATGGAGGAAGGTGGTAGGGCCCCTTCCAGGCATCTCCCTGACTCTTGCAACCCCACCTCCCAGTATGGGTTGGCAGCCTAGCATAGCCTTCCCCAGAGAACATTGATACCCATCGTGGAGAGGAAGAGAACTCTCTCACACCTTAGTTTGCCTTTCCTCTACTTTTCCTTCTGATTGTGGGGCCCCAGAAATGCTGGAAATAGAGCCTTCCAGAAACTCCGAGGGCACAACCTTCCCATACCTTTGGCTGAAAGCCTCAGTCACAGCCAAGGCCAGCTACCACAACCAGCCCCTTCCAGGATATGCACTTAAAGCCTGCCTACCACCCCCATGACCCTTTCCCTGTGTCCAGCCCTGTCACAGGGGTTGGGGCCCTAGAACTTTGAGCTTGTTTGTGACCAGTAGTGTGCCATAATTTTCTTTTCTTTTCTTCTCTTCTGTTTTTTCTTTCTCCTCTCCTCTTCTCTTCTTTTTCAGACAGGGTCTTGCTTATAGCCAGGCTGGTTTCGATCCTCCTGCCACTGCTTCATGAGTGTTGGGATTCCAGGTATTCAACAGATGCAGTCTTGGGTCCCTGTGTGTGAGGGAAGGCCTGTGTCACAGGACAGTTGGTTAGTCCCCATGTGTCACACTGTCTCAGTGTGTGACTGCGTGTGATAGTGTGTGCAGTTCTCTGTGTATGCTAGTGTGTTTGGCTCTACCTGTGCATATCTTATTGCCTGTCTCCTTTTGTCCCCACTTCCTCACCTCATATCTCCTCCTCTGTCACTCTGTCTCTGTTCTGCATTCCTGGGTCACCAGTAGTGGTTGGTTCTGTCACCATCTTCCCCTCCTTCTTACTTCATCTGACTCCTTTGGAGTCTGTAAATGTCAGTGAGCACAGAGCTCAGGCCTTAGCGCTTCTCTCTTTTCTATTTTCCTTCCAAGTTCCAGACCCAAGGTTGAAAACACCATGAAATGGTAGTGACTCTCCTGCCACCCACTCCCACCCCAGCCTCAGTCTCCTCATGGAACTGGTGATCACTTCATCTGCTGCATCCACCTCAGGTCTCTCCCAGATCTACCTGCACCCAGCTTCAGGAACATGTTCAACAAACATCCAGCAGGTTGTTCAGTCCCCAAGTTGTCTCCGGTTCTCTTTTCCCTAGTGTAAGGGGACAAGTGTAAGGGGAAATAAAATGGCAGAAATGTCCCTAGGAACAAATGGCAGAAATAACTCTAGGGATGTAAGGGGATGGATAGCAGAAGTAACTTTGTTTCAAATAAAGGAGATAGGAAGGCATACTTAAAAGCAAAACATTTAGGGAAACTGAGGAAACCAGTTTTGCACACAGGTGCTGAGGCATAGTAATTTCTCTTTCTAGATAAGGAAGACAATATAAAACATTTATAAGGGCAGACATCTAAAGGGATGAGATAGGGACCACAAAAAGGAGAACAACATATCAAACTTTCCCAAGATAAACAAAGAAAGGGGTTTCACCAGAATAATGGGCAGTAGTCATAAAATGTAGGTGATAAGTTTCAAGGATGAAGTAAAGAGATGGGGTCTTATGAACTATTTTTCCAGGCTGCCATTGAGCCACGATCCTCCCCATCTCAGCCTTCCAAGTTGCTAGGATTGCAGGTGTGAGCCACCAGCGCCAGGCTACTACTTCATTTTATTTAAGGGACTTGAGCATCCATGGATTTTGACCATCCCTGAGGATCCAGAGCCAGTGTTTCTAGGGGTACCAAGGGATGGTCATCCCAAGCTACACAGGAGAATGAGATTGGGAGAATCACAGTTCCAGGCCAGCTCGGGGGAGGAAGTTGTTCTTGAGTGACTCCATCTCAGTGGAAAAGAGCTGAGCATGCTGGTACATGCCTGTCATCCCAGTGTAAGTGTTAAATAGGAGGTTTCAGTCCAGGCTGGTCTGGCCAAAAAATGAGACCCTATCACTAAAATAATCAGAGCAAAACGGGCTGGAGGTGTGACTCAAGTGTTTAGAGTGCCTGCCTAAGAAGTGTGAAACCCTGAGTTCAAATCCCAGTACCACAAAACCAAAAAAGTAGTATTTGTTTATAACTTGCACACATCCTCCCAATATACTTTAAATCACCTCTAGATTACTTATACCTAAACAATGTAAACACTATGTAAACTGTTGTTATACTTTATTTTTTAGGGAATAATGACAAGAAAATTGTCTGTACATGTCCCAAATATTTTTGATACAAGGTTGGTTGAATCCATGGATGTGGAAACCACAGATATGGAAAGCCAGTTGTACACTTAAAATTTACAATTAAACTTGGTATGGTGGCCATGCCTGTAATCCCCAGGACTTGGGAGGCTGAGGCAGGAAGATTGAAAGTTTGGGGCCAGCCTGGGTTACACTGTGTGAGTCCCTGCCTCAAAAAAAAATTTTTTTTACCATCCTACGTTTGTTTTTGGGGGTGGTGGTACTGGGGATTGAATCTGGGGCAAGCACTCTATCACCTTAGCCATGCCTCTGGCCCCTTTTTTACCTTTATTTTTAAGGGTGTCACAGCTTCCTTTGCCTGTCTGGCTTCTAACTTGTGATCTTCCTGTCTCTGTCTCCAAGGTGGCTGGGATTAAAGGCCACGTGTCTGGGCCTGTATGATTTTGACCAACTAGAGGGAGATCTCAGACCCTAATCTTCAGATTACTTTGCCCCACTCAAAAGCTTCCAACACTAAAGCTAGAATGGAACTCCAGAGCTTGCACCTCCCTTCGACTGCATCTTCTGACATATCCCTCATTGCTCACTATGCTCTACCTACAAAGTTTCTTCTTTCCATTTCCCTGCCCAGAGGCCTCTCCAGATCTTTCTTCCCTGCACCTCTTCTGCATCTAGGTCTCAACCAAGCATCTCTGCCTTTGCTGAAGCATCCCCGCCCTCCTCATCTCAGTACCTAAAATCCTTATTGATTGACCCCTGCTCAGTGCCTGGGTCTCTGGCTGGAACGTGAAACCCCTGAGGCTTGCTCCTTGTTCTCTGCCCTGTCTGTGTCTACTATGGTGCCTGGTGCACTGCAGTTGCTCTGGAAATGCTCCTGGGACTTCTGCCTGGCCATGTAGGATGTATATGTGTGCCTGTTGCAGGGTTCTGTCCTGAAGCAGGGCCCAAAGGAAGTTAAGTAGAACAGCAAAGAGTCTTCAGAGTTGGGCTCCAGCCCCTGCTCTAGTGCCCAATGCATAGGTGACTTTGGTGACATTTCCTCTTCCAAGAGGCCAGGGGGATTGACACCCCTTCAACTCCCAGTTTAGGCAAGACCTCCCACCAAACATAATCCCGTGCAACAGTTTAGTGGGGGGAGGGGGCAAGAACCTCTCTACAGCCCCTTCCCTCAGGATTCGCTGGGTCCCTGGGAGAGAGATGACACTGGTAGAACCACCCTACCTCAGAATCACTCCACCCTGTGACCTGTGAGTCCAGGCTCAGGAGAGATGGCAGGCAGATCCAGGACCTGGCAAATTCGTGTATGGTTGGATAATCTCTTGCTTGTGGCTATCACACCTGTGGCACAGAGAGAGGAAACTGAGGCCCAGGGTAGGTTCACAGGTATTACAAGTAGAGGGGGTGGGACACCCAGACTCTCCCTCTCTCCTTCCCCAGAGCAAGAAGGGGGTCTCAGTCCCTTTCCCTGTCACCTGCTCTGTCTCCTTCCTATGGACACCCTCCTCCCTCCCCCACCTGGAATCAGATTGACTGGGCTTGCTTGCCTAGCACTGTTTTGGAGGAGTTCCTCATCCCATTGACCTGTTCCTGCCCAGGGGGCAGATTTCCAGGGCTTCAGACCTACTTTGTTCCTGCTCATTTGTCTCTGAAGGCTCAACCCAGTCTGTGTCAATATTGACCCTGGTGAAGGAGTGGCCCCAAGTGAACCCTGCCCCTCCAGGTGTCTGGGGTTGAGTTACCATATTGCACTCAGCATTATTTCAGTCTCTCCCAGGCAGATGCAGAATAGTGCCACTCCAAGAGTCTGGGTCCAGCCAACAGTGTGTGTGTGTGTGGGGGGGGGTCCCTCCAGAGGGACAGAAAGGGAAATGGGAACTAACTCAGGTCATGGAGGTCACTGCCTGTAGACACCCTGGCCCCTGTCCCTGCAGCAGAGCAGCAGGCCAGGGAGCCCTAGTGACTCAGTTTCCAGGACAGAACAAAGGCCAGCCTTAGGTCCCTGCAAGAAGGTGCCGCTGCCTTGTCTGCTGTGCCAGGGTGTGTGTGGCCCTGCACAACCATCAGGACACAGCTGGAATAGTTTCTCCACCCATTGCAGGAGGGTGCATGGCTGGGTTCTATTCCTGATGGGCATGTGACCTGGGCTCCAGTGCACAGGAGCATGCACTGTGAACCCACTTCAGGGTGATAGCAGGGTACAGCCAGACAGGGCTGTTAAGCTCCTTCCTCACTCTGGCCTTGTGAGAGGCTCCGAGGGCCCAGGTGGAGCGTTTTCTGCATTTCCCTAATTTTAGCAATGAATTGATCTTTCAAAACAGGCAATCATATTCCCCAAAGCACCTTTGCCATAGGTGGGCATCAGGACTGGAATGATTTTGGGGAACTTGCCTTTCCTCTGTAGATAGAGCAGGAGCAGTCCTCACCTCTGGCTGCACATTTGAGTGCTCATAAGCACAGCAGGTCCCCACCTTCAGAGACCTGAAGTGGACAGGTGGACTTGAGAGTCTATATCTTTAAGAGCCCTCAGTTGGTGTATGTGTGTATAGGGGGGTACAGAGCTGGGGCTGGAATGGAGGTTTGGGTGCATAGCTCTGGGACCTGTATGCCTCTGCCTGACAGTTTGAGGCCAGTCTATTTCCATGGGTCAGGCTGGTGGGTACACAAGTTGGTGGCTCTGGGCCTTGAGCAGCCTGTTGATCTATAGCTGAGCAAAGGGAATTTACATGTATGCATCTCATCACTCCAGCGATTCTGCTACAAACTCCAGTGCACTACTTATCTATGAACTCAACAGACTGTCAGTGAACCTGCCATTTTCAGGTTTCCATTCCTTGGTCCTATAACACAGATGATCTGTGGTCTAACTAGAAAACATCAGGACAATCTCAGTGTGCACAAGTCTCAAATATGTGCCCTCTTATCTCTGTCTGGACACTCACCAGACACCTTAGCCTGGGGTTGACAGAATTCTCAGCCATCTATTTGTTTGTATGCTAAATGTATGCTGTGGTGGGTCTGGGGTTGATGCCAGAGAAGGCGAGAGAAAGAGAGAAGAGGACTAGGGATCAGAGTGAAGGAAAGATGGGATAGGGGACATAGCCCAAGAGTCAGATCCTGACAGGGGAGGAAGGTGGAGTGACTTCTCATTGGCTGGCCAGCTGTTCCACTGGGAAGAAGGGATACACAGGGCATAGCACTGAGTAGCTGTGGGGTATTTGTGGTTGCGTCTCTGGGAAAGTATTAGATTTTCCAGGCTGATACACATATTGTGTCCCTGGATGTTGGGGATGAATATATAGTCATCTTTGGTATCCATAGGATTGGTTCCAGACACTGCCCTCCCCGCAGGGATACTGATGCCTACAAATACTCAAGTATTAGATAAAATGCTGCAATATTTGCATAGAATCTATGCATATCCTGGTGTAGACTTTAAATCATCTCTTTATTATTTATACTGGATATGATGTAATTACTTTATAAATGTTATAGTGTATTGTTTAGGAAATCATGACTAGAAAAAAGTCTGTACATGTTCAGTGTTGACTTGATTTTTCCCTAAATACTTCTGTGGTTTGCTGAATCTGCAGACACAGATATGGAGGGCTGACTACATGTCTGGCAGAGCTCAGTATCCCATAATAAAACAGAAACTGTAGAGTTTTCTTAGTGACATTGCTTTGTTCATCCATGAAATGGTGATAAGACCTATCTGATGATACCGTTGACTCTGGTGTTTTACTATCTGAATTAGGCACTGCTATGAAGAAACAGATTCCTGACAGTGGTGAGCTCCTGCCAGGAGCCTGAGCACTGCCGTTCCTTTTATTTCATTAACAGAGGGGCTGGTGGAGGGCAGTCTACAGGGTGTCCCGCTGTCAGAAAACCCATCTGCCACATCCCTACTGTGTTTCTGACTCCTTGCCAGGTTTCTGGCTATCACAACATCTCAGCTGTGCACTCATAGCCACAGGGTTAAGCATCATGCACAATGCCTGTGGCTCTTACAGGTGGAGGCTACAGTTTTCTCCTGCTGCATTGGGAAGCCTGCTGTAGGGCTGGACTCCTTGAGGGAGGATGGTGAACCAGACAACTTCTGTCTGGGGGAGGGAGCCAGAGGGTCAAAATGCTGGTGCCTTTCAGGTGACAGGCAATTTGGGCAAGACAGTTACTGAGCTCCTTCAGGGTCCTGAAGCCTTGCTCCATTTACCCTGCTCTCCAGAAGTGGGGACACCAGGAACCCAAGGTGCTGGCAGGAGGTTGTGTAGGTGGCAGAGAATGGACGGAGGCGCTGCCACTGGGGAAGCATTCCATCCACAAGAGGGCGCAGTTTTGTGTTTATTTTTGGCAGAAGTAAATCATTGCAAATCTCTCAATTGACAATACTCGCCCCTGGAAACGTGCACGTTCCACATGTAGTATTTCCCAAGTAGTGCTAGAATTTTTTTTTTAACATCACATTCAAATGTCTAGCAGAAACCCATGACTATCCAGACACCAACATCTCCACTGCTGGGGGTATCAGTCTGCATAGAAGCTCCTGGGAGGAAAGCAGGAACAGACACAATCTGATTTACAGCAACAGAGGAATGGAGGCAGCCAGTGATTTTTACACAGGTGACTGCAAGTACGTCAAGCCATCCACTCTTCTTGAGCCCTGGCCTGCCAAGTGTTCACACAGCACCTTTAAAAGCAGAGGCACAAACGTCACGAGTGTTTGACCTAGGGCTGTGTGTTTCTGGATTTTATTAGAAAGCCATCTTTAAAATACAGGATTATAAAATGTTGCCAGGTTATATAGATTTACAGATTTTTTTTTTTAACACCCAAAGTTCAAATGCTGCAACAATGACAAGTTAGTCATTAGGGCATCCTCATGTCCCCCAGATCATCTCATCAGAATTGCACCATCGTCAAAGAAGGTTCCTCACCATCTGTGACAGGTGGTGTTTCTTATTAGGACACAAATGCATTGTTTACAAACAGCTAGTGCATGAAACCACAGAGCAACAAGTAGCACTCCAGAGTAAATGGAAGACAGAGCACTAACATCGTAAGGAGTGCCTGGTACCCCTCTGGGCTTGGCAAGAGATGTCATATCATCACAGTGGGCTGGAGTCCACAAACCCAAGCAATCTTGCCCTAGATCTTAATGTTAAAAGCACTTGTCCAGGAGACTATGTTTTAACCTGGTACTGAAAGGACCATGGAAACTCAAGAGGTCAGACTTCCCTTCTGGCTAAAGAGTTAGAGTATTTTGGTAATGTGGGAAATATATGGCACAGAGAAGTTAGTTAACAGGTTTCATTAGGTTTTAAAGCCCACAATTTAATAAAAGGTAATAATTAAAAAACAATACCCGTATTTACCTTAAAAAAATAAACCCCAAACATTCATCTCATTTCTTGGCCTTATGATAGAATTCTATTGCTTCATTTATATGTAGATGATTAAAAATATATAGAGATATACATATTTTGATTATGTACATAAAGCAGAATCAAGGGCTAAAATAAAATGGCATTTTGGAGTGTGGTCAAATAAGGTGCACAGATCCCAGAACCTTCAGAGGCTCTGCTGCCCTCCCAAGACATTGGGTCTGTGGAAGCAGGAACCAGGCCCCCAGCAGCACCTCACTGAGTGGGTGTAGCAAGCTCAAAGTTGCAAAGCTACGAAATGAAGGGTCTGGCTTAGGTATCTCTGAAGTGGAGCACTGTTCCTAGGCTCACTTCCCCTGGAATATTGTGGAATTTCAATCCTTTCTGTTCCCTCTTTCAAATAAGGACCTGTGATGCCAACACAGAAGGAGGCATGGGTGAAGGTCTGAGGCGCTCATCAGGGCCTCATTCTGTGTGCATATAACACATGATAGACACTTGACTGCAACATTCAAAGACATTTAAGGCAGCAGGGTCATTTAATGACTGGTTTTCCAAATAAAGGTTTATGGCATGGGCAGATCTGCTAAGTAACTGTTATTATTCATAGTAATGCCTAGCAAAGGGCTATTTCTATTTTAATTGGCATGTAGATTACTGGGATCAGAACACCCAGAATGTTGGGAGACCTTACTACCCCCTGAATATTTCTCTTCTGAACGCATAGAAGTTCACAGACCAGAGTGCTATTGGGAGGACACGATTGGCAGCTGGCTTCATTATTCTGTGAATGAAAGGAAAAAAACAAATTTTACTTTGACCTCCAATTTTGAGTCTTATTAGTGTCAGTCGCTCCCACCAGAACTCTGGCTGAGGCCCAACCCACAAAGGACTAAGGCAACAGTTCCAACACAAAAGGGTTCTTGTTAGAGCAATACTTTACAGACTGTCTTGTTGTCAAACAAGGAACATGGCACTGCTTAAACACCAAACTGGGAGAGGCTGCAAGGAAACCTGGGGCTCAGGAGATGAGCCCTGGTCTGGAGCGATAAGTTTCACATCTAGACAGGCTTCTCCAACCCTTGGCTCAAACAGGCTGTGCTTCCACTGAGAAGACCAAGAGACGGACTTGGGCTACATCAGCTTGGAGGCTGGTGAGGCCACAGGTTCTCAAGAGAGAACAGTCAGCTTATCACAAGATCTGATGTTGACTGCAGTTTAAAATTAATGCCACACCTGTGTGGTGGTCTGGCCCTTTTGCCTTTGTGCCCATTGGCATTCCTTGTGGCCAGGGCCAGGAAAGGGAGACAGCTGGTGCAGTCTGCATGGGGTGGGACACCTGTTTCTGACCCTGTCCGAGTTTGCAGCTTAGCAGTGAGCATATTCTGAGCATAGGCACAGTGGCAAAGAACAGTGTAACAGCCGCTGGTCAATTCCATTTGGTGGCAGCACGGTAGCAGCAAAGAAAATCCCCAAAACAGCTCCATGTGTTTCCAGCTTTTGGAAAGGAAAGATTTAAAAATCAATAAATAGGTTTTTTTTTTTTTTTAAGTATCTAAGGGTTTTAAGTTTTCTTGTAGCTGTTCTACCAAAACCAGTAACAAGAGAATAACAAAAAATACAGAAATATGACAGTAGTGTGAAAGCTGAAGTGACATGATATCCCTTTTCAAGGGGAAATGGAACCTCAAGACAATTTTTACATCATCAAAAATCATAAAAGAAATCTATTGTTTCATAAAATGTTAAACAACAGTTTCAGATATATTCCAACAGTCAGAATTGAGTAGAAACAGCGACATTATCATAACAAACTCCTGCAAAAGGGAGCCTGACCCTGCAGCATGCTATAGGCTGTGAGAACAGCCACACCTTTGGGAGATAGGCTCCTGTAACTCACTCTCCTCCCGAGCACTCTCCACCATGCCACCCCACCAGGTTCTGGAAAATTGTCATGTTCATCTTCCTAGAGTATCTAAGACAATAAAAGACTAAAAAGATGTCTGGAAACAGGTTATATAGAAAAATTAACTCTCAGCTTAAAATAACATTCAAAAAGGCACTTCATCCTGTAGGAAAGAGATTCTGAGTTGGGTCAGCTGCTCCGAGCTGGGGACAGAAGAGAAAAGGTTGTCTGCTTGGAGGGCAGGACAGGTGAAAGGAAGTCTAATAGATAACAAGCTTTTTTTTTTTTTTTTCATTTTTTTTCTTTTTGGTATGTTTTAAGAAAAGCAAATCCAGTAAAATGAATGTTCCTTTATGAAATCTGTTAAAAGAGTTCTTTTTAAAATAGTTGTTTCTGTCCTTAGAAAACAAAACAGGTAGGAATGGCCACATTCACACTGTGGCTCGAAGCACAGAGTCTCCTCACTTTCAGCGTGGTGAGCTGAGGCCAGGCAGATCCCCTGAGCCGGAGGTTCCAGAGTGCACAGGCAGGAGCAGGCCGAGGCTGGGGCTACCTATTGCAGAGTCTGTGCAGCATGCTGTACACGTCATCCTCACGGCTTAGGCCCTCAAAGAAGGGGATGAGGTCCAGCAGCTCTGTGTCCGTCATGTCATCGAACCAGGACTGCACAGGTACCTGGAAGACATGGAGGAGGCAGCAGAACTGTACCCAAGAGCTGTGCTGCTCCTATTATGACTGGGTCCCCAGACTTTGATCTTTTCTTTTGGTGAAGAGGACTGGTATGAGCTGAACATGGTGGCACACACCTATAATCCCAGCTACTCCAGAGGTGGAGGTAGGAGGATCATGAGTTTGAGGTCAGCCTAGGAAAAGTTAATGAGATTATCTCAAAAACAAATGAAAAACAAAAGGGCTAGGGGTGTAGTTCAAATGGTACAGCATTTGCCTAGCAGGCATGAGGCCCTGGGCTCAATCCTTAGTACCTAGGGTGGTGGGAGAAGACTGGTATGTAGAAACCATTATCATCTTTTTGTTATCATCTTGTTCAAGCAAGGCCAATCCAAACCTATATGGTTTGGAAGACAGCTGGGGGGTAAAAGGTATCTAGTGTATACACATTTGCCTGATTAGTTTTCCTGCCACAGAAAGGCAGCAATAGCACACAACATTTGAGAACTGCCTTGCTATTCGACTGCTTCAAAAGTTCTTCTTACTCTGCTATGTCAGCTCCTTGAACACAGAGTACTTAACGCCAGATGTTATAGGTCAGCTGCCAACATCTGGGAGTCTATGTCTTAGGGTCCTTGTGTTATGCTGCACAGCAAAGATACATGGGAAAATTTCCTCCCATGCCTAGCAGTGACCAGGTAAAAGCAGAAGTATGAAATTTCAGGCATGAAGCCACGGACAAAGACAGGATCCCTCCCTAAGCTCCAGGCAGAGAAGCAGGGAAGGGTAACATTGGGTGGCAGCCAGGGTGCCAAGAAGGCATTTAAAATGAAATTTATAAAAGGTATAAAAGTAATATTTTGAGCTCTTCTACAAATCTAAAGATAGTTATAGAGACATAAAAATTAATTATGTAATTTTGACAAATAAACCATGTTAGGATTAATAGAAAGTGAGCACTCCTAGAGGAAGGGGAGAGAATGGGGGCAGGGCAGAAATGGACAGAAGACATCTCTAAATGTATGAGCAGTAAAAGTTTTGGCATTGGAACCATGTATATGTGCTATGTAAATAAAATCAAAGCATAAAGAAAAAAGCAATGGCCACACAGAGAATTATTTCAAGTGATTTTCTCTCCAAAACCCTAAATGGCACTCAATTCTTATTATCAGAAGTTAGGATCAGAACTGCTTTCGAAATTACTATATACTATAGAATAAATCAAATATGTAATTACATTAATATCCTCAGGAATCAAGCACTTCAGCATGAAAGACCCAAATGCAAAAATCAGAAACAAAACCAAAAGTTAAATAAGAACTATTAACTTTATGTTGGGTTAGAAAATCCAGTCTGAATTTATGACTTAGTTTTCTTTAAAAAAATAGGCTTTCTTTTTCTTTTCTTTTCCTTCCTTCCTTTATTTATTTATTTTTTTTGTGCTTTATGGCTAGAAGTAAAGGACTTCTCAGCAATAATGAAAGCCCATCCAAATTGTGGTCTCTAAATATAATTTTCACTAATAGGAACCAGACTCCATTGAAGAATGGCTGATTCCATGGCTGAAGCAAGAAATGTTCAAGATGAGCCTGGAATATCTTTTATTTGTTGGTGTTGGGGATTGAACAGGGCCTGGTGAATGCTAGCATGAGCTCTACCTCTGAGCCCCAACACCAGAACATCCTGAACCAGAAAGCAAGGATTATTGTTATTTCAAGGGAGTCCACTGGGCAAAGGTGAAATTTTGAGATTCCAAAAGAAGAATAAATGTATTGGATTGGAACAATAAAGACTATGAGTTCATACAATGCTAAAATTCACCAGCTATTTCTGGATGCTCTGGAGTACCAATTCATTAGTCTGAAACTGAAGAATTAAAGAAAAAGAACCAATTCTTGTACCTGCTTTTCCTATTCAAACATTCATGCTGTATTTTAGGGCAAGCAAGCAGTTGATGATGGTAAGTTCTATAATTATTTTAGAAGAATAACTCTAGTCAATAGAGGCAGAAAGAATGATAGATTTAGAAATTGCCATTTTGCAATTCCTAATGAAACAGTGGATGTAGGCAGTGATCAGCAACAACTGCTATAATTATGAAGTGAAAGGTTAAAGGGGAACTTGAAATGGATGGATTGATAGGCTGACAATATCTGAATACAATGGTCACTTTAAATTTTTAAGAGTGGGGCAATCTGACATTATATGCCTCCTGTTATGACCCTATTAGGAAGTACATAAAATCGCCAATGATGTATTCTTCTTAAAAAAAAAAGAGAAAGACAATGAACCCAAGTCTAATCGAATAGTAGATATAAGTTTAATTACTTATTTAAAGGATAGGGTGTGGCTGGGAAAATATTGAACACCATCACGAGCAACTAGACAAATCCAGACTGTAGGAAATTTCTACAAAACAAATAATCAAACCTCTAACAAATAAATGGCATACAAGGAAAAAAGGGAAGAAAGAAGAAATATTATCTTAAAAGATTAAGAAATACATTAACCGCAGTAATGCAGTATCCTTCTTTGAATTCTGATTCAAACAATTCAAATGTAAAAAAACATTTCAAGATGATGAGGACAATATGAACAGTGTGGATATTAGATTATGTATGAAAGTGTTAGTTGTGTTGGATGTGATAATGAAATTGTGGTTATACTAAAAAATAATCCTTATCTGTTAGAGGCATATTACCAAACACATTATGTTGAACAATTCAATTTGTTCATTAAAATAAACAGTTAAATGTAATACATTTTGAGGGCTTATTCAAATAATGATGTCACACAAGCTAACTGTTTGCTAGGCAGGCGTTCTTCTACCACTTGAACCACTTCATCAGCCCTACACAAGCTAACTGAATCTAGTTTGAATTCATTTTCTTTTCTTGTTATAAGTGGAACTGTGGAAGTCCTTGCCTGGGAAAAGGTGTCAATCCAGGGAAAGTGCCTGAGTGGAGGCCTGGTCTCGGCAAAGAAGCAAGCCTGGCTGATTTCTTTTCCCCAGGCAATGCTGAGAGGCAGGAAAGGTCATTGTTCTCCTGCTGAGAGCCATGCTGCCCCTAGGAGTAGGCACCAAGGGCTGCCACGCTCCAGAGAGTTTTATGTAGGAAATGTTCCCATTGTGTGCTTCTCACATCATTCCAAGATAGTCCTAGGAGACAAGCATTCCTACAATTCCCATTTAATAGATGAGGCACCCAAGCCTCAGTGAGGAAAAATAATTTTGCCATCATAAAATCGGTAAGTGGCTGAGTTGGGACTTCACCAAGGAAAGGCCCAGAGCCCTTCTTATGTAGGTGTTCAAAAGTGGTGCCTGGCAAAATGGACCTCAGAGGGAGCCCTGCCATCTGTCTTTGGGGCTACTTACTGCATTCTCAGGATGGAATATGTACGAGGCAGGAGAATTGTCGACGATGATCACTTTGCTCAGCTCTCGTCCCAGGCGACTCAGGTCCTTCACGTAGTTTCCACGATGGAAAACGCACGATTCTCTGAAGAGCCGGGCTCGGAACACACCCCAGCGGTCTAGGAGGTCAGCCACAGGGTCTGCATACTAGAAAGGAGGAGTCACAATAAAAGCCTGGTGCTTGGAAGAGCTGAAACCCTGATCTACTGCAGCAAGATCCAAACTACTTTTTAAAAAGGGATTGAAATAGCTGGAAGTGTTTTAGGATCCTGGCTATTTTCTCTCCATGCTTATAAAAAAGCACTGGATTCTTCCATTTCTCTCACATCTCATCCATCAGAACTTCCTGTCAGTTTCATCTCCAAAAATATCCTGACTCCATCAGCATCTCTGTAGTTCTTTGGCTATTACCAGGGCCAGACCTGTAGACTTTAGCCTGAGAGGCTCCCGTTTCTTGCTGGGCCTCCTTCCTGGTCCATGTATCCCAAAGCTGTCTGAGTGGCCACTTGAATGCATATGTCCTATCATGTCATTCTCCTGCTTGTGCACTGCACTTGGAGTATGGCCATGTCTTGCAAGCTTGATGTTAGGCCAGGACTTAGCACTAACACCAAAATGAGGCGCACAGCCAGGAATCACTGAGGCCTGGCGACTCTGCCAGTGAGGCAAGGAGCACCTGAAGCTGTGTTGGGAAGGCCACAGGGGAATATACCACAGCTAGGTCGATGGGAAAGTCCTTTCCTTTTCAGGCACATCCTGAGGGAGGTAGAGTTCAGAAGCAGCTGCATTTCCTACTGACCAAGTGGAGTGACAGCTTTAGGCACTTGCTATTCTGGTGAGGCTAGCCAAGGACCACGAGTGTGAGCTACAGAGGGCTGACTCAGGATGAGAAAAGACAGGTAATTTCCTTCTGATCATTGACACTGTGGTAGCAGCAAACATCTTTCAGGGAAGTGTCTGAGGTCTGAAGGCTCCAGGCTGGAGAGATGAATGTGAAGAATGTAGGCCTCATGAGGGCAGGGACCCTTTTGCTCTCTTCTGTATCCTCAGTGCTTTAGTACCATGCCTGATGCATAGTAGATATTAAGTACACATTTGCTGGGGGAATGAATTAATGAGGGGATGTATGACCAAGTATGACCTTGAAAGGATGTGAGAACCAGCAAGAGGTTCCTGAAGCCCCTGGGAGGCAAGCAAAGAGGCCCATTTCATGAATGCTGCTGAGCCCAGAGCCAAGAAGTGAACAGTTACCACCAATCAGCACAACTTGGCCATCAGTGAGGAAAGGACTGGAAGGCTGCACTTGGGAGCTGGTTCAGTTTGCCACGTGGGAGCAGCAGCAAGACAAGAGTTGGAGAAACAGATGGAGGGGCAGGTGGGAGCAGTCCAGGAAGAGAAACCCAACATGGATGTTTATGTGAATACTTGGGGTCAATGCCAAGGAAAAGTGTTCTCAATTTTACCAAGGATAAAACAACTCTCAGTCCAGAGCACCAGTGCAACCTTCCCACTTGTTATTTCTTTGGTTATTACTTCAGGCTCCTCAGCATCCCAGAGTACTGTCAGAACAGCCATTGAAGCTGCAGATACAATTAGTCTTGGCACCACACATCTGTGAGATTTATATTTTCCCTGAGGTCTTGTTCTCATCTTGGTATGCAAGAATAAAGCTCAGGGTTTGGACCTCTCTCCAGCAGCTCATTCTCTGAGGTTGGTGATGAGGCTGGCAGAGTGCTATGTAGGTGAGGCTGCCACACCTTGGTCAGCACAGGGATGGATCTGGCCAGGAATGTTCAGGCTGGTAGAGTAGGGTGCTTGGGACCCTACAGAAGCAAGCTATGAGGGAGGAAGCTGTTGTATGACTCTCTGGGGCAGTTCTGGATACAGGCAGATGTTTAACCTGGACTCCACAAAACTCATCTCTGGGGTCACTCAGAGTCCTCAAGGCGCCCCAATGTGTCTGTGGCATGCAACACATAGTCACATTGCTGCAATGATCACACCGGGCATGTCTATGACACCATGGACATGTCTGTGGACACCAGTTTCAGGTGCTGCATACAACAACTTCACAGAGCATTTATTCTAAGTGTGTCCTATCACCATGGTAACCAGAAGCCTTTCAGCCTGGCAGGGTGCACATGGCCTGTATCCATCCCATCTGGGATGGGAACCTGACAGTGTAAAAATAGCTTCTCCCACCTTAACAAAGGGCTCTTAGCAGATTGGGGGTAGGAGTGGAGGGGTTGGAGTGCCAGCTGGGAGTCCATGGTAGGGAGCAGGACGCACCTTAGCCAAGCTGGCAGTAAAGAGCACACACTCGAAGAGCTGCCCCATCCTCTGAAGGAACTCATCCACATGCGGCCGCTTCAGCACGTACACCTGCAACGGCAGGAAATAGCAGGCTGGTCAGTCATGGCAGGTGCTGGGGAGACCTGGGTCCAGATGCCCATTATAGGAAGAATTGCCATAAAAGGTCCTATGTGTGGCGTGCAGAGACCAGACTGTGGAGTCAGAAGTGACACTTCTCAGACCAAGGTTTCATGCCTGAGTTCAGTGCAGGGGACCTCCCACGGGAGAAAGGGGAAGATGACCATGGTGTCAAGGGTGTTGGAGATTTTCAGAAAGCAAGTGGAATTGTTGTTCCTGGGTCCTCTTGGGACTCAGAAACATGCCATCAGGAGGGGCCTCTCAGGACGAGGTGTGGGAAGGGGCTGTTAAGGCAGTCAGACTTTAGCTCATACATGGGTTCCTGACTAGGGAGCCTGAACAAATCTGAGGAAACTGGTGGTAGAAGAGGAGGCAAAGTTGGTAAAAGGATAGTGGAAGTGACACAGGGAGGAATCAGTTAAAACCAGAATAAATTTCACTTGAAATTAGCCACTTCATTAAAATAAACTAAACTCTTTAAAATTCAATTCAACGTATTTCTCAGCCTGATGCAGTTACAAAGATGAATTAAATACAAGACTTTGCCCTCGAAGGGCTCACAGTCTAAAGAAGACACACACAAAATTTATAAAGCAAGTATGGCATAATGAAAGTTCATAGTAACCCCCTCTCCAGGGGAGGGAATCACAGAAGGTAACCATTGAAGAATGGTAGGAGTTCACCAGGCTGATAAGGATGAGAAGTGAGCTTCCAGGCAGAGCAAAACATGAGCAGACCTGGAGGCCTAAAAATACTTGGGCTCTGGGTTAGAGACTGTGTGCCCACCTCATCAGATGCAGTGAGAGAGGACCAGGAGGTGGAGAAGTGGAGGAAGTGGATGATGATGAAGAGAAAGTGGCAGGGAACACACACAGGGCCTCATCAGGCAAAGTTCAGAAGTAGCATAGGGGAGACAAGGGGCTCTGCACCACATGGAGGGAGGACACACTGCTGGCTGAGGAATTCTACACAGACTAAGTAATTTTCAATACACCAGAAACAGACCCTCAGGAGGGCCAGGACATGGTGGAGAACTCCTGGCTAACTGAAACAGTGGTGTGGGCACTGGTGTGTGGCTGAGAGTAAAGGGAGGGGTCACAGGAAAAGGATGGCCTAGACTGGGTGCCAACATGGTCCTGAGGAGCTGGGAGGCTCGGTGAGACTGAGGGTAGGGCTTATGGCTGCAGCAAGCTCTAGGCCCCACTTTGCCCATGAGACCCCTCCATGCTGGTGAGAGCAAATGTGTGTGGTCTTTGGTCCTGTGTCCCTGGGAAAACTGCTTGGAAAGCAAATTTTGCTACATGTAAAGGACAGCAGATTGTTTAGAAACTCTGGCGTTGGTGCCTCTGGCAAAGAGGAGGGTCTTGGGCCCGGATGCCGGCGTCCAGGCCCGCGTCCCCGTGCAAGTAACCAAGAATAGGCCCATTGGGACCTGCACAGCCTATCCTGGATTACTTGAACGAGGCCACGACCTTCGCCAGGGCCTTGGTCCTCCTGCTTTTGGTGCCTGTGGTTTCCATCTCTCAGGAGAGTGTTTGATCCCAGCCTTGGGACCCTGGGGTGTCTGTGTATTGCCAAGTGAACCGCAGCATAGTCAGGAAGGCTGGAGCTGGGGAGGGGTGGGGGTGTTCCTGCAGGCTGGTCATGCTCACAGTCATGTGGTATGAGGATTAATTTCTCTCCTAACACCTGCCATGCCATTGGGCTGCTCTTCTTTGTTTCATCAGGAGCGCTCTGCAACATGAGCCAAAGTAATAAATACAGAAGTCTTAACTGCTTCTCGGGTGCTGAGTTAATTCAGTCAATGCTTTTGCAAACGTTAAATGCCCACGTGCTTGCAGTTTTGGCTCCACAATGGCTTTTAAAAGCATGAAATGTGGAGACGCTAGGGATAAAGCTGCCTTTCCCACTTTCCTGACAGAATCTCCTAGAGAATGGGCCAGAAAATGGGTGGGGTGGGGTGGGGGTGTGGGGGGGAGTAGGAGGGTTGTACTTGAGTCTCAGGAAAAGAACCCTGGCCCAGGAGCTAGGAGACTTTAATTCTTCACATTGTATGACCCTAAACCAACCCATTCCCTGACTGGGCCTCAGTTTCCCCATCTGGACAATGAGGTGGCTAGACTAGCTGTTTTCAAAGGCTGAGACAGTTCTAATATCCTGCATTCAAGAGCCAAAGAAACTACTGACATCATTAAGGAAAGACATTCTGTTGTGGTCCAGATCCAAGACAGATTTTCCTTCTTGGGATATGGGGCCATGTACTCTCCCATTAGAACCTTGGAACTGATAAGGAAGATGGTCATATCATTCCTGTAGAAAATCTGACAAAAGCTCCCTCCACTCCTAAACTCCAAGGCTAACTTTTCTACAGTGTGTTTCCAATATGTTCATAAATGAAGCTATTTCCAGAAGAGCTTTATGCAGATGAGGAAAAAATCCAGAAAGAATGAAGATGATGCATACCAACTGACTATGGCATCTTTATTCATAGCAGCTGACTGATCCAAAAACTCATACCCTCTTCCCTTTTTCTTTGGGGTTGAGTATTTGCTAAAGATTCACTGGAGAAAGCCAGGCAGGGCTGACAAGATCAGTCTGGAGCAGCTGGCATTGGAAATGGCTATCTTTTCCCAAGCATCCACAGTAGGTGGGTGACTTTTCCTTTTGCCTGCTAGGAGAGTAGCTGAAAGCAATTACATGAGGAAGTTAATTAGACCATCAAGCTAGGACAATGGGGAGTATGGAATCTCCTGAAAGTCTGTTTCAAATCAAAGAACTATTTGAACTTGCAACTACATCTAATATTTATGAACAGATTCAGTTTTCTTTGTAAACTCAGTATAAAATATATATGAGTGGGGAAAAAAGGAGAAAATAATTGTATTACATTAAGTCTTCTTCTTATGGACTGAATAAAATTACCACTGAAATGGGAATTTAGAAACGAAGTTCACAGGGAATATAATTCTCAAAAAATGCTCATTGAAACTCAAAATTAGCTTTATTTCTTACCTGATGTATAGTTCCATCAATTTCAACCGGAACAATAAAATCAGCATTACTAATGGGCTAGAGAGAAAAGAAACTATAATTAATATGTCTGAAAGAACAAGATAAAATTGGAAATGTTAGCAAGAAAAAAGCTTGCCTGGACCAATGTTTTGATAATTGGAAAAAACAGTTCAGGAGAAGGATGTTGAAGCATGCCTTGGTTCCTTGAAATAAGCACAAACAGGAAAGCACATTATTTTCTGTTCTGAATGTTGTGACGTTTTCAGCAGTTTGGTCCAACCTCTTGATCACCTGCCTGCCTCAACCACAAAGAGGTGGCACAGCCTGGTGAGAGAATGGGATTCCTCAGAAACTCCAGCCCTTGCCCAAAATCCCACAAGGATGAAGGAAACCACTGGCCACCAGGGGGAGGAAGTGAGAGCCTGGCAGTTAGTAACAAGTGCTACTGGGAAAACAATCTGGACTTGGACCCACAGTGTGGGCAGGTCAGCAGGAGATGCTCAACACATGGACCCACAGCAGAGCTAAGGACAGGTGGGGTGAAATCAGGCCACAGGCCAGGACCTGGTATAGGTTCTTCCCATCTCCATACTTCAGTGTCTCCTTTCTTCCCTAGGTATGGTAATGGATCCAATGAGTGGCCAAGGCTATATTTAGTCCTGAGAATCAGTAATCTCAGGTCCTGCCTGCCCTGGGTTGGGTAGAGAGCTAGTCTCCCAACAACTGCTCTGTTTTAAGGAACACAATACCCAGCATATGTACAAACTTGTAGATATTTAATGTAACTCTCAGACAATATTAAGACATTCAAAAATCAAATATGACCCTTCTCAGTTCTAAATGGAATTCCACAAATTAGGTAGAAAACCATTCAAATGAACAGGACCAACAGAACCATCAGCCTGCAAACCCTTGGGACAAGAGAGACACACAGGGAAGGGGGAGGTGTGTGTGATGCCACTCAACAGAGTGTGGGGTACAGAGCCTCTGGTCAGACTCTGAACTACGTTTGCCTTTAAGTCCATCACTGGTCATACAAACATTCCTCTTTGACATGTAAAAAAAAACTTTGGAAAATGCTAAGTTGTAGCACCATTACTAATTACTCAGCTGTAAGAATGCTACTAAAGCTTAAGAACATAGTTTATTTACTTTCAGGGTTGCAAGGCCAGGATGAGTTCAATATTTTATAACTTGGCCATTGAAATACATAATCATGCTAAAAAAGCAAAAAGAAAGGACTAAAGGAAGAAACTTTCATAAGGCACTGGATTGTGAAATTATATTCCACAGAGTTAAGTGATTCTTAATCTCTCATGTGCTAGTACAAAGGAGGCTATACTGAAGCCAGAGTTCTTAACCTGGGGTTCTCAAGCCTGTGCATCATATAGCTATACAAGGGGAAGAGTTCACAGGTTTCACATTCTTGAAAGGCTTTGAAATGCCTTGAACATCAAAAGCCATAAGTTAAAGAATATTCTTCTTGCAAATGTAGGCTGGCTAGGGGAGATGAGAAATGAGGAAATGCTGTTTACAGATCATGGCATAGATGCATTGTGAGTAGGCCCTTGGAGATATCAGGGGCTTCCAAGGCTCTGCCTTTGGAATCAGGAATCTTCAGTGGCCTTGGGCAGCTGACTCCTGCTCTGAAGGGCTTTAAATCCTGAGCAACTTGCCCATGGAGAGAAAATGCTGTTGAGAGCTGATCTAGGACACAAGGCCATTGTGGCATCAACCCTGCAAGAGCCCAGTCCTGGAGTGCTGGGAATGAGGTGGTCCCTGTGTGCCCAGTGGCCAAAATGAGGCCATTTCTCACTGCTAGAGGTCAGTGTGGTCCCTCCTCCACTCTCCAAAGGACTCAAAGACAGCCTCCTGGCCTTGTTCTGTCAAAGATGGTCTCTATTCAGTGAGAAGCAGGCACAAGGAAAGATGCTTCTGGCAGGAAGATCAGACAAATTTGATGGCTCTTCTGCTTGCCATACAACCTGCCAGGAATGACAAGGACTATGTGAGAAACACAGCCCATCACAGAGAAATAAGGGGAGTCCCAGGCTGGGGTAAAAAGAGGATTGCAGTATAAATGACCAGCATAGTAGAGCAGTTCCATCACCAGAAATAACCCAAGGAAAGTGGGCCAGGACCTTAAACACCTGCTTTTTCTCCCCACCAACACACTGATACCTTATTTCCAAATGTTTTCATCATATGCCTCTTTTAAACACTTTGCCCCATTTAAAACAATGGTTAATTAACTCATTCTCTTAATAGTATAGCCATTGCTGTTCCTGCATTGGGGTCCTTTGTTGCTTTTGCTGTGTCTCTGCTCGGGAGATGGAAAGTGGGGAAGATGACAAGAAAGATTCTGACACTCACTTTGACATTGCTGCAGCTCTGCACTGTTCCTGGGGGAAGGTGTGAAGGTAAGGTGCTCATTTAGCTGTGAAACTTATAAGAAGCTCCAGCAATCTCTTGCATGAAATGGTCAGAATAAATGGCTGAATCCATTCAGATGCTGTTAACTCTGGAAGGCTTCTTCAGAGCTGGACATCTTTCATAAATTGATCTGGAAACATTTCCAGGACAGCAAGGTGCCTGACAATTTCCCACAGTGCCTTCCAGGGCACACATAAAACACACAGCACTCTGGTTACCTTGACAAGTATCATGTCTTGGGGCACTGATTACCTGTGCCACTTGAAAGCATATCTGCTGGAAAACCAGGTCTCTAAGTAAAACGAAGTTCTCAGTGACAATGGCAGCCCAGCAATTTCTTTTCCTAATGTGTTAATATTTAACTCCTTCAGTTAATATTCACCTGGGTTAATAAGCAGCTATTGCTGGGATTTCTTCATGAAGAGTGAAGTCATATACTAATACCCATAAGCTTGCATCCTTTTTATTTTTCCTTCTCAATACAATTGTGATTAAATCACAAAGACCACAAGAGTGTTTTTTAATGTGGATTTACCTTAAATGAGCTGTGCACCAATGTTTCATCTAAATCTATGACCACACATTTCTTTCCATAGTCAAGCACCGTCACCTCTGGAAGGAGATATTTAGCTGGTGGCTAAGGAAGAAAAAAAATTCAATATTACTACCTCTGTGTAGGAGACAAACGAATTCCCTTATTATTGTAATATACTATGATAATGAAGTACAAATGAAAGGCCTGGTCAAGTTATTATGTAATTCATTAAGAACAACAGTAATAAGTAGTTTACAACTTAAGTTTTACAAAAGCAACACTGTGCAATTATGTGACAGCTGATTACTGTGAAGGTCTGGGCTTTGGCACCAAACTTGGGTTTGAATATCAGCTCTGACACTTGGCTGTAAGTTGGGATAATAATACCTGCCATGCAAGGTTGTTGTTACGGCAGTAAGAAACCCAGCATTTTGCCAGGTATATGTGGGGTGGCTACTGGTATTGAAAATGGAAAAGAATGAGTGTCTAATTGTAATAGCCACTCTGATTATGCAGGCCTCTGTCCTGGGGTCATATTTTGCCTGAAATTCACTATGGCATGTAAGTATATCTCAGAACTATGTTGACCTCAGTGGTATTTAATTAATTAACTAATTTATTCTAAGCAATTGATATTTTCAAACACTTGAAGAACATCTACACCCCTCCCAGCATAATGCAACCCAAAGTTACCCTCAAGATAAGGAAATAGAGATAAAACTGGTCCAGGTACACTGTCTGCCTTGTGCCTCCCCCACTGTGGCATAATTCTAAGCAAATGTGGCATTTTTGCCCCTTGGAGTCTCTGTCCCTGAAAGTTTTTCTTTAATCTAAGTGCTATGTTAACCAGAAAAGGTATCTGTCTTTGTAGACCTGACTCCAATCTTGTGACAAAGTCATAAAGAATAAATAAATGCTCAGCATCTTCAGCCAGTCCAGTATTTATTTCATTAGGCCTTGCCTCATTCCAGAAGTGATCTGACTCTACTGCCCTGGCAAGGGAGGTGGGATGTGCTGTGGAGGCTGACCTGGAACCTGGGGACCTAGAAAGGACCCTCTCTCATCTTAAACCAGTGAGTCAACGGGTTATTTAAAAAAATTAAAATAAACTTGCAAGTTTTATATCAAAACATATTTTAAAAAGGCAGGGTAATCAGCTCCACAAGACTGTAACAGAGATGACTGGGGTTATGTCTGTTCTTTGGGCCACAGCAGAATGTGTGACCAGCACAATATTTGTTTTAATTTAATTTTTATTACACAATTGTACAAGAAAAAACACATTCTCACTGTAGTACAGACAGGTGAGAATGAAATAAAATAATTCCCTTTTCCATGTCCCCTCTTAGTAGCCTGGAAAATAAGAATCTAGAAATTCTATCCTTAGCATATCTGAAAACATTAAAGATGTGCCAAAAGTGGCTCAGCTATTTTCCAAGACCAAGAATAAAATTACTTTCTTAACATATTTAACCCACACATCACAAGCATTCTCTGAATTAAAAGTTAAAAAAAACCAAAAACCCAATACCTTCACTGTATTCTCCAAGAGAGAAAGGAATAGAAAGGGTTAGATTCCCAGTAAGCAAGCTATTGATTTTGCACTTGTGTTGCAGAGAATGAGGCCAGGCTTGGAGAGCAACCAGTAAGGAGCATTCATTAATCCCCACCCATTTCCTAAATGCACACAGCTTCTCCAAGGTTCTGCTTTAGATGAATGCAGAATCCTCAGTCCACTGGTGAGAGTTCTAGACAGCTGTGTTCTTGGAATGCAAGTATGCTGTACAGCTGCAATAATGCTGCTTGAGCCCTTAATTCAAATGTTCTCAACTAAGTTTTCTCTGAGGCCATCATAAAGCACAAGAACAAAAGAAACACCAGTTATGAGCAAAAAAGGGCCTTTCCAAAACAAAGGACCTTCCTTCCTTTCCTCCCACCCTTCCTCCTTCTCTCTCGTCCTTCCTCTCTCTCTCTCTTTCTCTCCCTCCTTCTTTCTCTTTAATTTTATTTTTGAGACAAGGTCTTACTATGTAGATCCAGTTGGCTTTGAACTTACCATCCTCCTGCCTTAATCTCCGTGAGTGCCGGGATTACATGAGTGAAGCACCACTTCGGGCAAGAAGGACCTTCTCTATATAGTCATTTACTCAAATGCATACAGGGAGAATTACCCAGTGTTGGGGAGAGGGCAGAAAGCTATGGCAGATAGGGGAGGAAGAAGGGACCACGCTTGCCACTCAAGGTTTGGAAATGATGTTCATTGCAGTGGTCTTCTTGGGAATAAATCTGAAATTTCCTGTCCCTGTCAGTGACCTTGTAGCCATGAAAAATTAACACTGTTATTTCCTATGGAGTACCCACCCCACAAATCCTCATAAATCTTACAGATTTATTTTACCTCTTCTTGGTACATTAGATTGTTGTTTTCTTACTTAAGATTTCTCAGACTCAGGGTCTGCACACCATACTCCCCAAGCCACAGAATTCAGGACAGAGATCTCAGGGCCTAACACAGAGGGCAGCATGAAAACTTCACACTGGTTTTAACTAGAACATTTTCTCTGCCTTTACTTCATAACATTTTGGTGGGAAAAAAGTATATCCCTGCTTAATTAAAAGTTTTAGGCAAACAGCAGAGGAAACTGTTCAAATTCTTCTCTCCCTTTTCAGCACTTTTTTGGCTCAGTTACACTGCCAACCCCAAGTTTCTGAGTATCAGTGTGGGAATGGTAGAACTCAGGTCATAGCACTCACTGTAGCATTCCTCTTGGAGAATGCCAGCCTTTGTGTGCTCACCTCAAGCCATGATCAGTTGGCTTTAGTGCTGTCTGAACTTTCTGTCCCTCTGCATCTCTTCCTTACCCTTCAACATCTGACCTTTACCAAACACTCCATGAAGCTTAAGGAAGGGTAGTTCCACTCTAGAGCTGGGAGACAAATGCTACTAATTGGACCTTTCAATAGTCCAGGTAAATATGTCATTCATTTCCAATAGATGTGTTAAAAATGATTATTCATTAAATAGTGCCAGGGCCACCAAGTAGCACTTGGAAAAATAACACTGGACTGTTACTTCATGCCTTCCACCAACATGAACTCCAAATGAATCAAAGATTTAAATATAATAGTGAAATTATCAAAATATTAGAAGAAAATATGGGTCACAGTCATAGAATGGGAAAATTTTTCTAACTATAAAATTCAAGAGCCATAAAACATGAGATTAATACATTTGCCTATATAAAATTAAAATTTCTTTGTGCCAAATGATTATAAACAAGGCCAAAAAGTATATCATAAATTGGGGAAACAGCACTAATTTTTTTTAACATTTAAAAGGATAACACAGTCATAAAATCTAGAGGAACAGGGCAGAAGAAAGATGTGTGGGTAATGAACTTGTGAAAAACTGTTCATATTCATCCATAAACAAATGCAAATTAAAGCAATAAATCAATATCATTCTTTATTTTTGAGCAACAAAGGATGAAACATTTAATAACCATTTTTAGTAAGGTCATGGGGCAATCTAGACCATTTGTAGGAATATAAACTAGCATAGGCTTTTGGAGGACAATTTGGCTTTAATATACAACAACGTGGAATAAATCCTTTGACCCAGCTTTTCCACAGTTGGGAGCTGATCACATATCTCTATCATGTATTTCCATATAAACACAGGGACAATTATATTATTAAGAGAAATATTTGTACTCGCACAAAAGTGAAAACAAAGTAAATGCCATTAATGACAAGTAACACAATGAGGTAGATACATACCAATATTTGGAAACATGTTCAAAGCATCTTGTTAAAAACAGAGAGCAATTTTCAGAATGGTGGATACCTACAATCTCATTTGTGTAAATATACTTGTGTTTGGAAATTTTCTGGAAGTGCACACAACAAATATCAAAAGTGGCTATTCTAGATAGTGGAAAGAAATGGGAGGGAGTTGTTTTCTTTCTTTTTTTTTGCAGTACTGGGACTTGAACTCAGGGCCTACACCTTGAGCCACTCCAATAGCCCTTTTTTGTGATGGGTTTTTTCGAGATAGGGTCTTGTGAATTATTTGCCCAGGCTGGCTTCAAAACATGATCCTCCTGATCTCTGCCTCCTGAGTAGCTAGGATTACAGGCATGAGCCACTGGCACCCATCTGAGTTGCTTCTTTCTACATTCATTATTCAGCATTCTTAAATTAACCATGATCTTGAATTATTATTTGGTAAAAAGTTAAAAGGTCAAAATCTAAGCACAATGAACAGAGCAGCATGTGAATGAAAAAAGAGGGGTATGGGGAGAAACAGAGATTGAGGACTTGCTCTGACCACCCATGGTCTTTATTTTTATGGCTTGGAGAAATTCAGGAGGTAGGGAACTTGATTTGGAGGCTCAGCACCAGCCTGGATATCTGGTCCTGTGGTGCAGCACCCCAAGCTCTTGGGTACTCCCAGCATGAACCAGGTTCTTCTGTGCTCTAGAAAGGCCAGGACCACTCTATATATGTGATCTGAGTCCTTGGCAAGCCACTGCAGATCTTGCTAGGGATCCTAGGACTTGAATCCCCAGGGCTGAGCTGGCCCCAAATAGCCTTGCATGCTAAGCAGGTGGAGGTCATCACACTGTGCTGGTCAGCAGAACATCTTTTTCTGTAGGTTATCAAAGATGCAAGCTATTTTAGCCAGATTTTGCTTTTCTGCAAGATAGTTCAAAGTTTCATATGGCCTGACCAGTGTTATTGATCTAACACGGAGATAAATTACCTAAGGAACCTTCTTCTCCCTGTCTATTTGATGCTAGAATCCTGTATATGGTTGAGTCTGTATTTGCAGGGAAAGAGTTGGTTTCCTCACTGAGGCTTGTACTGGCCAGTAAATGCTTTCATTCATTTGGCACTTGACTTTACAGATGATCATGAATTACCTTTGAGAAAAAACAACAGCAGTGATACTGAAGGGGGGAGAGTGAGAGATGCTACCTGCCACCTATTTAATGTAGGTACCTTTCCAAGAAAAATACATGAAACTACTTTGTATAAAGGTTGAAGCCCTCTGGGTACCCTCCCTCAAACACAGGAGAAGATGTTTTGCTTGGTCAATT